CCACATCCACCGATGGTGCTCTTTGCATAAGACGTAGGGTGTGTGCAAAAGGGTGGGGTGAGAGTACAAAGCGACAGAGATGGGAGAAAGAAAATATAAAGAGGGAGAAAGAAGGAGAGGAAAAGATAGGAGAGAGAGAACAGAGAGAGGAAAATGGAGAGAAAGAGAGGGGAAGGGTTGGGAGGAGGGAGAGAGAAAAAAGAAATAGAGAATGAAAGAATGAAAGAGGGGAGGGGGATGGAGAAGAAAGGAGGTACATACGATTATGAGAGAGGGAATAGAGATAGATGTGGATAGGAAAGAGAGAGGGGGATAGAGGGATAAGGGGAGGAAGGAGAGGAGGGGGATAGGAATAAGGTGAGGAAGGAGGAGGAGGGGGAGTGGTGAGAGGGGAGGAAAAGGTGGGAGAACGAGAGAGAGAGAGAGTTGCGCAAAGGTCTACCATGATCTGGGGGTACTCTTCCGCCTTCCTGTGTTGAAAATAGCTTCTACTCTTTGAGTTGCTCTAAAGTTTTTCTTGAAGCTCTCTCAGCACTCAAATTTAATTATAGGGCATCGAATGGCAAATCTTCAGCTACATTTGAATGCTCGTTTATTTGATTAAAACTCATTCCCCTAACCTTCTAAATGTTTTTCTGGCCATTAAGGCTTTTTACCATAATAGTAACTTGAAAGCATGGAAGTAATTATAACTATTTTTAAAAGCAACCATTCTCAAATTTTAGGATAACAGTATAATTATATTCTTAATAATTCAAGAATTATCTCTAGGATCACACTATGGGTTTCCGTGATAACTGATAGTACAGAACCCTGGAGGTAGCTTAGCCCGATTTTGTAGTCCCAGACGTACAGTCTCGCGTCTAGGAACGGAAATGTCTGACTGATCATCAAACAGGAGAGATGGATCTGGCACTTTCAAAGATCTGACACGTTTATAACCGAAAACACATTCTGTGGCGGGATATCCATCTGGTATATTGTCTACGAATAGTCAGAAACTCTAAAAACTTCCAAGCCCTCCAGCGCCAGTGTTTCGATGCGATTTTCTCAATGATAGAATGCAACTGTTCGGTGTATTTCAAAACGTTCTTCATCTTGGACCCTTCTCAGAAAATGTATTAGAATTCATATTTACGTTCTAGAAATCAAGGATCCTGCCATAAATACGTAATCAATCATAAGTTTAAATTTAAGATTTGACCAGTTATTAGCTGTCAGTGATTACAATCAGAGATAGTGCGATTGGAAAAAAAGTGGTTGGATATTAATACTTTTTGAAGAATGCGCTTTCCTGCTACTACAGAGAATGAACAAAAAATTGATATAATATCCCACAAATCTGAATTACTAATCATAATTAACGAATCATTACTCTGCAATATCAAGTCGATAGGAGACTACAATATGTTGATTCATTATTGTGCAATATTGTGGTAAACTTTGTTAATAGAGAAAATGTGTACAATGAATTAATCATTGCAACTTTCCTTTTGTAATGGTGCCCAATTGTACTTTACCTACATCGACCGAGTTGCTCATGTGATTAGAAAACATATCTAAGATGTCGAGTGCCACATTCATGTGATAAAAAAAACCGAAAACATGAAGGGTAGAAAAGGGACATCCGCCTGTTTGGTAGACAGCAGGTGTACAAGGACTCATAAAGACCTTAGTCATCCCGTACCAATGTTTCCTATACTGCTGATAGTCAGGGGTGGGTAGTGTTCAAGCAGTCCCCTAGGATATATCACGATAATACTCAGTGACAGCAACAGCTTGGCTGAAATCTCCTTGTTTCTTGTTTACATACACATGACATGGTTATATGAGTTGATCAAAGACACGTGGAGGACATGAATCGCTATGTTGGATGACATTCTAAAGATAGGATCCATGTGTCATCTTTAAAGATGGTCATTTACAAGGACAAACATAGAAGGATTGTTCTATATTCTCTCACTATGAACTAGGTTATATCTTGTCTCAAATGGCTATCAGACACAGCTTCCAAACCCCTTAGTTTTGGAAACTAAGTTCATGTAAATGAAAGGGACCTCCGAAACAACTTGAGAATAAATGTACACAAAAGATTTAAAACAAGATTGCACTTTTCAAGACATTTGGAAAATACTTTAAAAAAAGTTTGTAATCGAACTGTTTATTTACATAATCATATTTTGTAATTCGACATCACAATCATATTTCTTTTGATACGTAATTAAAGAACACGTTGCTTTTCCCGCAGATACAAAAAGTATGCAGGAATTATTATTATTATTTTAAAGTTTTTGAATCACTGAAACGAGATCGTTTGACATAACTTTCTAATCAATTACTTACATAATATATAACCTCGACAGTGGATGTACTTGCTTTCACACACTCTCTATCAATGTTTAAACCTGCAAAAGAATCAGATATATGCTTCATTTGGGGGGTGTAACATACACGATTTATATTTTCCCCTGATTATGCGCTACCTTGGATTCTGATGGGATCACCTGCTCATAGAATGGGAGAACGTAACTCATGTTGTTGACGAGTCATTGTACTTTCAACACAATGTTCCAAGAATGACGGAACATGATCGCAACAGGAGGATCGAAAAAAATGAAAAGTGAATGAAAAGATAGGAGGAAGGAAAGGAAGAAAAAAGAGAGAGAGATACGGAGAAAGGGAGAGAGAGATTATATAGAAGCTTATCGAAAAGGGAGTGGGAGGCGAGCTTGAGAATACAGATATTACGATATACAGAGAGGATTGAAAAGGGAATATTAAAGCGCTTGAGCTTGAGAGACTGACACAAAGAGAAAGAGAGATAGAGAGAGAGCGAGAGAGAGAGAGAGAAAGAGAGAGAATTTATAAGGGATTAGGAGAGCGAAACGGAGAAGGGTGATCAATTTTTAGTGCACGGATCTTAAGGCCCGGTCACACAGAGGGGACGCATGGGGAACGCACGGCCAGCGCATTGGAAATGTGCAATTTTGGCCAGTGCGTTGTCGTGCGCCCAACTTTTGTCGAAGCTACAGCAGCTAACTGACACCAAATGCATAGCGTGTTGCTAGCGCGCTGGACGCATACAGGGCGCACACAGGGCGCACACAGGGCGCACACAGGGCGCACACAGAGCGCACATGATAACAACTTCCACGAATGCACAGCGTGTTGCTAGCGCGCTGGACGAATGGTCCACGCATGCACCGCGTTCTACGACGCACGGCCAGCGCATTGGAAATCGGAAAAGAACGTGTGCCTAACTTTTGTCATAATTTTGGAAAAGCTAGCGAGCTGACACAAAATGCACGGCGTGTAGCTAGCGCGCTGTGCGTATACAGGGCGTGTGCTCCACGCATGTATGGCGCTGGTCTAGCGCGCTCCACGCATGTCTGGCGTGCCTTTGGCGTGTATATTCATGCGTCGAGCTCGGCGCACGTTTTTGAGCATGCTCAAAAAATCCCGACGCACACAGCGAATGACGACGCATGCATAGCGCTGGTCCAGCGTTGGTCCAGCGCGCTCGACGAACGAGTAACGAATGATGACGCACGCCTAGCGAACGACAACGCACTGGCCCAAATTGCAAATTTCCAATGCGCTGGCCGTGCGTTCCCCATGCGTCCTCCCTGTGTGACCGGGCCTTAATCTAAAAACAAGATTTAGTTAGAAATCAAATTCCAATGTGAAACCCCTAATCACCAAACATTGTGCATGGGTTATCACAATTGTGTGGGCATACCTCGAGGTATTATCATGTCAATGCATAGTATTGCTGCCTTGACCCTGAATGTTGCAGCTGAACAAAAAAAATGTTGAACTAAACTCATGTTTCAAGTTTATCATGCAGTGGCATAACGTGAGTCCATCTATTGAGGGGGGACATGCACAATGGAGGGCGGGGTGTACGGGGCTTACCCTGAAAGTAAAAATGAAAACGTTCACAAAAAATTGATTGGGAGGGGCATGTGTCACCCGTGCCCCCTTCGAATACGCCTCCGAGTTAATTCATATTAGTTTGTAGGTAAGTTATAACACACATCTGCTCCCTGTCATGGTTGTAATATCGTTTAAATACAAATGTACTATAGCCTCGACCACCAAGGTGGACAAGAGCAATGAGCTTTGTGAAGTAATTTTTTTTTATTCACTAGGCTCTACTGCAATGACTGTTTGTTCATTTGGTCTCTACATGTTCTAAGTTATCCGATCCTGTTTAAAAATAAGGAAAAACCAGATTCCAAATATGAATGTGATTTCATAATTTTGAACATTTCGTTACGGATGTTATTGTAAATCTTGAAAAACCACATTTACCAGAAATGACTATTGGCAAATAATTCAATTTACATCAATATATGTTAAAACCCCTCTAAAGTGTTGGAAGTCCCCAAAATTTGATGGCAAAATTTCACTTAAATTGTATCATAATGTGAAAGAGGATGTCATTTAAAATACACTTCTGCAAGGATTTAAACAAACAATGTGTTTGAAGTCAAAAGATGAAAGAATGCAAAATTTAGGTTTTCTGCGTACAACAGAAAACCTAATTATGAATTCTTTTATCAATATTTGTCTTGCAACACAATTTTTTTTTTTTTTTTTTTGGGGGGGGGGGGGGAATCTTTGCAGAAGTGTGCCTTTAATATCAATGAAATCCTCCTTCACATTATGATACAATTTAAGTGAAATTTTGCCATCAAATTGTGGTGGCTTTAACTAGGCCTATATTTTCAATAATGTTTGTCAAGCATCATTTCGTTTTTGTACAAACGTTGTATTTGTGGTTGTGACTACCCAGTTCATATTTAAATCTATAGTTTATTAAATAAAATGTTTCCCTTTGGCGAACCCTTTTTACCATTGTGCATTGTCCTTGGATGTACAGAGGTGGGGAAGTATCGTGAAAAACAAATAAACACAAAGGCAATCATATTAATTTTAATGAAAAAATTGGATGCTTAATTATTGTTGTATCACTATTACAACATTTCATTAGGTCACATGATAGCAGGGAAGGTCTATAATTAAAGAATACGTTCATCTGACCATATAGTAAGAGGTTGTGGTAACGATGCATGACTTGTCTTTACATCAAATGTGTCAAAGCGTATGCCAAGCCGCTGCCTGTCCCTATTATAAGGATCATCCCGCATAAACGCGCGGGAAAGACGACGACACAAACCCCTTGTCGTCTGCCAAGAGAGGGTCTGTCAACAGCGGCGGCGGCTAGAGCCTGCCATTTCTTGCCAGAGACGTACACTTGTGAGGACCTGTGCGGGCCACCTACAAATCGCTCTGTTCCAGTTCTTTTGACTCATGTGTTTTGGTCATTGACTCATTCTTGCAAATCAGGTCTTACGTAGTGCAATGAGTTTTGAATTCAGAGCTACTGTTAGATACATATTTCCGGCTTCGAAGTTTTAGACGCGCGCTATTTTCGCAGAAGTTAATATTTTAGTTTCACACAGGGAATACAGTTTACCGGACAGCTAGCGCCGGGCGGAGATATATAAGACGTGGATTCGCGAAGGATTATCATTCCAACGCTATTAGCAGAGAGAAAGGATACTCTCATATACAAATATCCAAACTTACTCGAGTAAAGGATCAGTGTGTAATATCAAAGCGGTTCTTTCTTCATTAAGGACACACATTTATGATTATTTCGTCGCTTGTTGGGTGCAGTTGCTTTTGGAATTAAAAGGAATATCATTGTTCGTGATCGACTGACTTTGGAATAACTCTCTTTATCATTCCAAAGTCAAAGCAAACAGCGGCACTGCCAATATTGGTTTATTACTTGTGTACTGTCTAATGAGAAAATGAACACGATGGAATTCATATTGATCAGATGTGGGAGGATTGCAGGGGGACGGAATGCAACAAATAACATGTCAAGGACGAAACGGTTACAAAGTAAAGTGGCAAAACAGACGATAACGCCGCTCTTAATGATAATTATGTATTTCATTTCATCATGTCATGCTACAGATCCCGGTCAATTGAGATTAATGGGGATGCACAACGGGGAAGGCATCGTCGAGATCACAAATCAAGACCAATGGGGTCTCATCTGTGCCAGCCGGTGGACGATGTTCGACGGCGATGTCGCCTGCAGGCAGCTCGGCTACGAAGGCGTGACGCGAGTCATGCGGGTGACGCCGGGTCGCGAAGACCGTATCAACGCCCAGGTCGTGTTGAACGGCACAAACTGTGAGGGTATGGAATCCCGACTTGTAGACTGTGAACATTCGGGTTTCGGGAATTTTACGGAGTCGTGTCAGCCGATGACGTTGCCTTGGGTGTCGTGTATAGGAGCTGATATTCCGGAGGTCACAGATGAAGTGGGTGGAGGAGATCTTGATACAAGTAATCATGTACCTGTACTGTCTGGAAGGATATTACCGCCTGTCGCAAGTAAGCTATTATATTGTTATCCTTTTATGTGATCGTTATGATTGTACAGGTATGTTCATGCTTTAATACTTATATAATTAGGGGTCATAAAACTAGTACCAGTATGATAATATACCACCATAATATTGTAGTCTTCGTGGTATTATTATGATATTCATTGTAAATGCAACATACATATTCTTAGTGAAACGATTAATACTTCAGGTTGTAAACTAAATTGCATTAAAATGTGTTGCTTTAAAAAAAAACTTTAACAGAGGTATACATTCATAGAATTTCTAATGACTTCTTGATATGTTTTTGTTAATGTTGTATGCCATCTCTTATTTAAAATTCACAACACCTACAATATCTATCATCTTATTTCATTTCTAGATCAATCTATGAATTTGGGTTTCAAACAATTGAGTTGAATGTATCACTTCTCTTCTTTCCAACCAACATGGCTAGATTCAAAGATTCAACAGAGTCTCTTAAAAATTATTACACTTTTCACATACTTTGTATGATGAAGAAAACAGAATATAACATGCTTCAATTCAATCATTATAGTACTCTCTCTCAAGAGATTTTAAAAGCATTTCCGAGGAAGAACTCCTAATCGAAACTCCACTTCATCATGTACATACTGTCCCTGTTTCAATGCTGCAATAATTTGTTTGTATCACATGACATGGTCATGAGCTAGTTTAGACATGATTGACAATACGAAAGTTTCCGATTTATATTCGTGCTCCATCATGATATTTCCTGTTTCGATGAAATTATCCTATTGGAAGCTTTCACAATACTTACTGTCGAAGGGCAAGTGGGTGGAAGTAAGAATTGGGAGTATTTTTTTAAAAGTATTTGTCGGGAACGTTACTTAAAGGGTAATGGCCACTATAGAAGCTTATTTTTAATTCATATTTCCGTGCTCAAGTGAAATTTTTTAACGTATATGGTATTCTTTTGTAGGCGTTAACGCCGTATACCCTACACAAGCAATATGTTAATTGCTTTCTGGGATCCACGCCTCCTTTCTCAAATGTTTCAAATGTAAATAGATGTTGTCATGAATTTGAATCGGACCGAAATATTTGATTTATTTGAGGTCATTGGTGGTTATTCGCTTGCAAAACTAAATTATCGTGGATGTTATTCGTGTTTAATTTGCTCCTTCCTCTTATCTCAGTTTGAATTATTCAATTAAATAAATTATCTGCTATTTCAAAGCTCATGAAACTTTATTCGTGGTGATATTAATGTGTTATTGAATGTTGTATTGATATTCCTACTGCTGTTGTTGTTGGAATTATTATCATATAAGTAGTAGGCCTATGGTGGTAGTAGTAGAGGTAGTATCGTCATCATCATCATCATCATTAGCTATATTCTCTATTTCTCTTTTCTAGCTGTACCAGTTGAAACATTCCCCTGCTATACCATGTTGACCACCATGGTCACGATATCTTTGATTTGACTTCATTTGCGTGATATAATAAAAGCAAGTGATCCCAAGGCCATATTACTATTCTCGTCATCAATATAAACTATATGCTTTACTTCTCTCACTTAGCTGTACCAGTAGAAACATTCCCTGCGATATCAGTTCGGCATGTTGGTCATGACAGTGTATCACTGAGCTGGTTGGACTGGTATGATAGACTGAGAGCGAGCGATCCAAGAGCTTACCGAGTTCGTATCATCATCAAGTACCGTCGGGTGGAGGTACCAGGAGTACAGGTACTTAACAATGTTGATCAATTCAGACTAATTCTCAATTCGTCAGTCTTCGAAGGACTTGTTGCTTTTTCCCTTTCTTGTTTAAATATCCACTTGCAGCCATATCAGTTTTGTCTCTTTTTTTCGTGCTATTTATAATGTTCCACCGTAGCTGCATGCACAATGCAATCCAACTTGAATATTTAAATTGCTTTTGATAATGGCGAAATATGAAGACTTGTTTTCTGAAGAAGAAAAAAAGATTTAATAACGTTTCGTCCATCGAAGACGTTTTTGATTCAGACGTTTTATGTCTCGACCATTGGTCACTATCTGATACCAATAGCATGTAAATTTCAAAAGAGAATAATGTTAAGTATACAGTATTGTGATGATCGAAACCGACAATGAAACAATAGACAAATAATAAATCGTCATACATGCTAATAATTATGTTAGGAAAACGATGGCAGTTGGAAATTATGACATTACAATTTCATGAAGCAGTATATAATAATCAAGTGGGAGGGAAACTAAAATTCATGTGTCAATTCCATGGCGGGAGCAAAATATACGGGGAATTTTAGTTTGAAGGAGGAGGGGGTCATACAATCTGAATTTCAAGGGTCCATTCCTTCATAACATTTGCCTTTTTTTCATACAGAGTACAGAGAACTACACGATAGCAGCCGAGGTGCCTACCTACTGGACTGACCATACGATTAGGGGTCTTCAACCCCAGACGGCTTACGAGTTCATTGTCGAGTCCGTAAGATTGTCCATGTTTGGTGGCGAGGTCATTGAGCCTCCGAGTGCACCCGTCTATGTAAGGACTGTTTGCGGGGGTAAGGATTCTAATTTTTTTTCATAAGAATTTATGAATGAAGGGCATCGAGATCATACATTCCATAACGAAGAATTTTCCCTTTGCAAAAAACTTAATGTGGCTGCTGTATTGATATGGCATATGAGTTATGTTAACCAAGTTTTTAAATTGTATAGAAAACAGATGCATTTAGTTTAATTGTTAAGTTTGAATAAGTTGAATGAATATTCTAAAATGTATTACTGTTAATGATTTTTATTCCAAATGTAAATGAAAAAAAGATTGATTTTATTTTTAAATCGCTATCTAAAAATAATATTATTTGATAAAACAAGTAGTACAGGTACATGGCCTATTAGTGGCCCATACAGAAAACAGGCCAATCTCGTAACTTTTAACGAAAACGCAATGATATCGAGAGTACTCTCAATCGCGTGAAAGAAATGTGACACCTGCACCCCTTTTCACAACGAGTTTCTCTTAGTAAACTAATGTTTGATCGAAAATGTTTATCCTGAATTCTTAACGAAATCATAGGTCCACCACCGATTAGGCATCTCCACGTCGAAGCTCCATCAAACAACGCTACGGTCCTTCACATCCACTGGACGATGCCCGCCGACAACGGATGCTCCTCCGACGAGTACGTGATCGAATACCGACAGGAGAACCTCGATCAGTGCGAGGAGACATCGCTTCTCCCAGGCCAGACGAACAGGCTGACGCTCGCCGGGGTGACGACGATGACGCATCTCGTCGTGGCGGCATTACAACCCTACTCCAGTTATACCGTCTTCGTATCGGCCAGAAATCAATTTGGTAGGAGTAGGAAAGTGAACTCCACCAAGAGGACGTCGGAAACAGGTATGTCAAGAGTAAAAGTGGGCGGGGTCTTATGTGTGGTCATTTAAAGTCTATGATGGTTGAAGTATTTCAACAAGTTCAAAAGCACAACATTTGTGATTGGGTGGTGCGAGATTACATGTGCTATTTGTTACAGATACATGACTATGCATTCGCAATTCGTCAATATTATCATGTTATTGTGAGCAAAATTTCTCAATCCGTCCATCAATCATCTCTCTTCACAATACAATTTCGCTCCATGAATACAGCATGATATGCGATGCATTAATTCACATTTGAGAAACGAAACCATTTTTATGTGATATGGAACGGTATTTTGAAAATGTAAAACAGCGCACTTAAAAAGAAATCAATACAGACACAATGGTTCAAGGTCGAAAAGTACGGAATACCTGGTCCCGAAAGGCTCTTTAACCTACATATGAGAATCATTTACTGGCATTATACCAACAAACGGAGCGAGATGGCTCATCAAGCCCTGGCGGATTCCAAGGGGGGCCATTCTGCGCCCATTTTTAAACCAATGTGGCATACTGATAACACACAAAATATGCACCCGATTAATATCATAAAATTTAACGTTATTACTATTTTTAGGGGGCTTGTAAATGTTTTTGTTTAGATCCCCCCCCCCCCCTTGGTAAAAAGCTTGATCCGCCCCTGCTTATTAAAGGAGACAGACTGGTGTCACCTAACCGGGTCAAAGAATGACTCGCAATAGACTTGCCCATTATTAGTACGATCACGTGGTACATGTCACTTTGGTTTCGGGGGTTTCCCGTCTGGGTCACGTGGGCATGCTGGTGTCATTTACACAAAGGTACGCGACATGCGGGGAATTAATGCTCTACATTGATCTCAGCTTCAAGTGTTTACAAATTATTTGCACACTTGAGAAAGATTAACATTTAATTTTTCTCTCGTTTTGTTTGACTCTTAAATGTAAACCAGATTAATAGGAGAACGGAACAATCAAAGATTCATTTGGGAACGTTTGGATCACACGTTCAGGGTTGACTTTGTTTCTTCATAGTAAAACAATAAATGCAGCGTAACATGTTCGTAAAATCAAGATTTAGGAATTTTTTTCAGGTAGATATTATAAAGGGCATGAGAAAATGGATATGGATAGGCCTGTTTTAAATTTAAAAAAAAACTATAATGAACAAATTCTTTTAAAATTCTTCTTCCTATGATACTTAGGATTACACCGGTCTAGATTAGAAAGAATTCAGTTTAACTGCAGTACCCTCGTCATTCAGTGATGATTCAACAAGAAAAACAGATTGTGAAGTATTACCAAGATCTTGGTTATACCTGAAGTCTAGATCGATTTCAGTTCAGTTCATTTCAGCTCAGTCCGGTTTGATTTATTGGTCAAGGATAAATATGAAAGTAAAACAAATCATTCTCTGGCTATTTCCGTACATGCCGTAAAGTGACATGTAGGCCTATGACTTACAGTTGCGTGGGAGGTGATTTGATGTTGCAACTTTAAAATGCAAAGTGGGCAGGACGAAATGTTGTCATCACTTCAGTCGAAAGTAGAACCTGTACAATATATGTGGTTTCGGCTTACTGAGTTATTTACAAAAATCATTTCAGATACTTCTATTGGAAATGACAGAACAGCAATCATGTTGAGGGCTTCTTTCGTGAACAATAATCTTCATTAATCTTTGTTTGATTTAATGGTATATGGATTACAACTTTTAGTTAATGATTAGACCAAGAGTACATCAGCATATATACATGAGACGTTCTTAACTGAACATGTGATGAATCCTCCAGTGGGCATCATCTCACGCTATGGACTATCTTTAGACAATCACTAACTCCTCGCGGTTTTTTATTTTTAGTCGTGGGACGAAATTTTCATGAGGTAGCGAAATGAAATAGCCGTGATGAAACATTGAATATACATTTTTGAGCATGAAAGATCCACCTCTATGTAGCTATCTGTCATCATATCTTGTAAAACAAACCTTGAATTGTCAGCACCTATCACCATGTCAACATTGAGATATCCTCTATGACATACCAAGTTCCTCCGAGCGATGAAACACGGCCCTCATGAAAATTGGTTACCATGGTTTACCTCCAAAATACGACTGACAAAAAAAAGATTGAAGCATGGTTCCCACCGTAAGCATGGTATTAGATTCTACTGAACACCGCTGAACGACATCATTCGACCAATTTAAGTATGTGACGATAAACGACAAAAATGTGTTTAAACTTTTTTTCTTGAAAAATGTCCAATATTCATTTGTCTGTTATTACGAAAGTAGTAAAGTTATTGGGGCTCACCCTGGCTATCCGTGATGGCTAGTTACAGGAAAACTATCTAACTTCTTACGACAATCTTTACAAAAAGTTTATCCTTGAAGGCAATATGCACGCTTTAGCTACAGATTTGATTCCATTGAGGATTTAGGGAGTCTTGACGCATGAAATTATTTATCATGTACGAGGAAATTGACAGCTACCGTGAATTGAGATGTTATCTAAATTAACCTCCATGAAATTAATTTATACGATGATGACATTTTTGCAATTCAACATACTTTAGGAGCTAAACTTAACTCGGTCTGAACTGTTGAACTTACTGTAGATGATTTAAGGAAAGAAGTTAAAGACGCTAATAAACAATACGAAACGAAACTTATTATCCTTAATTTTCTCTTCGTCACCACAATATAGATGAACTTCTATGTATAGGGAGAAATATTTATTTACTGTGGTAAATAAGAATACAAACTTAGCATTACTTCTCAGAGTTCCACTCTCCCATAGTTTTGTTAAGGAGACAAGGTGGTTCAGTGGTTTAGAAGTGATCTCGTTACCTGAAGGTCGCGGGTTCTAAACCAACTCGACGCGCTAGTGCTCTTTGGTAACGCAGTTATCATCCTTGTCACGTCCGTTTACTTCTATACAGACGTACATAAGCCAAAGCTTCCTTTCTTAGCAATCAGAAGAATACACACAGAAGTGGTGGATCCCTTTATATGTCAGGTGCAATCAATGTTTTGTTTATTCATTCATTTATTCTTGAATTTCAGTTCCTTCAGATATACCCGTTAACATCAACCACAACTTCCAGAGCCAAAACTCCCTCAAGCTAACGTGGGATCCACCCTCTTGCGGTTGGCGTGGTGGCCACATCGTCACCTACGCCTACATGCTCATCGACATCAACACCGACAGCGTCATCCACAGGGGAAGCACTCGGAGGGAGTTCGTCGTCCTTACCGGTGTCGATTCTCTTCAGAGGTACAAGTTCCTGGTGGCGGCCTCCACGCAGCGAGGTGTCGGTCCCTTCGCTGTATCCGACATTCCCGTGGAACCCAACATCCTGCATAGTAAGTCCATCTATCTTAACGTCATATGAACGAAGGTGACAGATGGTAATTCTTTGGTAATCAGACACATATATTGAGAGCACCCGGAAGGACAGAGACACGTGCGACAGCGGGCTGGGTTTTTTGATAGATAAAAGAAAAGATGTGGGGAAATACATTTGAAAAAGGATGGCATTTACATAATTGAAAGAATACAATAGGAAGTGATATAACGCAACCCCCACCCCCCTAAACAGAACATGAAAATAAAGTGTACGGGTAGACAACGTGAAAATTAAGATAACATAAGTTTTAGGAATATTTGATTGATTTAATCCCATCTTTGTATTGTATGTAAACTAAAACAATTAAGCATAGTTTGGGATCGGCCCACTTCTATTCCGGGTAATGCAATCATAACTTTTTATCTACATCACTTTCCATTGCTACGAAATACGATGGTCATGGCAGGAAGTAGGTAGTAAAGAGAGAGAGAGAGAGAGATGTGAATGAATATTTTGTTGATCTCAACTCGTCAAGGCTTTATTCCAAGCATTGAAATCCCAATCTCACTGCCGTCTCTCCCATTGTCTGGCTATGGGCAATGAACTTCACCCCTTCCTTCTGTCTTCGTCTCCGCAAACCCCAAAATCCTTCGAGGAAATGAAAAATTGGTTTGATTTGATAGATAAAAGATGTCTGACCGTGAGGGGGACAGCTTCTCAAATGAGTGGTATGACAAAGCTCAAGTCTAGCCAGTGATGCATGGGTCGGGTACTCTATATGACAGCTCTCCCGTGGACTGAAATAATGTCTCGTTTAGTTCATGGACTTCATTGGTCGTTTTGATTTCACCAATTGCCAGGTTGAATTTGTACGCGTAGTTAATCTAATACCCAGAAGTATTGAAACCCAAGGACTTTGCTTCTCTAACAACATGAATCATTTGAATGAAAGCAAAGACATTTAAAGAAATGTAGAGACATTCGAAACCGATTTTAAAGAAGGGCATATTGATTACAATCTCAAGTATTTTGTCATTATACGGAAGGCTTCTCAAGTTAAATATTGGATCTATGCTGTCAGTGGGTACTCTTTGCAAGGCGAGCCATTTAACTGTGCATCACACACTCTGACAAAGGTGTTTAACTATAATTATGTCTCTAAACAACTCATTATTGAAAAACCGTCACATTATCAACAGAGCGTCTACCAACCACAACACATTTGGGAGGGTTTATTAATAAGATCGTGCGGTGACCCCGACTTGCACTTTTTGAGTCCACATCGACAGAATTGTCGGGTGATTAAGAATGAATCAGGAGACACGATCCATCCTTTGCTGCAAATTCATTACCGTTTTTTGGTGGAAAATTCATATTGCCTTTGGCAGACACCCAGTCCCTGTGTTCCCCCTTCAAAACTTCTCTTAACAAATAGGAGAATTAGAGGGTTATAAATGAATGATTATTATGATATATCTGAAATCCACGTTCCGTGTTCAGCGGTGAGCTTAAAGTGTTTCCGATACCTAGGATATAGTAGAATGTTAATTGATTTGTTAACCTTCACAGAAGTATTAAGCCTAAGTAATTGCCATGCTAGGTGACTTCCAATTGCTTTTGAAGAATAGTCTGGCTCGTTTTAAATAGATCTGAACAAGATGACATAGACGTTATATAAAGGCAGCGACAAATCCTCATAGACAGATTATCTTTGTAGTTAAATCCCGTTGCACTATTATGATGTTTGATGAAAAAGAGGCAACCGCTCTTTTATTTGGATTCGGATTAAGGGGCAATCGAGACCAATTTAATCGAATAACTGTGTCTGATTTTCCGATTTGTTGTGTATGAAGGACACAACAAAATGATATGAAAGCAGAATAATACCCCTTCGAAGAGAAAGACGGGATGTTCGCTGTCTCTTTTCCGCATGTTAAGTATTAACATTCCTTTCAGAAGCCATATCAAGCACAAAGGGAAGAAAGAAAAGAAATCTGTTTAACTCTCTCACTGAGGTATCAGACAATAATGAAAGAGCTTACGCGAGGAATGTCAAAATACCGAACGCACTTTGTTATGATAAATCTGGTAATAATTGTCGTGAAACTTTTCAACCAGTCTGTTCGCATGCAACCCCACCTCCAGTACCCCAAGTTTACTTCTCCTACCTCAATTTACATTCGACTCTGATAAAAAGTCAGAAACCGGGAACATTTTAATCATACCCCAGATAAAGTGACTCACAAGCATGACAAGTGCGATTTCAGTTTTATGCCGTTACCAAGGCAAATTTATTATCGTCAAGAGGAACTTGTGCTTCCTGATAAAGACGGGGTAATGGTGAATATTGGGATAAAACAATTTTTTTAAAGTAAAGCTTAATATTTTGAACTGTACAAAGAAAGGGCAACGGCAAATCTGCGATTAAAACGATGTACAAATATTTCATTTCTACTCTGTTTATCTCATTCTTAGGTTGATTTGTACTTTAATCATTTTAATACAGCGTTTATTCATTGGTTAAATATCATGTGTCAAATTTCGGCTTCTTAAAGAAAAATCCTAAAGTAGTTTTACCATTTTTTATTAAATGCAAAGACAAATATATACTTAAAATTATTTAAAATTGGCACAAAATAGAGTCTTGTCCTCGACCTTTTCCCTATCATAATCGAGCACGTGTTCTGATTGCGATGGGCATGTCGACTAGGATAGCGTGAGATAATAACACTGCATCGAAAGATTTCCTGAAAATAAAATAAATAGGACAGCTAAGGAAATTAAAGAGGTCAGGGCAAACGTTCCGTTTGATTTGAAATAGCTGACACCCTTTTCCGCCACTACTTTATTTTGATGCGCCAGACAGCTCCTTGAATTATCTACTTATAAATTCATTTCGATTTCTTTAAAAAGCGCGTCTAGTAAGTGTCTCCGATGTCAGCTTTAATAACTTGTTCGTCTGAACTGATGTATGTATCCCTGGCTCTTTGACCAGTTGAGGAATAGCATTATGATATTTGCATATGCTGTCATTGTGTAATATAATGTAGACATCGTCATGGATATCCTGATGGATGCACAAACCATCCCATAAATGGAAGAGAAGATACTGCACACGAAGAGTTTTGAGAAAAGGATTTCGGATTACACTCGGAAAACTTCTCAAACAGGGGGATAAGGCTAATGAGAAAGGGACACTACGAAAAATTGACTAGACGACCTTATACCCAGTGCATGAAGGAGATTAAAAAGTCTGATAATCTAATTTAGGATGAATTTAGGTTATTCCTTGCTGCACCTAAAGTGTCTATGAACAAGCTCCCAAGTGGGGAAGGGGCAGCGTCACCCTTTAACTAAGCGATGACAACGTTACAACTGCAAGTAGACTACTTTGTAGCTTTTATGACTTTGTATAACCCAGTTCCAACAAAATAGGCCAATTATAAACTTTATGAACCGTTTTCGTCTCGATCGGTCCCTAGGAAATTGATGTAATGAAACATTCACCATGTTAATAACATTTTTTCTTTTTCGTAGCTGACACATAATGGTTACATTTTAGCTGTTGTTGTTCTTTGTTTCGTTTTGTTTTTGTTTTTACATAGAATCTATTTATTCTCGAGTATTCAAATCATTTTTGTTGGGTAAATGGGAAGTACCTCAATCAATTCTTTGTCATCTGAAACATATTTTAGCTACAACTTCAAGGCTACCCTTCGTATGACTCACACGATCCTGCCCCCAGACTACTTACGTCACAATCATCACACACACATACTCAGCAAAAAGAGCATCGACGGTTGCGCACTAATCTCTTAAATGATCTAATTAGAGAAAAGTAGGCCGAAGATAAGACAGATATGTGGTTCATGAAACAAACCGTAACATTCCTTAAAATAGGTAAAGCTCTCATGTTACGTCTCTGGATATTGAATGTCATAAACTTGTGAGGATAGAAATTTAAATTGCGTGCATCGCTCTCAGATGGGAGTCCTTGTCACTGTTAAAACTTTAGTACCTCTATTATGGTTTCTCATTAATTTTATGACGGTTGATTAGCCTAACAATGCCAATTATATCGAGACCATTACATCAATCCGTACCGCAGAATAAATTTGTTTTCGAAGGGATCTTTATCTAGCCAAAATGGTGGCAGCGGTGTAGAGACGCCGAAGGTTATAAACGATTTCGAAAAAGATACTTACTATATATTTTCTACAACTAATGACACAAAATGTAAGTCTCAATAAACTTTGATGACGTAATTTTGTGAAAATGATAATCACAAATACACACGCTTACATTATCTTGTCAATACACAATTTCTGTCTGGAACTCCGCGGTAATATTGCAAATCTGTGAAAGGGGTTGCCTTTTCGCTTGGGTTGTGATAACTTGGGATTAAAGCTCAGTGTCCCCAAATGTCTTCAATTGTAATTGGGTTCGTGTTGAAATTTGACTACTGTTTTCAGTCATCTGACATAGTCAAGGGCTGGCAGGGAACATACCCAAGACTGACCGGAAATAATAGGGTTGAATGTCGATGAAATGTGACCGCCATGTGTTGCCTTGTGCATACCTTGAAAGGAAATAACACAGTCCCTGCACGTCCCATATGTCATTTATCATTTCTATTTCACATATTCAAGAGCAAATATTCGAGTAGTAAATTATGACCGATTGGGTTATCATGGTTTCTAAAGACATAAGTAAACCACAATCTGTTTTTTGTTTGTAAGGATCTTGAAGTCTTAAATCGAATGTGCAGCCTTGACGTCGAAGTATTTAGTCCTTCCCACCTAATTAGTTTCCCAATTCCAGCCATAATTGGTTCAGATCTGCCGAAATGCCCAGTGACTAAAAAAGTCGGCATTCATTCCAATGCTTACTCCACTAGAGTAGACCTCGGCAGGATTTGACGGAGAGAGGCATTTGGCCAGCGCCCTTACATTTTTTGAAGGTTTTGCTGGAAAGTTTTCCCCGCTTGGGCTAGGATCCAGGCTCCGACCACATTTTGTGACAAATCTCTTCCCCGGAAACGCTCCATTATTGTCGCCTCTCAACATAATGCTTCAAACTGTTGATAAGTTAATAAAGTCTGCGCGCTTTTACCTCTGCTAACTAGATTATAACTCTATTATTTTGCAAATTGCAAATATCGGTCGATGTAGTTGATGGACAATCCGTTTTAGAAAGCATTATATCTAAAGTTTTATTTTATTGTTTCACAGGTAGTTGGTACGTGATCAATTTATACACTTCCTATGTTACTATATTGCCATTTTTGTAGTTATCAGTTTTCAATCAAGTTTCTTTTATACCACGTGCTGTATTTTTAACCTTTGTCATTTTCATTTTGTTTCCCATTTCCCCTTCATTCTTTCTGCATATACATTTTCTTTCTCTTTCTCTTTCTCTTTCTCTTCCTCTCTCTCTCTCTCTCTCTCTCTCTCTCCCTCTCTCTCTCTTTTTTCCCTCCTCTGCCCAACCCTCTGTCCCCCTCTTTCTCTCTGTGTGTCTCTTTCTCTCTTATTTGTCCACTCCTCTATCCTCTCTCCCTTCCTCTTGATTTCCTTTCTACTTCCTCTCCACTCCCCTCTCCCCCTCTTTACCCTTCCCTTCTCTCTCCTGTAGTATGTGGAATGGCACAGGAGCGGACAGCTCGTATCAGTACAGGGATGCGAGCCCCTAGGGGCGCGGCGCCCTGGATGGCACAACTCTGGAATGTACAATCAGGGCGTATGTTCTGTGCTGGTAGCATCATCAACGAATATTGGATCATCACTGCAGCCCATTGCGTAGAGGTAGGACTATCATTCTGCATTTCCCCTTTTTTTGTTAGGGCGGTTTTTTTTTAAAGGGGAAATATAATTTGTGAATGAAGGGCCGGTCACAAAGCACCGATAACTATGACTATAACTATAACCACAAATATAACTACAACTATAACTTTAATTCTTACTATGAATAAAAAATAATTATGATAAATATGATGACAACTATATTGGTAACGATAGCTATAATTATAGCTAGAACTAGAACTAAACATTTTACTATAAGTATAACTATAACTATATTCGATATCCTAACGTTAATAGTGCGTATTGTGTTCTAAATGATATCCCATCTTATCGACCGAGCCCATCGTTAAATTATTGAAAGCGTTTGCAAGGGGAGTGTCGTAAGTCCTGTCTATAAAACAGTAGGTGCGTCCTGGAGATGGGGGTGAGATCCCGCACCTACCTTCCTCACCTTCCCTCTAAAACCTACTTCATAAGGTGTGAAGTTGAAGTAATGTTAAAGAAGGACCATTGGCAGGATTTAAAGCTGCTGATGAGGGAAATTGTCTCTTTCTCCTTTGAACGATTTCTTTTATAGCAGAAGCCCATATCAACGAAGTGCATATCAACGAAGTGCACTTCAGATATTAAATCAGTAAACAGATGATGAGTATGAATAATAGATTTTAATGAATAATGTGTCAACCTTTCATCGGGAACAGACAGGAATGCTGGTTGTTTCGTTGCTAGTTGAATTTTGCTCAACTGTTTCTGGATGTGCCCTGCTGATATTGGTATCCTATATGCATTTACTGTAGACTATTCAGAAATAGTTAGGAAATGATGTTAATAATGTAGAAATATTGGATATCCACCACTCACAGTTCCTTGCTCTATATTTCTGATATCACAACATTCTAGGAATACATTTTATTTATTTATTCTTGTCATATTTTCTAGGCCCAATCGCACTCGGCTTCGACTCTCAAAATCCAGCTCGGCGACTACGACCGGCTGATGCCCGAGACACATCAACGCGCTTACGATGTCGCCGAGATCGTCGTTCACGAGGGCTCTCAGGTTCAGCTAGATCATGACATAGCTCTTATCAAACTCAGTGAACGCATCGAGTTCAATAACTACGTCAGACCCATCTGTTTTCCCACAACTAAGCTTGCCAAGTCTTTTCTCAAGGTAAGGTTTGTCAAGATGATCTCAGATGAATCAGTAGATTAAAAGTTAATAACCAAATTACCTATTTTACTAACTTTCAGGATTTTGTAGAAGTTAGTCCACTTAAATCCAATGGATTCAAGAATAGAAGCTAAGTCGTATTTTGTGATACCATGCTAATGATGCTATGATTACATATATTACATCAGTAGTTGTATAACTGCACAATTGTTCCTCCCTGCATTGGGAGTGGGGTGGGATGACTGACGTCTTTGGGCCAAATAAAAGAATTTCTAATTTTCGTTGTTTTTTGCCAGCAACAAATTGATTCAAAATTATGTCATCTTGAGTAAAGATGTGATTAAGTCATTTAATGTGCTACATGATGACAACAATTACAAAGAGACCTCCTCACCGCTCGAATATTAATTTCGGAAACGGGGGGCGGGGGCGACAGCCTTGTGTTATTCTTCCAAACGCACATCGATGTACCGTTTTGCATCCTTTCACGACTATTTTCTTCACTCTCTCTCTTTCTCTCACTCTCTCTCTCATTTTCAGAGTGGCAGTTACGGTTCGGTGGCAGGATGGGGACGCAAAGGGGACAACATGGATTACCCTCGTTATCTCAACCAGGTTTTCGTTCCTGTCGTCGAGAGAAAAACGTGCCGGCGGGCGACGGACTACGATTTCACTTCCAACATGTTCTGCGCAGGGTTTCGAGAAGCGAACCGAGGCGATGCTTGTGAAGGGGACAGTGGAGCACCCTTTAGCATGCAACACGCCAATGGCCGGTGGTATATACTTGGTACGGTCAGTTGGGGTGATGCTTGCGATGACCAGGATAAATACGGCTATTACACACGACTGCATAGGTATACCTCGTGGATAAAACGTCACACTAGAGTCACCACAGAGTGATCTGATGGCCTGATGAGAAGAGAGGCAGAAAAACGAACAAAGGAAACTACTATCTCTCTTCTCTCCTTATAAATTTATAAATATATACTTTCGACCAAATTTGACCAGACAAACGAAATATTATCATGACATCTAAGAGTTTTTTATCGTGAATATTAATTGCCTTATTTTGCCATTAGCTCTCTCATTTTACAACCGTGAATCGCCACAGATATCAATATTACTGGACTATTCTACTCGCACAACGGACGAAGCAGAGAGAGTGCACATATCTTTTTATAATGACGCCTTCAATGATGGATTGCTACATATTTGTCATTAGTTGAAATGAGATCATTGCAAAACAATCGTGACAACCGTGGTGATGAAGGCGATTTACAAATGAAGTACATCGGGCAGTGAAAGGACCATTATACCTCGGCGGATTGAACAACTTTTGGGAATAAATTCATATAAAAATCGAAGGTGCAGACAATTTTTAACAATTTTGATGAGAGGTTTTGAATCTACTTCTAGGTACGGAGAGGACGAATTTCGTCTTGATTTCCTAGCGACCAATGTCACAGGTAATATTATACGCTGGTAAAACCTCTTTTCTAAATGAACTCCAATTGTCAAACGCAAATGTTTTACAGAAGATACTCTTCACCAATGGACATTGTTTCCTATATTTTAGCATGAAAAATTCGTAAATATGACATCAGAGTTTTCCCTGGACATTGATTAAATGGAAACAAATGTAAAATATCGTAATTCTAAATCTGCGAACATTGGCGTAAAGTTTCATGGTTGAATTATGAAAGTGACGTTAAACTTGTGAGAGTTACCATAACATTGCTAATCTACTTGGATGTTAACGATGAAAGCAAGTAACATATATAACGACAACAATTATCGTGGTATTCCAATGAGAAATAGGCTCAAGAAACTCTGTGTCCTGAGGTGCTCTTATCTTCCCGTTGGGTTATTTTATAAACACCAGCTATTTCATGTGTAAATAAAATGTTATTTATTTTGACAGCCTTTCAAGATTTTAACCATTCTATGTGAATAATTATATTCTATCACGTGACATTGACATAAAGTCAAATATGTATATAATGTTTTTTTGAATGATTTGTTTGGTATATAATAGAAAGCCCCTTGTGCCTTGCGTAGTGCATTTGTAAAACAGAGATCGGGCTTTTTTGCTTCTTTAAAACAAATGATATCACATGTTATGTCTGAATATCCCTTTCCACCTTCTAACAGGGGAAAATATTGAAATATATATTTCTAATAAACGGTTTCCACAATGCACAATACAATGAAATGAAACAGCTTATTTGCTTTTAGATTTTCAAATTTCGCTCTGCGCTCAGGGGGGGGGGGGTGACTATTAATACACCCTTGGTCGTTTATTTTCTGTTTATATGATGTTGGTGCTCGATTTATAAACTAACAACAAAAACAATCAGGGTTGAAGTACATGTATCTCTAAAATCAGCTTGAAATCATCATTATTTTCTGAAGTTTATAATAGCATATTGAGGTGTATCTCATTGGGGGTATAGGGAACATAGGTTACATAATTATGTGGGGGAAGTAGTTTTGTTTATAATCATGATAACGAGTATGCAACTGAATATGGTCCAAAAATAAGTGGAGACATTAATTAATCAGAAGGTTAAAATAAGGTATCTTTTTTTTCCTCCAGAATCAACTAGAGTTCATGCCAATTGAAGGAACTTTCATAATACTTCGATTCATTATAGGAAATGTACATTTTTCAGCTACAGTACTAAATGAACGTTAAATTGTATTATATTTTAATGAATTAATAGACTTCAAGATCACAAAGTGACCCTCTGTATTAACATGTTATATACTATGAATGAAATATTTGGTTTGACCAGAGAGGGTAAGCCTGCTTTGACTAAGACGTATATCGAAGTAATGTTGTTACTTAAATTTAATCATCTAGTTGAGAACACGAACAGAGTTTCAAAGCTTAACGATGGCAGTAAATACATGTATTTCTATTTTTGCTTTTTGAAGGTACATTCAAATATGGAGACCTTCATTTTCTTGAGCTATTTAATTCTGACATGAAACCATTTACATGTTTTCGTATTACTATACTCTGAATATTCAGCTAGAAAATACAGATGAAATTGGTGCTACTCTTTTACAGTTCTTTCTGCTTATATTCATTTTCTGTACCTGAGAACACGAATAGACAAACTCACAAAATATTGTGTTTCATACTGGGTTATTACGAGGAAGAGATGGTGCAAATATTTTTGGGGGGAGATGTCCTTGTGCTTGCAGAATCACAAAACACATTGTTGTCTGGGAAATAGACGGATGCCCGCATTTTGCGATAATATGTCCAAAGAAAGACACAAGACTTGACATTGAAATTCGCCGGTACTAAAATTAGAATTACGGTCGCTGCATGACATCGATATTTGACGGGAAACCAGAAGGACGTCGACAGTTAAAAATCATTGAAATGACATTCATGTTACTTTAGACGCATTTTTCGAACTTTTATTTTCCTAGAGCACTTCCAGCCATGGGGGAGGGGGCACCTATATTACTATGCAAGTAAAATGCTAAATGATAAGACCATCTTGTGGAATGGGGATGTGGAAGGAGAGCAACCGTGTTTTTACGTTTCCCTGCCCCGTTTAGCTTCTTCCCCGACCTTTTTTTGTTCTTTATCGCCATTCGATGGGGGTATCCCCTGTGCCCCTTTATCTTCTCCACCCCTTTACTCTAGCTTGGGCAACTCCGTGATCTCTTAACTGATAAAGGGTCAGTCGAGAAGACTGCTGGATGGGTAGATCTTGTCTGGAGGTTATGTGTGAGAGGCAAGGAAACACAATGGGCAAAGAGTCTCGGTTCTCTCTCGTCACTCAGAAATACCTTCATCCTGTGCGGGAGGCTCTCCGACAAACTCAATTAGAAGGTGACGAAGATTGCAGAGCGAAACCTAGGAAAAGAGGACACGAGTTTGCCTTCCGCTTGTGCTGCTTTGCTTTTACAGGGAGGGGGGGGGGGTTGGAGGTCGGAGGATCTTTATGGGGAAGATAGTTTACCATCGAAACAATTAAAAGGGATTAACTTATTGTTCTCCTCTAGGATTTTGTTATTCTGGTTTTTTAAATATCTTCAGTATTACTTTTGTCCAAATCAATTCCCGCTCTCTTTCTTTGATTTAAGTTCAATACCTGCCTCATTCTTAATTATGTGCAGACGGTTCAACTGTCGCTTTTCCTTATTTGATAGGGGAAATTAGCTTGGACCGAAACAATTTTGTGAAATATTTGAAATGCTTCAACCAGTTTAAATTGATGATGTATGTGACAGTATGTCTGTTTTGAAGCCTCATGAAAATTTCGTTCTAAAAGTAATTTACAATCGAGGAAATTTCGTGCCAGATATTAAATGCAAGTGTCACTGAAACCCACAAGGGTATGAAATCATTCAACTATAACTTTGTCAAATGCGTTATAGCGCCAGCTATAATGTTGGTTAGCGTTTTTAAGTCTTGTGTAAAATATTTGTTATCAAATGCCATACAGGTCTTTTTATTGCTGAAGATAAGTGTAAGGGTGTCTTTTTATTTATATTTGAGCTTTAGGGAAAATATACCAATAATTTATTAAATAAATTTCAACAAAAAAATCAGTCATTGTTTTTATGTTTGGTTTTCCCATACTATTGTGAGAGCAAAAGGAAAAGAAACGAGAGAAAGAAAGAAAGAACATAAACGAGAGTTAAAGACAAAGAGAGAGAGAGAGAGAGAGAGAGAGAGAGAGAGAAAGAGAAAGATAGGGCGGGATGACAAGAAAGTGACATCCCCCATTTTTTCTTCTTTTGATGTGTGTCGTATTAATCTGTGAAATCATAAAATGATTGGTTTTAACAGGGCAAAATGGTATAAGCATAAAATCAAGCAATCAATTTACATTAGAATGTCTTCACTTCAATATAAAGTGCATGGATGTCTATAGCCGGGCGAAAGGGACTGAGAATAAGTGACCTCATATTTGTCAAAATCAATCAAATTGTGTGCCCCTCTCATTATGTAGAAAAACACCCACCTGAAGTAAAAACAACAAATTTTTATTTTTTATTTTGGCGTGATGAGCCCTTTATTCCAAGGTTTATCGTTATAGTATACGAACAAAAATAACTATTGTCGTACCTTATGTTGTCACATGTCCTTACCCGAGAGAAAATCCTCTCATACACAGTTTCTTCATTTCGCATTTGTCCTTTATGATGTCTCTGCCCTTCTTGTAAAGGGGCAGGAATGACAATTACGGACGCTGACAGAAAGTTTACTTAAATGCATGAAATATGTTTTTTACCCATCATTACCAAAGGATAATGATACAAAAGTTGTGAAATATGAAGGAATCTACATGTAGACAGCAAACTGAACGAATAACAAATTCAATTCGGTATACTCTGATAACATTCCGCCGCCCCCTAAAATATTGTTATGAAATGCTATAAATTCTCTTTATATAGAGGTGTTGTGGTCGAGTGGATACGACGCCGGACTGTCGATCACAAGGTCCGCGGTTCGAGTCCCGCCGCCGCACTAATGTCCTTTGGCAGGACATTGATCTACATTTGCCACACTCCACCCAGGTGAAGTAAATGGATACCTGGTAGGAATTTATTCCTTGAAATGCTAAAGCCAAGGTAATAATCGGAAGCGCCAGGAGGGTCAAATCTGACTGACATGAGTGCTATACAAGAACGCACTATTCTTCTTATTATAAAGAATCCGCCAATTTTCTTTTTGTAACGTGGGTAGATATGGAAACAAAAACTATATCGTATTTGATACGGCACAAACGTTACGTTACACATGTAATGTTTCTTCTGTCACCATAAAGTGAATGTTAAACTGCAAAAGTGAAAGTGACTATAACATCCATATTCCAACTCTTTTGTGTTTGTATTACTGATTTCAGAGCAGTGTTATTAGCAGGCACATTTCTAGCAATAATTATTCAATCATCTATCGTAACTAATTTTATCAGACTCCTCCAACTTTGTTTCTTCATGCTATATCTAGATTATTTATAGTACTCTTTACCGGGCACTTATATCAGCTACTATAACAGTATTTGGAGCCGGAGAGACTTCATATAAAAGTATCTGAGTAATTAATGCCTTCCAAACAGACTAATCCTAATGTGTGTTTTTTTTTTGTTCATTATAATTATGATACTTGTCATATCGCATTGTGAATGTTAAGTTCTTACAAAGGAGACCGTGTGCATAGAAATGAACGAACCTTGAAATTTCACCCAAATTATTGACAGCTAGCTTAACCTTTCATAATATAACAAAACACGATTGTAAAGACTTTCGAAAAATCGACTCAAGGGAAAGTCCCTTACACTAATACACTAATACACCCATACAAATCATGCTCGGACTACGTCATTCAAATGTTGGCATATTTGAAGAAGTGATGAACATGGCTGCTAAAATTTAATTTTCGACAGTCTATGCGATCTGCTAATATAGGGCTTCGTGCAGGTTGAACCTATCCGGTATTACAACCAGAAAAGAGGATGATATGCAAAGTTTCCATGGATAATATATAATCCCAACCTGTACAGAGCAGAAAACATTTCCTCAGTATATACATATTGATTCTAAGTATACATAAACAAAACGTACCTGAAATATTCTCGCTCAATTAGAAACATATTTATAGGCACAAGTGCAGAATAGCTTGTCCTATTATATATTTTGCTCAGATACTTGCTATACATATAGAGAAATCATTTACAAAAATGTGACACTTTCTTGAATGTAAGCGCAGACTCTATGTTATTGGCTGAAACTCTAACCGCGCCAGCACGGCTTATCTCATCTGATCCACTTGAACTAAATCCATCTAAATCCATTCAAGCAAAAGTATATATTAATACAATATACACATTAACAAAATAACAGATGCATTGATGCAGAGATCATCATAATAATACATTATACATTTAATGATAGACCAAAGGCACCAAAATAACAAATCCTGAACCTTGAAAGAAGTTTGTAAATGAATGAAAATTCATCGGAGAACTCATGGTTTTACAGGGTAATGTGAAAGTCCCACTGTACAAAAAAGTGAATGGGAACCATACTCAAATGGAAAATTTTTTTTTTGCGATAACAATTCTATTTCTATTTCATGCTCTTGACGAAATAAACCGGGGGGGGGGGGCTATAACTAAGGTCGGGGCCAGATTCGACTTGTATAATTATGTACATGCAGCATTCTATTTCACGATTCTTTACATCGTCATTGTTCTATTTGAGTTGTTTCATCTTAGTTACGAGTCGACGTGCATCAAGTCTTCTCATACTGAGATCACTAGTCATGATGTCTTCATCAAGATGTTGCAGCATCAATCCATCTATCTTCTCACTGGTAAAGACTCCCACGTACTCGGATAGACCAATCTGGCGCAGAAAGTCGCATACATCTAAGGCAGGCAATATAATGAAAACATTTGGATTAGAAAAAATAGGCAATACTGTGCATTAGTGCATCACGATATCCCGTAACATATCTGCAAATGGAACACTATTGTAATTTTATTCTATATTCTCACATTATGCTACATTATCACAACATAACGTTATATTTTAAAATGTATTTTTCAGAAGAGATTAGACTCTGATTTTGGATGTTTGTGTTGTAGTATGTTGATCTATTCACGTGACTCTCAATCCAAGGCTTGAGGGTTCTACTCCCAGTCCGGTACTTAATTTTTTGGCAAGACATTATGATATAAAGACAGAATATTATTACTATTATAACTCTTATTAGTATTATTTTTATCATCATTATTATCAATATTATAATCAATATTTTGTATTATCATCATTATTGTAATTAAGCCTTTTGACATCATTATCATCATTGTTATTATTACCATCTTCTCCTATATTCTAACTACAAATTCAGCCAATTATCCTCTGAGGCTCTGCGTTGTTGACTTCTACAAGTAAAATATTTGCATACTCTTCTGAAGATTCCTTAGAATAATACCTCACTATAGCTATAAGTACCGATGAAATACCTGGTATTGTCATCTTTTTGTCGACCTTCATTCCTGTGTATGGATTGGAATAGAGTGAGGGAGGAGATACCACCTCGTCCAGCTCCTCGTACAGAGCACCATCCTGTATACTGTGCATGCGATCAATCTCGGTTTGAAGTTGGAGAATCTGTTTGCGGTCCGCTGCCCGTGATGTTAGCATCCCATCTTTTTCTTTCCGAAGCATCTATAGAAATAATTGATATAACCTGTCACTGTTAAAGACACATAATCGTGGGTTCTCATGAGGAATGTGACACCATTTGATAGGTGTTGTTACTCACCGAGAGTGGGCTTCACTTTTTGCTATCAGTCTTGTAAACAGTCTAATTAGTTGTGGACTTCATGGACCTTTGGTTATTTTGGGTCAATTGCGATGTCACCTCTAAAAAAGTCCAAGTATGATATTTAAAGCTTCCTTTCTGTCGACAGAAATTATTTACTTATCCCATTAAAAATATGTTTATGAACTATCACGAGTACCATGCTAGTTGAATAATGTAAAACACTGTAACCATAAGCCTACAATAGACAAAGGTTTTGTTCTTTACATCTGTAAAAAAATATGACCATTGGGGAGGAAAGGCTTACAGTTGATTCATATTAAATCCAATAATATAGAATAAAATAAAGCCAGTTTTTATCATGGGATGTAAGTGTCTAGAACTAAGAAAACAAAATCATGTGACGTTTACCTCATATCGCTCCTTTTGTTTTCCTTCGGCGTTTAGGAGGTCAAATATTTTCTGCAGATATGAAATAAGAATGAAGATATCTTTAAAAACTATTTTTTTCCGCATAGTGAAGATTGATACATCTGAAAATCTGGGATATCAGCATGACTAGCCACTTGTCGATAAGAACGGGATATAAATAAAAACAGGTTTAAAGCCATGTCGAAATTACGAAGATCATAATTTTTAGGGACGACTTTTAAAGTGTCTTACGGCAATAAAAAAGAAAAGTTCATTGAATACGCATGTTTTTCGGATGATATAAATATATGAGGACAACTTTTAAAATCTTCCTTTCTGTCAACAGACCCGTAGGCAAAATAATGTAGGTCCGACGCGGCCCCTTGCACTTTTTCGGCAAAGTTCATATTCAATTTTAACCAGATGAATATTACCATTTGTTTTTCAAACAGTTCCGTCTTGAGTTGTTGAATCGTGGCTTGTAGTTTGCTCTTTTCTTCATCTTCGACGGGTTCCTTCTTTATCGGAAGCGTATCGTATCTTGATGAAGACAAAAAAGAAGGTCGAAAATCACATTAGAATTAATCAAATCTAATCAAACCAGTAACACTTGAATAACAAACATATTTAGATTTCATTCCATTCGGCAAGGGTGAAATTGCAAAGAAAGCTGATAATTTTTGTTTGTTTTACAAAACTCGAAAATAAATGAAATCCCTTTCTTACCCTTCGAAATTTCATCAACACTGTCAAGTGCCCGTTAAAACATCAATTTCCACACTAATAAAAGCACAATGGTGATATTAAACTCAGGCTTATTTTGGTCCAAATTTAACAAGACACGAATTTCTTAAGTTTTTAATGTTTTGCTTTAATGTTTGGAGTTGTAAACTTACGGGCTAGATTTGGGTTTCGGTCTTGGAAGTGGCTTCGGTTTATTAAGGCCTGCTTTAGCGGAGGTCAACATTGAAGGCTCAAGTGTGCGATAGTCCCGAGGTGGTCTAGGTGGCAAGACACCCGGGATAGATGTTGGTCGACTGGTCAACGCAGGACGAGGAGAAGCAGTCGGGTATTCTATTTGTTTCTTCAATTGCCTGATCTCTTTGTCTCTTTCTTCGATTTTCTTCTTCATATAGTTGGCATTGACTTCATACTTTCGGTTTATCCTCTTCTTCCCTGTGAGAAAATATTATGGATAGAAAAGAATGGGTGATTGTCTTTGCTTAAGAAATTAACCCAGATAAGATAACGTACAGGTGACAGCTAGAAGTCACTTAAAAGCAAGACAAAACATCATCATGAAACAATCAATAAATGGGGGCGCATTTGGTATTCCTTTCGAGAACTTCATAGTTTGAAAATAGATTTTCAGATGATTAAAGCTAGCTAGAAAAATCGATAACAAAATGCAACTTGGGGAGACCATGCAGACGTTGGACAAGAATGATCATTACACGCTACCTTCATAGCTCTTTGCCCAAGCTTCGAAGACACCTTCTATGGGTTGTGGTACAGCACACAGAGGATCGGGCATCCTCGGTTGCGTTATATCGCTCACGCCCCATGTCGAATTGGTTCGATTGAAAATGGCGGGAAGGACTCGAGCCATATCTTCCAGGGTGGCATTAACGACCTCGAATTCGATGGAGGAGTTGATCGGTATGGAGAGCAGATCGTCATCCCTTCCTCGAGCAGCGATGACATGGTAATCAGTGTAGAGGCGATGTAACTTCATGACCTTCTCCTTGGCTTTATTCCGTTTTGGTTCGACAGTGTCGTTGGTAGTGGCCTCTGGCATGCGAACTCGCTTCGGATTCGGGGAGAAGGCGATTGAAAAAGAAAAAAATAATACAATTGAAAAGCATGGAACATGGAACACGCTACGGAAATCTATTATGGTGATCACATGGAGAGGTTGAAATACAGATATCAAGTTAGACATTTTTTGTGATCATGGCCATCTGATCAAATTCGCGGACAGTTCGTCGGCAAGTGCGAAGTCAACCTACATAGGCCTATTGCATTATTTAGCTGAAGCTAGGTTAACAACCCAAGATTCACAAGCTTTTGAGGTTGTCAAGAGCGAATTCTCCGGAATACATGAATACAATGTAAATTGTAAAGGCATAGTGAAACGCCCGAGAACACACGATCAATTGATAGAAAGGTTTAAATACAGAGGCCGATGTTTGATGTGTATCATTACATGGTTTGATGGTTTGATGGCAATTAAGGCCACATAACTGAATATGATCATATAAAAACTATCCCAGATCACTGCCCCCCCCCCCCCAACATAATTACATCGTACAACAGTTACTATGTCCCGCAGGATACCTACTGCTAGAAAACCGATACCGTATTCCTTGGACAACAGTACAGATTACCATATATATTTGTCCGAGGGGGAGTTAAGAATTATTATCTAGCGGAGTAAAGTCCTGGGGTATAATTATGCAGAACTGTCCTAGGTGAAGAACTGACCAAGGAAGCAGTTGCCCGTGGGATATTGTCCTACGGGTATATGTGCAAAATGCGTTCATTGAATACTAGAGAGAATACTGATGCATGTTTTCTTTCATATAGTCTTACCTGGGGCATGTCGAATTTGACCAACTCGGATAAAGGCAAAAGATCTTGTGAGATCATGGTGCTGTATGATGCCATATCCATTGCCTCTGAGAAGTTGACTTCCTTGTCTCGAGAGTCGTAACCTACCAGAACCTACATCAAGAACAACATCATCAATACATGCATGACTATAATGATATATTATAATGATATAATTTATTATAATAAAAGAAGAAAATCGCATGTCTTCGAAGAAGCTTGATTTTTTTAATGTATAACTATGTTGCACTGTTCCTGAGTCCCAATCGATCCTGCATGGGCCTTAGTGTTCTCTGGATTCTACTTCCTGTTAGTCCTCCACCAACCTTATTGTTTCCAGATCCCACTGGCATTTCTTTCCTTCAGTCATCCGGACGGATGATTGGTTCTACATTCCATTTGCATGATATGGGCACTACGCCTTAACGGTCCCTTCCACCCTGCAATTCTCCAATATATCCAATTTGATTTACTACTTATTTGAGCAGAAATATACGGTAAATGTTGGCAGTCGGTTGTTGCTTCAATTATTTTTTTCTTCTTCTAATAACTCATTGTTCGATACAAAACATTATCCACAATTTTCATCATAATTATGGCGGTATTTCACAACAATTCAGTTTACCCTCTCTCGTCCCCTTTCGGGATGTTCTTGGACCTCTACTCGTCGGACTTTGATGATGTCACCAGCATCCTGGTCGGCCATGGGATCAGGGGAGTACTCAGCATCCACCACTCGTATCGTTTCAGGTAGCGGTGATGCCTCGATCACCGCCTTGGTGCCTTTGTAGTATTTGTCATCCAGCAGAGGATCTATGGCCAGAGAAGATGAAGGGATGAAAAGGGATTTGCAGATAATATAGTCAGACGTGATTAGACAGAGACGGAGAGAGAAAGTGAAAGAGTGGGAAAGGGAAAAAAAGAAGGAGAGAGAGAGAGAGAGAGAGAAAGAGAGATGGACAAAGCAAGGGGGAAAGAGAACGAAAAAAGAATCTTGATGTACACCCCCTATTTCTTTTTTTTCTCTCTCTCTCTCTTTCCCATTTTACCAATATTTGTTCCTCCATATTCGTAATATTATTATGTATCCGTTTAGGGTAGTCATGCCAACAAGCTTTGCTTATTTTGTCAACCCTCCTGTTTGATTTATTTTTCTCGATTAGTTACAGTCAGCCTTACTTTATTCGACATTAAATTCTTTTGTAATGTGTAAAATTTGCAATGGTATGTTCGTTATATATTTGTAAAAATGCAAAAGAAAAAAAAATCAAACAGAAATAAATCAAATCAAATCAAATCAAAAAGAGGGGAAAAAATGTACATCATGTACAATGTACATTGTAAAAATGTACTACAAGGGTATGCATGTTCCATGTAGCCTCCATTCAATAATCTTTAGTGATCTTTGAACGTCAATGTGAGCCGATACATATTCTAAAAATAGTGTTTTCAATGAACGAGGGATTCTTTTATTCAAAGTGATTGACCCGTCAAGTACGGGTGGCTCCTCTAACAATTGGCATTATTCCCCCGTTTCGTATTTGTGCAAGTATGTTGACTTTGAACGCACATCTACTCCTGGTAGACATTCGAGTGTACTTCTATTAATTCATTGTGCATGTAGTAATACTGCAATATCGTATATACATAATGAATACTTACAAATCCCCCGCGTCTACAATAGACCGGTTTATTGTATTCACTAAAAGCTACGATTTGGCAAATACAGCACCTGTTATAGTTAGTACACAGACGGCTCCAACACGGAAATGGTTTTCACCTAATGTTTAATGTAGATTTCGAAGTAAAATTAAATGCTTAAAACGATGCCACCGCCTGACTCTTGAAAGTCGTGGCCCAAAAATGCCCACATTTTGTGATTTAGAGACCCACCAGTATTTGTATGGAATTCAGAACAAATGTTTTGGCCGAAAATGTTTGTTTGGTGTCGAAAACCAACTATGAGCATACAGTGAAATATGATGTAGGTTCAGACCCACAGAAGACCACAGGGCCCTTGAAGTTGCTCCAAAAGGGCCCTAAAGACCAGCAACTGTAGACAATCAAAAGGACTGCTTTAACCTATTTTATGGGTTAATAGGATCACAGTAAATCTCTATGTTGGTATCAATATACAATGATACGTTGTATGTATGATGCTTTGAGAGCCAATTATGTCTCAGGTACCCAAAGCGTGATTTTAAGGGCCAAAAATGCAACTTAAGTGATTCAATAGCATCGCGCTGTAGAGGTCCTTGTTAATGCAACCGATATACATCATTTAGTGGGGCACCTGAAGGGGCCCCGGGAGCCCTGAAGCTATTCATCGAACCCGATAGAAAGTGCGTGAAAAATCGAGTATTTTACTGACAACAATGATACAAATTATACTATATGTCGTGTTGAACCCATTGATGGTAGTCGTTGATAATACATTATAACGGGGGGCACCTACACCTTCTATAATAAAGAGTTATGTATAAACTACCTAATTTCGAAATTCCAGCTTTCCGGGAGAAATTTTGAATGCTAAAATAAAAATTTGAAGAACACCACTCTGGTGAACGTGTTAGGCTTTGTAAAGCAGTCCCATATGTAGCCTTTTTTGTGTACCCCCACACAGCCATAAGGCGAAAGAGGCAAGTAATTTATGTTCAAAGTTTTTCCCTCAATCATATACACTAATAATTTATTCTTAGAATGTAACTCGCTCTACTAAATAATTGGATGGGGTGAAAAAAGGCAGTTAATTATAACATACTAAGTTATGTGACCAGACTTCACTCGGTACAGTGCCATAACGTGTTTGTGTACTGTACTCAACGTACCTGAGCAATCAAACAATTACTTTACTGTGTTATCATGAATTATAAAATAAGGAAAGTAATGCATGAGGAAACTGGATTTCTGAGTACATCTCACCTTGTTCACATAGGATTGCAAGATAGGTAGTAATTAGAAACAGACCGATGAGAAAACTATATATTTGAAACATACTGGAAATTAAATATGTGGGCCTCGTGACTCGCGATACCTCACAACACAGTTAGAGAAATACTTTTATTGAAGTTTATGACATAGTTTTGAATCGGTGTGCTTATCTAGGAAATTGCTTCAAGAGGAGAAACTGAAACCAACAACTGCGAGTCTGCAACTTCTTTTATATCCAAATTGAACGCCATCATAACGATGGTTCTTGAAATGTGGAAAGGCGAGATATGATAATTCAATATTTCAACGATTCCCTCATAACATCAGACAATAATAAATTGATAACACTTTTCAACCATCATTGTCAACTATTGCAGCCTTTTAAAGGCTTATTGTCTAACAAAACAGTACAGAAATATTTGGTGAAATGTTGACTATCTTTACAATGAACCATACATAGCAAATACGCAACCTTCTTACATACATGATATTTTGCAGCCAGATCCTGTGTAGGGAGGGACACGTTTGTACCTGGGACATGGATTGTGCTTATCAGAATGCCTTCTCATTGAAATCATATACACATACTATACATAAACCTTTCCTTCTCTGAAACTTTGCTTGAGGTATCGATAGAAATTGACAAACCGACACAATATCTCATTTAAGGATATTATGCTGTACATTGAGCTCACAATAAGCTCACAAAGGCCGTTCTCATTTACCAGAGAGATGTTGATTTTAGCATTCGAACTTTGTCTTCTTCATTCATGTTCTTTGTTTGCTTTTGATATTTGTATGTTATGACATGTGTCATTTTATAAAAGTACATGTATTTTGGGGGCACGGACCTTTCGGAAGAACAGCCTATATGGCTGAAGTGGGTGCCGTGCAAAAATTAAATAAAATGAACTGAATTGAACTGTCTTTTAGGCAAAAATTTCGAACTACGGCAGTTTACAATGACATAAAAGAAAAGCGTGAAATTACCAAATTCGAAAAGAATTCAAACAAGAGATGCGAATGAAGTCAAGATTTTAAACATGATAACGAACATAATATAATTTCCTTGTGTTTGAGTTGATATCAACACGATTTCTGTGCAGTCAACTGTCAAATAATCAATGCAAATAATTGAGCGTTTGTGTCTGGAATGAAGTAATGGCTTTTGATCATCATTCTCTACTTCAGCCCAAACTTGGTACAAGAGGATTTTGACAATACTTTTTGAAAAGCCTGCTGCTCAGTCATCCGTGGCATATTCATTCCAACTATGAATATGGTATCATTAGACAGGGTATAAGTTACCCTTTACCATGATATATGTTTCAATCACATAGGTTAAAACTTTATAGTTAGAAGTTACCAAGCTTGTGTACACTTTTTAAAATACTCACTGTATTATCCAATTAGTGACTTCATAAGTGCCTATCAATGTTTTAGGAATGTTCGTCCAGGTTTGTGTATAATTCTGAGCACACATAAAGCAATGCGTGGGACTATTATGCATCATTATCATTACCATTGCTATTATTAGATTTGGCTTCAGGGACTGCATAGACAGGGAAAAGTGAATACAAGAGACAAACAAACGAACAAGAACACAAACACACACACGCACTCTGAAAACATCAGTACATAATGATATTTTGTTAATAATCAGTCACATTTCTTTGAAGGAAAAGGACGAGAAACAAATGGTTAGGCCCCAGGTGAACAAATGTCACATTTTATTAGTGTAGAATAGCATTGTAACATAATAAGTGACAAACTATCTTGATTGAATGAGAAATAAAACAATGAATCTACAAAACTCCAGATCCACAAAATATGAATTTGATTATTTTACTTATCGGGATATCAAATATGAATACATATCATTAGAGATCGTTACTTACTGTATAGCCAACAAAAATACAAAAACTCGTTTTTGTAAAATAGAGGTTTGAATTTTAATTCTTCGTTGGCTAATTCCCGTATCATCGTTCTGATATTTATTTGTCTTATCTTTTAGCATTTTGCTAATTTTCGTTTTCATGACCGTCCAATCATTTATAAATAGTGCGATTCTGTTTTATTTCAATAAAACATATACAAAAATATGAATATCAATGTCGATTTTACCGATGGGAGATACCTACATGATGTTTTGATTATAGTGCAATTTCAGTGTCATGAATATATGTCATCATACTGTAATATCGATAATGTCGGGAGATTCACATGGTATCCGTAATCATGCAATTTGTTCATCATTTTTCCAATGTTTCCCCTAGGCTTTAGTGTTACATTAGTTTATCTTTACTGTAAGCTTAAAAGCAAATGAAATTGAATTATTTAGAAATGCCTGACTTTTATACACATTATATTACATTTAATCCCTGTACATAATGTACAATACACACATTACATGCATGTGAAAAATATATATACCAATGTTTGTGGCTCATTAAAAAAATAACCTTATTGGCTTAATAGTCTATCTATCTATCAATGGGAAATGGTTTATCTATTAAAGCAAATATGCTGACATTATTGACACAAAATATATTGCTCATAGAATTTCTACTTGTGCTGGATCGAATGTCTGATATTCGGATAAAATCTCGACCTAAACATTTATAGGGAAGGAAATGAAGGTTGTCCCTGCCCCCCCCCCCCCCCCCCCCCCCCCCCCCCCTCTCTCTCTCTCTCTCTCTCTCTCTGGCTGGCTTGATCTTATTTATTCTATTTCATGTTAGTATTATTTTTATTTTTCCTCATTTTTGGAGTCAATCACCTAACCGACTCACCTATAGGCAATGGTTCGAATAGTTGTGTGCAGTGAAGAGGCAGACGGTATTCAGCCTTTTTGACCGTAGCATGTACATGTTCCAGCTTTATCACGAAGCAGAGCAACAATATTTCACCACTTTTCAGCGCAATTGCTGCGTCTTTAGCGGCAAAATTCTTTGCGATCCGAACAGATATCGGCAGAGTGCTCCCGCAGACGACATGCGCGAGAAGGCATGTGCGTTCGTCGGTAGGCAAGTCGGACAAACTTAGGCACACAGGCTGTGGATTCGAGTCTGTATCTCCAGTCTTCTTAGTTAATGTCATCGGATCTTTCTTCCCAACAGAAGTCAAGCTTCTACTTATCTTCTTCATGTTGAATGTATCCCCTATCCGATATTAGCTTAGATAAGGACGACAGTTAGCCGGTGTGTGAACCAGGTTCTGAGCAGCAATCAACATGTCTCTGGTTCAGTCAAAAACAATTTTTTTTTTTTTAAATCGCTCTTTGAATTTAGCCCGAACTTCCGCCTTGCGTACCTATTAAAAGTCAATAGATGCGTGACGTTCTATGATTATTATTTCAATACAGGTATCGTAGTCTTGAAAAAGTTGTTTATCGAAAATCGGGATTATTTTGATGCTCTGTTCTGTAATCAGAGGCGGCGCTCTGGGGGGGGGGGGAGGGGAACAGGGGGCATAGTGCCCTTAACAGTTCCCCTTTTTAACAAATGAAAAGTGCCCACTTTTACTTCACATAAGTGCCCCTTTTTAGTTCTAATAGGTGCCCATTCAACATTGTTATATGTGCCCCTATGCATCTATGATAATTGCCCCTATTTAAATCTGATAGTGCACCTTTTGCTTTAGAATAGGTACCCCTACCCCTTCTGATGTTTGTCCCTGATGTTGTATGCCCCTTTTCAACTCTGATAAGTGCCCCCACCTTTTTTTGTATACGTGTCCTTTTTTTTCTTTCGAATTTTGTCTTTTTTCCTTCTGCTAAATTCCTTTTTTCTATTTAATAATAGCCCCTTCCCCTTCTCATAAAAATTTCCGTTTTCACACATTTATGATCAATTCCCCTATCAAAATCTGACAAGCGCCTATTTTGCCTTGTAATAAGTACCCCTTTTCCATCATAATAATTGTCCCTTTACATCTCTGAAGAGTGCCCTTTTCCTTTGTAATAAGTGCCCCTTTACCATTCTCATGAGTGCCCATTTTTAGGTGCGAGAAGTACCCCCTTTCACCTCTGATGATTGTCATTTATACTTTAAAGGTCGGGTTACATTCAAATATAAATTGATTGCTATTAATGTGCAGGGCTACGTACAACTCATATTTTGTTATTTAAAAATCTAAATATATTTCATAGATTTTGAAATATTTTTAAACATAATTTCTCAACCCTGCTAAGCTCCACCCTAAAAAGAATTCTCCAGATATCATTCATCTTTGACATCATCTGCAATCATTAGTGAGCTAATAAGAGACAGTAGTATGTAACTTCCCCCAGATCAGCACATACTCACAAAAGAATTGTTTCATGGTGATGCTACAGCACGTCTGACATAGCAACTCCTATGTCGGTATTGTATGGTATATTGTAAACAGGTGGTCAGCTCTGGTTTAAAATGTATAGGATTAAAAATGTTCAACTTCCAAAAAGTACTTCCATCATAAAACTTTTTTACAGCAACCTTGAATATATAATTTGTGAAATTTCAATCCATTTAAAAAATATTTTGTAATGCATGATTAGAAACAAATATACCCTGCCTTCTTTTCGAGGTACTGGATACAACTATGGTGACTCCTATAGTACCTCTTACTTCGGGGCTCCCCCCCCCCCCCCTCCTCAGCAAAGAGTACTATTGGAGTCACCTCTTGCCCAAAGATTCAACCAGAACCTCTCAAGACAGTGTATTTTGTATAACATTATCATCATTATTATTAGTACCTTTGTTATTATTATCATTATTATTATATAATTGTCGGTATCGTTATCATCATCGTCGTCGTCGTCGTCATAATCATCTTTATCTCTGTAACAGCAAACTTACCGAGTGGTAGCCGTTCATAAAGTTGCATGCCATGAAGAGGAAGTTGATATTCTATTTGTTTAGAAAGCGACGCATGCACACTGTCAAGTTTCACTCCAAAACACAACAAAAGACACTCGCCATTTTCTAACATTATCGGAGACCCTTTCGCAGCAAAGTGTTTTTTGATCCTGATTGCTACTGGAAGGGTCTCATTACGGACTAATCTGGCAAGCTTCGTGGTACCGATATCCTGGGGAAGATTGCTGAAGGTGAACCCGACGTCAGGCATCATGTCTTTAGGCTGCGAATCACATCTCTTATTAGACTTTGAAACTTTACGAGAGAATCTGTCCATGGCGTTTTGTCACTTAGAGTTGTCAGCTTTGATTGTGGTATCTCGTCTGTCTTGTTATCTCGTTGAATCTTGCTTTCCCAATAAAAGTCAAGCTTTTATTAATATTTTTAATGTTGCCTTTATCCCCTCTCCGATATTAGCTTAGATAAAGACGACAGTGGGTGAACCAGTTTTTGAGCAGCAATCAACATGTTTCTGGTTCAGTAAAAAAAAAAAAAATCGCTCTTTGAATTTTGCCAGAGCTTTCGCCTCCTGCGTAGCTATTGGAAGTCAATAGTTGCGTGTCGATCCTTCTACTATTATTATTTCAATTCAAGTATTGTAGTCATGCAAACAAATTTTTATCGAAGGTCGAGACAGGTTCTAAAGACACCATTGTACACTGTTTTGATGCTCTGTTCTGTAATACATTGTCATTTTTACCCAATTATATTTCGTTTACTTGAAGTGAACAAGCCTATAGTTCATTTTCAGGCTAGATAAGCTCTCGAAACTTTTCGTCAGATTTCATTGACTTTTAGATGAAATATAGCAAGATGCTAGCACCAGGAAGCATCTATAAAGATTTTCCTCCTCATGTTAAATATTAAACAAATGATAACAAATTTATTAATGACTGACCCGGCACGCACATTCAATCTAGGTCAATGTGCAGTATACACACAAATGTAAAACCAAATATTGTGCGCCCGTCAAACGCACGTAATCTTAATATTTATACTACATGTACACCGATTACTCTCATAATTATGTGGGATAGCCAGGTGATTGTGAATTTATGTCAAGCGCGTAGCCAGGATTTCATTTTAGGGGGGGCGGTAATGAGCACGCGAAGCGTGCGAATCACTTAAAGAGCGCGCGAAGCGCGCTCCCTAGGGGGGTGGGTGCAGGGAGGGGCCTCCCGCGCGAAGCGCGGAAGCTTTGAAAGAAGACGATTCGTTGTACCTTTCTCGACTCATAATCCTTGTCTGAATTCAGTCCCTCCCCTCTCTCGCGCGAAGCTTTGACGTTTCATTAAATTATTAGAGAAAGAAGACGATTCGTTGTACCTTTCTCGACTCTTAATCCTTGTCTGAATTCTGTTTCCCCCGCTCTCTGAAGCTTTGACGTTTCATTAAATTATTAGAGAAAGAAGACGATTCGTTGTACCTCTCTCGACTCTTAATCCTTATCTGTATCAGTCCCTCCCCTCTCTCACGCGAAGCTTTGACGTTTCATTAAATTATTAGAGAAAGAAGACGATTCGTTGTACCTTTCTCGACTCTTAATCCTTGTCTGAATTCTGTTCCCCCCCCCCTCTCGCCCGAGGCTTTGACGTTTCATTAAATTATTAGAGAAAGAAGACGATTTGTTGTACCTTTCCCGACTCATATTTCTTAATTTGAACTCAGTTTCCCCCTTCCCGCGCGAAGCGCGGAAGCTTTGACGATTCATTGTACCGTTCTCGACTCCTTTTCCCTTTTTCTTCCTACTTCCTCTTTCTTTTTTTCCTTCTCTTTCTCTCTCTTTTTTTTTTTGGCCGGCGTTTTGGGGGGGGCGACCGCCCCCACCGCCCCCCCCTGGCTACGCGCCTGATTTATGTCAACTTACAGCTTTGTATGCTTCTACCCCATGTATCCAATAAAAGTATGTTAACATTAAATATTGAGTGACTCAAAGTGTATTTTCTGCCATGTATGATGACATCATTACTTGTTTTGTATAACATTGGTTACATTTTCAATTGTTCAGTGCCTATCTACAGTATATTCATTTATTATTTACCCGGTACGATGTATGTAAAGCGAATTTCTATATATTACTTTTAGGATGATGGAGCATTGAATTGAATTAAACATGTTTCTTGCAAGAACTTCGACATTCACGCCGCACTTATCCCCCCCCCCCCTGAAACTTTTCATTCGACTTTATGAACCTCAATTTTACAGCCTTGTGATGAAGGTATTTATGGACTTTGCAGGCCTTGAGTGAGATTGAGCTAAACAAATTAATATAAATGACATCTTCCTCTACGAAAATTTATCATTATTATCATCATCGTTATCGTTATCCTCTTCGTGGTCATAATAATCATCAGTATCTCTGTAACAGCCAACTTACCGAGTGGTAGCCGTTCATAAAGTTGAATAGCATTTAGAGGAAGTCGATATTCATTTTTTTTAGATAGCGACGCATGCACCCTGTCAAGTTTCACTCCAAAACACAAGAGAAGACACTCGCCATTTTCTAACACTATCGGAGACCCTTTTACCGCAAAGTTTTTCTTGATCCTGATTGCTCTCGGAAGGGTCTTAAGTCGGACGAATCTGGCAAGCTGCGTGGTGCAGAGATCCTGGGGAAGATTGCTGAAGGTGAACCCGACATCAGGCATCATGTCTTTAGGCTGCGAATCACATCTCTTGTTAGACTTTGAATCTTTACGAGAGAATCTATCCATGGCGTTTTGTCACTTCGAATTGTCAGCTTTGATTATGATATCTCATCTGTCTTGTTATCCATCAAACCAGGCGTTCTTTATTCCGAAAAATTCGGAAGAGGTATATCTGCAAAGCACAATTTTACTTCCTTTTAAGCACTGATATATCTGTAAAATATATTTATCTTACAGAAAAGACATTCCGAAAGTAATGAGCTGGCATGTACATACTCGACTTGATTAAGAAACGTGAAAGAACACCAATTAAATATGGGCCTGCTTGTGTGCTGAGTGTTTTAACAATGTCAATATTATTAAAATAACTAATAACACTTAAGATGATAAGATAGATAATGGCGAATTGAATAAGAGGGGGGGAAAAGCTTTTGGTTTCCTTTTACTCTTTATAGTACTGTTCAAGTTTCAGTTAGGTTTAGTGCGGATATTTTTTATATTTATATTTTACTTCCTCATTAATGCAGCACGTATGTGAAATATGAATGTTAACTTGAAATACTCCACAGAAAACAATAAGTGGAGAGGAACTGAAATTGTTTATCTTTGGTTTTGTTTTCTTTATTAAAGCAGGTGTAGAGATACGGGTAATTTTTTGTTATTATTTTATATTATATATCATGGGGTTATTTCTTCCAAAATCACATTGCAGCTCAAAGGCTGAATTGCACGATTTTTTTTACAATTTTGCGACATAAAAACATGATATTACAATGAACATTTAAAAAGCATAACACAAAATAATAACTGCATACAAAATTAAAAACATAATATATTCAACAAATAATTTTTTCTATTTTAAATCGAAATAGTTCGACATTATCAGATGGTATAAAGGTACATATTGAGAGAGGGAGAGAGCTAAGAATCAAGAAGTGAAAGAGAACAGGTGAGAGTCGGAGAGAAGGTGGAGAGAGAAAAGGAAGATATAGAAATGGAGAGGGAAAGATGAAGATAGAAAAAGAGAGGGAGAAGTTTAAGAAAGATCGAAAGAGAGAGAGAAAGAGAAAGAGAGAGAGAGAGAGAGAGAGAGAGAGAGAGAGAGATATGATAAAATAGGAGTACAGTGGTACGTGAGAGAAGAATATCTCAAGCAGCGATATGATAGCAAGAGTATAAGAGGGAGGTTGAACATAAAGGAAAATGGAAAGAAAGAAAAGGAAAACAAAAGAGGAAGATCTAGTGTTGGAAGTAAAATACAATTTGAGAAAAACTAAGAATCAAGAGAAATAAAGCTTTAGGTATGTCGTTTTTAATGATTCATCGTCAGATGAGAGAGCAGAACCAGTTACAACGATTACATGATATATTGATATAGGAATATTGTTTAAAATTCTATATAATCCATTATTCAAAAGGTTATAGGGTCTATGCTTGAAATACTACTTAAAAAGTGAATTAGATGAATTATACAATATACAGATTCCACAAATAAATAAAAATAGGATATTATTTACATTAAAAACATCATATAATATGTAAAATGTTCGAAGCGAGGAAGAAGGCAATAGAAGGACATAGGCAGATATACTATAATACTATCATGTTGATGAAGTGGGAGAGCGAAAGAAAGAAAGAGAGAGAGAGAGGGGGAGAGGGGAAAGAGAGAGAGAGAGAGAGAAAGGGAGAGAGGAATAAGGTAGACAAATATTATGTGAGAGAAGGAATGACAGAAGGATGGAATGAGTAATAAAGTAATGAGAGAAAATGGAGGGAGGTGAAAGAGAAAGTCCAAATTCATCAATATCCAAATCTAATAACTACATAGATACCAATATTCACATACATGTTATCACCAAAGGCAATTATATGATTATTAATAATATTATCAGTCTAATACGACTTTTCATGAGGTATTGTTTAGTATGTCTATCAAGAAAGGGATAGGGCCTTTTCTGTACCTCTCTGTCCTACAGCGCATTCGTTGGTAGTGGGTTACATTTCTAAGTGATCGGGAACCTTCATGTCGTCTCTTAAGGGGTAACCAGCTATTTAAGCGAAAGATGAATCCTTCTAGCTTCAATTTTCTCCAGATGTGTGTATTCTAGCGCTTTATCGTGCTGAACCCATGATCAAACGAATGGCACGTTTTTGCACCATCTCAATTTGACTTGTTTGGGAGAAGGTAAGATCTGGGTGCCAAACGGGGGTAGCATACTCGACGAGGGGGCGAATGAAACCTGTATAAATGGTCAACAAATCACAGACAGAAGCTTGTGATGATCGTTTTTGTTCTATTGTAAATTGTGGGCGCATATTCAGTTGAATCATTGGATGCGAAACAATTTGATCGATTTACGCATCGGGCTCCTTATGGTGTAGATGTGTTTTTTAATGTCAACAAGAGTGATTTCATTATGAATGACAGTTTATGAGTGTGATAGAAAAAAAGTATCATTCTTGGTCTGGCAAGAAAAGAAAACTTCGCGTGTAGTTTCATAATATTCATCCGAAGAAGTCAGAATCTAAAATATCACTACTAGCAATGTTCAGTATACCTTGTTGTAAACCTTTTATCTTCTCCCCTTTCTATCTGCGCTATTGTTTTTATGTTTGTTATCTAATCACGATCGCACAGAATTTCGAGAAATTAACTGAAGGGCATTTTCAACACCTTATTTCATATACCATAGCAATAATACTTTGTTCCTTCAAGCTATGGCAAATGTGCATTCTCACGCACTTATTTGTCATTAAATACATGACAAAATCTAAAGGTATGTAATGATCAAACTTTACACGATTTGCTGAAATTCGATCATATTGACCTTCCGAGTAAAATCCGAGTATCGGGAGAGAGAAGAAAAAAAAACACTGATTGTTTTAAGCATTGAAACAAATGTATAAAACAGCGATATGATCATTGAAATAAGAACAACAATATTCCTTTCCGTGACGTCATTGAAGATTACCTTTAGGTATTGTACAGAACCATGACACCTTCTCAAACATTAAACTTTGAAAGACATGCAATGGTACGTAGCATGAATAAGCATCATCTGTATAATACATTTTCAAAGGCCTCTGTAATGAATTTACATTAAAAAATAGACATATAGTTCAAAGCGGATTAGTAGTACATGTATTTGTATGATTTATACTGATTCCGGAATATAAATAAACACGTCCTTGAAAGGATATATAGTTTTCGGTATCACATTAGTGAAAATAATTGGATCGACTCTTTGTCATTTGGGTATTAGTCGTGCCTTGAGCACACACACAAAAATGTATGAAATTGTATATTATTTCACATTGAGGTAAGAATCATATTTGCTCTGATTAAAATAACAACAAAAATGCTATAGGGATGTAGTGGAGGATCCAGAAGAAGCACTGTCTTTTTCGAAGTAACTCTATATTTTGTATGTCAGGTTTTGGTTTACGAGCGCCCCCTTTAGTTCTAACTCTTGATCCTAGAGTGGTGATAAAGAAATGACTGCAATTCAACTATCGTTGCAGCGTGAAGGAACGTCTTCCAATTTTGTTCAATTTCTCTCTCAGTTTAGAAGCGTGATGTGGAGTCATGTTGAGATCTTGAAGGTGGCATTCTTGAAGGTCAGCAAGTAAGGAACCATTGACATCGTTCTTCCGGAAAACTTCCACATATTGCCCCATGCCATTTTGTAGCAGAAATTTTCCCACATCTGCTACAGTCCACGGCCGAATGGATCGAGGACCAGATTTATGACGAAGATCAACAGTCGGTGGCCGATCCGGAGCTTGGCGTTGTGGTGGCGGTACATAGGGGATTGGTGCGAGGTAATCATCTTCATCAAGACGATCAAGAGGATCATTGGGCAGTTCCGGTAGTTCTTCATAATCAGGTATAAAAGTTGCTGCCACTTCGAGGGCCTGGATGAAAAATCAAAATCGATTCCTTAATATTGTTAAATTGTGGTTTATCTGAATCTTCTTTCAGACTTTTTAAAAGTTGATAAATATCTTCTTCTTTTTTTTAATCACCCGTCCAAACTCGAATTTATTAACTGGAAACGAATACACATATTTATACCCTTTCTATTAAATGAGAAAATGAGAAAGATGCAATACTTAACAACCATGGTCTCTATACATTCGTGTGTTAGCATGATAAAGAACTGATATTTTAAGGATCACCCTATCACCCTATGTTAAAAAAGACCCCTGCGCAAGAAATGAAGGAACAGAAAGTCAACTTGAAGGTAAGGAAATATTGTCATTACAGAAATCAGTGTGGTAAATCAGAGTACTGTATTATCTACAAGATACTAACTATTTTTTTTTTAAATTTCTTAAAAGGAGATCTTTTATTCTCACGTTAATGAGACATTTCGTGTTTTTTCCACCATTACATTTATGAAACTATGTTATATAATAACATACCTCGCATTTCTTTTTCCAAAATGCTACGCGTTGTTTTTCTTCTTGTAGTTCCTGGTGCGTCGTCGTAGGAAATGAAAAATCAATACAAAAATTTAGCATCACAAAATTTATTTTTCGAAATATTTTTCAAAATTTGATAAATCCAGTATATTAGAAGACACACAATCGAATGAGGTTGCAGTAGCTTGCTTTATTTGCCTTTCATGCTTTTCCTTAGATAAAAACTTTACTTCAATTCGTATGTCCCAAATAGAGGGGGGCGGGGGCAGGGGGGGGGGGTAATAAGAATTAATACCGAACCTTTTCCTTCTTCGTCAAGATATCTTTCATTGTCCTGAGAATATCAGGTGAAGCATCTTTGGATTTAGGCTCTTTGGTCACTTCCACCTCCTCATATCTTCAAAAAAGAACAAAAATATCATTATCTCTTTAAATATTTGATCAAGCTCGATAAAATAGTAAGAGATATGACCGTAATTGTTGTAAATCAGAACAAACTACAAAAGGTTATTCAATAGCAACCGTTGAAATTAACATTTGTTGAAACCATATCATATCTTCAATGTACATTTAGTAAAAGATAACATAGACTACATTTGGCTAGAACAAAGTAATAGTGTCTCTTTGATTTACCTTGACAAACACAAAGTCTGTCGAAATAAACTTATCAAAGACTTAGAATGGTAACTGTTTTTATTATTTCATTATTATCATCATATATGACCGTCTCTTGAAACCTCATTCACACCAAACCGAAATTGAACCGACCAGAAAATTTCATTACCCCCGACCGGCGAAGATTTTGTGAATTAGGAATTGGTTTGGCGGTGTGACAGGGGCATTTCTTTGGACATGTTAAATGAATCCAATGTGCCATTCCTGCATAAAACCAAAACCTATTATTAGACACGATGTAGGCATATATACTAAAGTGTAATAAAAGATGTCAATCTTAAAACTATGGAGTAAACATACTCATCACAGTCCGATGCCGAATCGGTAGTCGCCGATGCTGTGTTACTGTCTGCAGGACGAGGGGGTAACTTAGGGGGTCCTTCAGAGGATGCAAACGGTCTTTTTGGAATGTCTGGAGGCTTGTTCTCTGGTTTAGGTCTAGGAGGTCTCAATGGGGCTGAGGCGTCTGTAGGCGTCTGTTGGATCGAGTTTCTGTTCTTGAAGGAATCTAATTCTGCTTTCATTCTTCTCATCTCCTTGTGTGCCACCGTCACCTCTTCTCTAATGTCGTCCTCTTGCTGCTCTGCCATTTCACATGCGTATGCCTTCCCTGTGAAATGAGGATGGTGGTGATAAAGTTGATAATGCATGCCGCCAAAATAACGATGGCAATATTGATAAAACTACTGCTGCGTCTTGTCAATGTTGATAACGATAAACCTTTCAATAACTGTATGATATTGATAAGGTTATAAAGACGAGGATAAGTGATAAGGAAAATGATAGTACTGCATTTCATTTGATGATTTACTCTATTTACATACAATAAAGCGGCAAATGCAATGTTAATAAAAGTTCCTTCAATCTCTCCCGTGTTTTTCTTACACTAACTTAAACATCGCAAGCACACCAACACGCATACCCACACACACACATGCGCGCACATACCTTCTTCACTATCAATCCAGGCTTCCAGTACTCGTTGCATAGGATGTGGAGTGGTCTCCATGGATGGCTTCAGCACCTCCTGCGTAGGATCAACCAAACCCCAGCTGGTGTTCACAAGGGGGTACAAGGCAGGTAACATATCCAGGATGTGTTTCTCCGCTGCCGTGATTGGATCGTGGGTGAACTTAATGGGCGTGGTCATTGGTATGGAGTAAATATGGGGGTCATCAGCCCGAGTTGCTACGATGCATTTATTAGTGGAATACGAGTTCAGGTGAAGTACTTGTTCTTCTTTGAAATTTCTTTCAGAAAACGCCTTCCCCTCATCTGGAATACGAACTCTCTAAAAGGATTCAAAGATGAACATTTAAAAGATTGTACACTGATTATTTTCGGTCTTAAATTTTAACTATCCTAAGAACAACAAATAATGCATGTAGTGCATTCATAATGAACATTTAAAAATAAAGTGAATACCCCCTAGGAAATGCCAAGTCGCACAGTATTTGAGTGGGACAGAAATAGAGACAGGATTATTTTGTTTAAAGGCATTAAAAGGGGTAATTCCATTCATTATATTAAAGTGTTGGAACATTTGTTCAACCTATTGGATTTGTGCCTCCTCCTCCTAAGATATTTTCGCTTTCATTCAGAAAATATTGCGAAATCTGGGGGTTATTTCTATATCATATTGTTTGGCCAATAGAAATCGTGTTCCAGCTATGCATTATGTCATTGTCATGTTCAAATTTGTTTAATAAGGCGAAGCACTTATCTATTGAAATCCTCAGGTTGCTGTTTTGAAAGTCTTGGCGAACGTGTTATGTGTATAGATAATGTACGATTAATTTATCTAACTTCCTCCTTTTATCTACGACCTTACATGAATTTTACCTGTGGAAATTTGTGGTCTTTGAGTTCAGTCAGCCGATGGAAGTTTGATGAAACCATCGTAGTGTATATACAGGAATCCAGATCCACTGAATATTTGATAGGTAGTGTTCCACACTTGCCAACAAGAAGCTGTATAAATAGAACCGAAAGACATTTTAAAATTTAAAAACGTCGGGGCATTACCCTTTCCCCACTATATTGTGTTTATCCATGGCGTACTGATGGGTTTGGGGGGGGGGGGGTGCATTAAAATAAAATTAAAATGTGTTTTATTTCTAATCTGATAACAGTGATTTACAAATGTTGCTGAAATGTCACCCATCCCCCACCCCCCCCCCCCCCCCCCCATATCCCAAAGTCTTAGATCAGGAGAAAAACTTTTGGTATGTTTTGGCATCAGGTCTCGGAAATAAAACCAACGGGCAAAATATCCGAATAAGGAAATAAAGTAAGATTAAATAAATCAGAAACAAGGACTGATGTTAAAATTCTTCAACTTCTTCTTAATCTTACAAATTTCCGTTCAAAGATTAAAGGGATTTGCATATGCCATTCTGAGGTATTGAAATATCGGGGAGATTGGAATAAAGATGAATCTTACGTTCGTGTTTCGTTTTATTGGTTCTCTATCTATCTATCTATCTCTCTAAATCTTTCTATTATCTCTACTACCTCTTATCCTTCATGCAATCACAAGCTACGATGGTACTAATAACCTTTAAATTATTTTATTTAAAAAACCCATTAACATATTTGTTAAGTAGTTTTCACACACTTAAATAACCATCTAGGCATTAAGTCCTAGCTCTAAAACTGAACATAATATAAATCCCATTTGATTTCTGCCCCTAACCCTAAAATGAACCCTACATCTTTGACGATATAAGCCCGGTTTAGTTATCGCTAGAGAAAATGTCGCACTACGTCGTAGTCTGTAACTGAAATATCTGTTCATACCTTGCCGCGCTCGTTGTCATGCTCAAATCCTTCAATTTCGATGATATCGTCAACATCCTGCATTTCATCTTGACGAGTGGAACAGTGTGCTTCGAGAACCCGTACATTGATTGGTAAGGGATCAGCGTTCATCAGTTCGATTGTCCCTTCGTACTCGACATCGTCCAAACGGGGATCTAAACAAACAAACCCAAAACAACAACAACGTGGAGGTATAGTGGTATAGTGGTTCATTTACTTGACTCTTAGCCCAAGGGTTGAGGATTCGAATCTCAGCCTGACACTAACGTCCTTTGGCAAGATATTAATCCACATTTGACACTTTCTACTCGGGTATAAATAAGTACCTGGCGATTGATGGGGGTAATAACATTGTATGGCCAGCAGAAAGGGCACACTCTAAAAACTGAAATGTTAAATGTCAATTTAAAAGGGCCGAGGAGTGACCACTCTTTCAAAATGTCAGATTGTTTCTTTTAACCTGCTAGATTATAGTGTTGGATCCAGCATGTTTTAAATGGTGATTTAACATTTCAGTTTTTAGAGTGCAGTATTACCTTGATGTGGCTATACTCTGGGTAAACAAGACCAAACTATTATTATTATTATCATCATCATCATCATTAATAAACAATTCTAAAGGATGAATCGTGAAGATTTCCGGAAATCAACCTTATTCAATTTCAGATATTCCGTTCCCCACCTTTAGAAATGTGAAAGTTTACAAACATTTCAAATAATCCTAATCACAAAGTCTCCACCCATTTAATTTATTACAAACGTTGAATTTTCATTTAATACATAACAGAGGATATAGACCTCATTAAATTAGGCATTACAAACAGATGAAGGGAGGAGGGGAATAGTAACAACGAAAAAGAAATTGATAAAAATGAAAGGACCCTCAGTGCAAGTTACGGGGACACCTATTTTCACAGTAAATACTGTATGAGAATTGGATGTATCACGTATGTATATAACGTTACATTAATCAGAAAATATCTGAAACATCCTGATAAATTTACTTTTAATGTAATACTAAAAGAAAGAAATTCAATATTGAATCTGTGAGATCAACTGTACTGATTTTACTTTGCACACTCCTTGGCTTAACTAATACCCCAACAATAATGAAACATAAATTACATTGTGCATGAAAATTACTTTATGGTCATTAAATGATTAAAAATGTACCAACATTTACAAACATGGACTCAGATTACAAATAAAAACTTTCAGTTTTGTCTCTTTCATGGTGGTTTTAATAGTTTATAGAGCTATCTCAAATGCCCGTACATCTTAATGATCGATTAATTTGTAATTTTTAAGTGCTATTATGTTGCATGCCAATGCTTTCATAACAGGAAAATAAAACGCCTGACGTCGGGCTATTCCAGCAAGGGGGTCAATAAAGTATGAGATTCAATGGGCAATTAGCAAAATGGGAGGTACATTTTATTTCCTAGGCATGTTGATATATTTCTATGATATAATTATTATTAACATTCCTGTATGTTTGTGCAATTAAGTTACGTCAGGAAAGATTACATGTAAGTATTAAATTAACAGTTACTTGAAATATTTAATTCATTTACGTTTGACATGAACTCCAATATGGATCAACATCACATGTGTTACATTTCACGAACACATACAATCAACTTTGCAAACCATATCAAAGAACGATAGATTTGTTGTCTCTCTAATTGGAAAAATTCTTTGGCCCACCTACGTTGGTTTTGGATGATTAAACATGAAATTAAGCATTCCTTAAATCCATCAACTGAAAATATTTAGTCATTAGGAACTGAAGTTAAATAATATAAGTTATAAGTATTTGTTGTTTTCATATAAATGTACATCCGTGTCAACAAAGTGATGATATCATCTGCAAAATTTGATGAAATATTTATGTCATTATTGGATCGGGGCTAATGCACAGGAGTTAACCGGATAGTAATACAAAAATAACCTTAACGTGGTTAACAGGGTAAAAACAAATAAGAATATTAACAAAAAATGTTTGTCCAGTTACGAGAAAAGGTCGTTTCAGGGTTGTTTTTTTGTCATGCTGCAATTTTTCATGTACGTATAGGGTTAATTTTTAGACCTACTTAATTACTAAAGCATGATCGGTATTTATGTGTTTTGATTAGATGCTGTATTATACTTGTAAAGTGGATATAGAGCAGTGAAGTAGCAGTTCATAGAAAATCAATCTTAGTAGGAATCTAATAACAGAAGAACTGGGGGAACCGGAAGGTGGAATTTTGCGAAAAGTTGGGCTAAATTTAAAGACCGTCACCACTACTGGGCCAGAAGGGATTAGACCACACAGAGAGCCATCGAGGTCACTCTGACAGGTGGCTATCTCATTAACTCAGCTCTCATTTAACATAAGAAAAAGAGGATCATGGGGGACCAACAGGCACCGATTGGGGAAGTTTTCTATATAGAGGGAGCAAGTAGCTACAAGTATGGCAGTGTGCCTTTAAAATGTAAATGTTTGTGACATCATAATTATTTTAAGCCCCCCCCCCCCTCGAATACACTTGTACGTGATGTCTAAAGGTAACGTGGTAATACATCTTTGACAAATAGATTAATAATGACCTGGGGGATCTCCAATTAAAGGGGAATTATTACCTCTCGACTATGAAGCATTATCATGAGATAGAGAGTAAAACAACGTTAACTTCATTTGATAAAAAAACAACCTTGCTGTGGGCCAAATAATATTGTCTTGCAAATACAATAAAGAGACCCTACTTCGCCATATTTACGAAGTCGTCTGCTGCCCAAGGAAGCTGCCATTTTGTCTAAATCCCCCCCCCCCCCCACCTAAACTTCCGGGTTGTGACGTATCGTACGGAGAACTGATGTAGCGTAATAGTTGTTCCTCGAAAACCGAGGTGAAATCGTTTCATCGGTTTCCAGACCAACACAATCGCAATGAAATATCCAAGCTATGGGTAGCAGCTCTGGAGGTGGAGAAATCCGGGACAAAGAGTACGACAGGAAAAAGGATGTGATCTACAGTGATCCGATTTTAGATTTTTTTTTCAGCAGGGAAACGTACGTACGCAATAGCAGTCGACTCCAAGCGATACGTCACAGAACGGGCCGTGCGCAAACACATTGGCGACGTTCTGAAAATTCTCAGAGCCGCAAAAGACGAGGGTTTCTGAAGAAGAGGTGCGTCCTCCCTTTCGTCAAATGTATGAGGTTTAATATTTTTCAGATAATGTTTTAAAAGGCTTACAAACTGAAATTAACATGGATTTTGAGGTTAATTCCCCTTTGAATTTAGGCCATGATATGCGATGTCATATCTGAAGAACCCTTCCTTTTGTTTAATGCAGAAATTATTCTACAGATCTCTCTTTCTGCATTCTATTGATAAAACAGACATTTTCCCTCAATGAGTCGTCTTGTGAAACTGATATCTCCTTCCTCATATGAAAAAGGTATAAAGGAAATCGATATCAAACGGGTATACAAACGAATGGACAGTTCTCCTTGTATGACATCCCGGAAACAATTGGCACATGTACATAATGTTGTAGATTCTTCATGATCATGAGTTTAAAAATTGTTATCCTTTTACCTGACTTTTATCTGTACTTCTAAGTTAAATTCGAACTACAAATGAAGGAATAATTCCCCTTTGACAAATTATTGTAATTTATACCATTGTGTAACCGGGATGGGGGGGGGGGTTAGATTTAGTCTGCAGACAGGATTTCCCATGCACCGTGTATTGAGAATATTACTTTGAATTTGGAGGAAATATGACATCACATATACTATGTGAAGAAAAAGACTACTTCCTCGTTTGAGAAATATTGTACAATTACATGTCCTTATCATTACTACTGCACAGTTTATGTCGAGTTTATGTCGACTAGAATTCAAAATTGATTTGATCATAGACACGAGTTTGAAGGATAAAACGAAACTTTGATAGATGTCCATGAAAACAGAGCATGACACGTTTTCTTTGTGAATGTACTTGTCAATAGTATCATATCAACAGGAAGACTATAATTTGAGATAAATATTAAAAGATGAAAAGAAAGCCATACGAAATCTATATACATCGACGTTTGGACCGGATATCAAAATAGGTATGCTCCTTAAGTGATGGCATATCATTTTTCCCTATATGTAATGTTGAACTTTATTAACTTTTTAAACAACGCAAAGTTAGTTGTAAAAATCCTCTGACTACATATGTCATGTATCTCTTTATGAACTGTTTAAAAAAAAATCATCTGAAATGACTGTGAACGAATTTTAATTAGAAGAAATTGTTAGATATTAAATCGCTAAGTGACTCGGTCTGTTTCCAAATATTGACAATCAGGACTTTCCTTCTAGCTCGATTTCTTCTGGCCTGTATATGAGTTTATACCAATCAATCTAATTAAAGTAAAAATATAACTTGATTCGCCGTCTGTCTTCTTTATTCTTTATTATTTTCTTCTAAACAGTCCATTTTATGCGCATATATTTACATGCCCTACAATCCGGGGTCGTATTCTCCTTTTGAAGTTTTAAGGAGATATATCAAAACAATTCTCACCTTTCCTCATTAAATATTCTTTTACTACCCTTGCCAAGATATTATGTAATTTTCATAAAATTGAATTCAGGAGTCTTGACTTATGTTTCATATGATTTTATATTTTTAAAGAAGTTGTATCAAACGTCGTCGTTATTGTCCTGTGAATCACGGCTGACCCGTTGTGACCCTGTTGATGGTGGTTCTCGACAGTAGTCTACCTTGATCCATACGATAAGCTGAGACAGAAGACGGATAGACAAGTTTGTTGTCTACTTCCTTCGATCCATCTAATTTCTGCCTCGTCTCATTTGGCTTTCAGTGCATCCTCGCATAATCACCTTTACAATACTAGCACCACTCTGTCTTCATTATGTGGGAAAAGTATTTAAATTTACTACATTAAACTTTTTGAGCGAAGTACATGGACCTGTTGAGAGGTATGTTTTGGAAATCTTATCCTTCATATCATACCTGTAAAGTGTTAACATTCTGAAAGTGCTTTAAGTGCCCTACTTCTTGTAAGTGTATCCTGTACTCCAGGTATTCAAAGTGGTCTGATCAGTTTTCTTCGTGCTATATAGAGTTCCACAAATAATAATACCATGTATTCATGCCATGACATAGCACCAATACAGAGCAGAAACGAAAAGACAAAGAAGAAAACCAAGCACTATGGAATGGTAATCATCTATGATTAAAGTGGTGTAGATTCAAACTTAAAGTCTCGATTCAGACAGCACAAATTATAGGTATTTACATACAAAGGAGTGTGAATATCTTTCTTCACCATTCAAACGGACCCATAAGTAAACTTAAAGATTCAAACTTATACAAAAGAAAACCACCACAGGGAGACACAGAAAGTGGTCTATAATGACAGGGTAACTTTCAATTAACCAAAATTTTAATGAGAAACATCATTTCAAGGGATAAAATGATGTCTTTAAAGACAGGTAATCTCTCTACACACATGGACGTTGAAGAAGATTTAAATGTATATAAAAATACATTACAGTAGACAATATCCGGGTCAAATTAAAAGTAAACCTTAGAGTTATTCCTATAGTAATGGATGTTAATCATGCATGGCATTTTTGTCTTTCTTGCGGGGCGTGGACAATACGTACTTGGCCTACTACAAATTGCAACACATCGACACACGCACACGCACAACCAATGTCAACAAGGGTTTTCATTTCTTGTGAAACAGAAAGTGTTGATTTTGAAGGAGAGAACTTGGTTATCCTTGTGATGATTCAAGTGTGCTCTCATTCAAAGTACTTCCTCTACAGATATGTTTCAGACAGAGAAATTTGATAATCAGTTTGACAGGTTGAACAAAAGATTGCTGTAGCTGTGATTCCATGCAGTCTTCATGGAAACTGAAAAAATTGTTTTCTTATTACTAAGCTCTGTTCACAAAACTTGAACCAAAAGGAATATATAACAGAGCTCTAACACTACTCTCACAAAATAAGATTTACACTGATTTTATTACCATAACAGCCTTTGGGTTTTCTGTATCATTACACGTCCTTATGGCTGACGTACTTTACCTCCTAAGAGAAGGTTGAATACTTGTCACGTGATTGCATTTTGAAATCATCAATATAGAAGTTGTTGGAAATAGCAAAACAAGAATGATAAATGTGTGTCTGGTGAGTCATGAAACTGATGGCAAATTGACCCAGTGTTGCTTTAAAAGTCAGGATAATTCTAAACACTACACACATATAAAATTATGGGTACATGAGACGACATGAACAATGGTCCAGAGTTTTGATTTAATTTGTATCCGTGTTTAGAATATAAATTATGAGGGCATTTCCAGGGTACCCTTTCAAAGCTACTCGGCCATTCCCCTACTTTGGAATTTTAAAAAAAAGGACTAAGCTCACAAATAATGTTATTCTTTTCATGAGAACTAAAGTTCTCTTTCAAGCCCTGATACACTTGGTATATAGTAAAGGCGAATTAACAAAACAAATATATATTCACCTAGTGGGAGAATCTCATATTTTTGCTCAGCATGTATTGGTAGCCGGAGTTTTGTTCCTTTTGTTGTAGTCGCATGGACAATAGGGTTGTCATAGATGAAATGAAGCAAGAGAACGTCATCTGTATTGAGTGTAGTATTTGAACCAGGAACCACAAACGACTCGGAAAGTGTGATAGGTTGAGGTAATTTCATCTCAAAAAGGAACTGTGACAGATCACCGTCTCTTTCATGAGGTTGTAAGTCCAGGCTAAGTGTCTGTGGGAAGTTTTCTGGACCATGTTTCTGGACTCTATGTTCAACAACAGGTGTAGGAGTTGGTCGAGGTGGACGAAACAGTTTCTGAGGCCGAGGAGGTGTCGGAGGCTTCTCGCTGGAGATCGGACATGTCGTTGCAATGTTCCAGTACTCTTTTGAACTACCTCTACTTGGAAGCCTCTGAATTCCCACATACGCAGACATTGTGATGGGTATAATATAGTCTAGGTATCGCAAGCGTTAAATTTGGATCTCACTTCAATTACAGCTGGAGTACCAATGCTGTCGGACTACATGTACAAGCCATCATTGTCCTATAAGGAATAAAGGAGGAATACCAGATGTAACATTAATTAATATTAACAGCGGATGTATTCTAACAGGTCATTGTACGGTCATGATAGCTATGACTGTTTATGTAATCTATCATGATAGGAGCAATATCTAATTCTTTCCTATAACACATCATAAACATTTGTAGAAATCGAAAGGCCTTCACTCTGATGTCCAATTACACTGCGTATCTGCCAGTATTGTGTCATTCCTTCTCCCCATACTTATTATTTTGCATCCAGTTGTTTAGCAAAAACGGGCATGTTCAACGTATTTCACTAAATCATCAATCAAAGTTAATCAACATTGTTTTGTTTTGCTTTCAAAGTCAATAAGAGGTTAGCTATTAATCTAGATTCCTTAAATCATCAGATATGCACATATTTCAGCAGCAAAGTAGTAAACTAGGAAATTATTGGAATTAACACTACCTTGCCTAAACGGTTAAATTTCTATTTCTCGTAAAGTCTATGACGAAAATGTGATACTCACTTGTAAATTGCATAATACATGTCTCAACTTCATGAACTTTGAACCTGGGATAAGTCTATGATAAACCACAATATTCAAAGATGATTGTCATTCTCTGGTTCTGTTTAATCTCTTCCAAAGATCCAACGACATTGACAGTTGACTGTCTGAATGAGTGCACCACCGAACACGACCACTTTTCTCTCTCATGTCCGTGTGTCTATGCGGAGGTGTGAGTGTGCGTTGTACGTCTATTTTACGTGATCTCTCTCTTTCTCTCTCACCCCCTCTCTCCTCTCTCTCTCTCTCTATCTCTCTCTGTCTATCTCTCTCTCTCTCTCTCTGACGTGTCTATGGTATATTTGCATGAAGGAAACTGTTGTTTGACTGAGTGAGATCATATTAGGTTCATGGTGAGATCATGTATTCATGGGACTTTCCCGCCAGCACGCAATAAAATAGATATGACCATATAAACACTGGAATAAGAGTCGTTAGTCTGTTCACACACTTTATTCATATTATGGCTTTCCATGAAATAAGTTTGAATGTCCGATGAAGAAATGTAATATTAAGTCGTCATTGAATTTGAAGAGGCACTTTACAAAACTGAGTAAGAAAACCACCTACCTAAACCTAACACTGCATATTAAAGGTTAACCAGGGTTATGAGAGTTAAAACACCTCCCTGGGTTAACTAAGTTTTTCAGTCCCTTTGTAAATGAAAGAGGCGTCAAAGGGCTACCCAAATTTCGACGTCGAAAAAAAGATCGTCACAAACTTAAGAAAATAAAATCGTTTGCAGAGACTTTTGTTTATAACTGAGTTTTATGCTAATACTGAATTTACGAAAATGATATGGCTTCAATATATATGCCTCTTGACAAGATATGCATGCCTTGATATTATGTTAATATTTTGTCCTGAGTGTCATTAAAACTTATTTTTCATTTTCCCTCCCATTTTAAAAATGAAAAAAATATTTTATACATGTACTGCCAATATCATCAAAGTATATCCTGCATAGGAAATAACGTGTCTAATAAATTGTTAACCGGATCTTTGTCCGGAAATACGTATTTATCAATAAGCATCTTTAGCTCGGCAAATAAATTGATATTAAAGCTTCGAAAGGAGAAAGTGTGCGTGCACTGTGTGTAATAGAGACAATTGGTACACGATCATTTTCGATAATATGTGCTTTCTTTATCTATGCATATGAGAGTGAAGTTGGATGTATATTTCTGTCTCAAATATAGTTTGCACGTCGTCCTGCTCCGTGCAAACTTTAGCCTGCGATAATACATTCATGTCTTGAGAGACATATAACGTGTAGAAAATGAAAATTACTCTGGTCAAGCCAAATTCTTTCAAGTAAAAGTTTACAAGGTATTGATTATAAAGCACTGATGACACTCGAGTATTATGCAGTCATTCAAGAGTACAATAAAATCGATAGTTTATTCCTGAAACAATATCATAGTTTTGTGTGGAAGAATTTTGTAAAAAAAAATTATTGTACAAAACTTCTAAAGATGGTGAGATTCTCAATAAAGCTTATTTTCCTGCTTTCCAGAGAGATATGTCCATACTAGTACATGACTTTGTATAAGTTTTGTTGCCGATGATGGTTATACATTTTAAAAGAATAATATGAAAGTGTAACCTTATAAAAGAAAAAGGTTAACCATTTTGTTGTTATTTTATGGGTTTCTTCTAGAATGTAATTAGCAGAACATAAAGCAATACTATTCTTCATTAGCTTTAATCAGGCGCGTATCCAGGGGGCGGGCCCCCCCCCAAAAAAAAAAAAAAACGCCGGCAAAAAAAAAAAAAGAGAGAGAGAAAGAAGAAAGGAAGAAAGGACGTAGGAAAAAAAAGAATTAAGAGTCGAGAACGGTAAAATGAAACGTCTTCTTTCTCTAATAATTTAATGAAACGTCAAGGCTTCCGCGCTTCGCACGGGAGGGGCGAGGGAAACTACATTCAGATAATGGTTAAGAGTCGAGAACGGTACAACGAATTGTCTTCTTTCTTTAATAATTTAATGAAACGTCAAGGCTTCCGCGCTTCGCACGGGAGGGGCGGGGGAAACTACATTCAGATAATGGTTAAGAGTCGAGAACGGTACAACGAATCGTCTTCTTTCTTTAATAATTTAATGAAACGTCAGAGCTTCCGCGCTACGCGCGGAGGAAGGGGAACTTGATTCAAACAAGGATCAAGAGTCGAGAACGATACAACGAATCGTCTTCTAAAGTTTTTATAAAACGTCAATAGAAACTGAATTTAGACAAGGATTAAGAGTCGAGGACGGTACAACGAATCGCCTTCTTCCTCTAGTAATCTTATGAAACGTCAACCCCTCCTTGCACCAACCCCCCTAGGGAGCGCGCTAGGCGCGCTGTGATTCATACGCATCGCGTGCTCACTACCGCCCCCCTAAAATAAAATCCCGGCTTCGCGATAATTCAGAAAACAGTATGAATAATGATATTTACACCATACAAACGTTCACTTTTAATATATCTCAAGAAAAAGAGATCATTATTACCTGATGTCAAGTATGATAAACTCTTTTCATTAGCAAAGTTTTGTAGCATCCGACCTTTGTAATGGACATTGAATATGATTAGTACAAGTTGTACAAAGAAGGTGGGGTGTCAACAAGGCATTGTTAATATGGCCCACCGTATAGACAACAATCATGCGTTAACTGTGTTTGGACATTTTAAAAAAGTATGGTCTATTTCATACACTGGAAATTCTTTCAATACTTTCAAGGAAATCATTCTACAGTTGAAATACATGTCACAAATATCAGCAGAAGTCCATTGGCATAAAATGTATGTCAGACACTTCATGTATTTATGAGGAAGTAACATCTTCATAATATTCATCTGCAGGAAGCTCACAAATACAGGCAATTCTTAATAATCATTCACTTGGACACGTATGTTAACAGGCGGAAATGAGATTCAGTCTTCAAATTGGCAGAGGAGGTTTGTACCTTTTCCCGACCTCTATGCAAAGCTTGAGTGCATGTAATCGCGACATCTGTAGTTCCAACATGTGAGCTTCATCCATCGAGACGAGCAACGAACCGTTGACGCCATTCTTGCGAAATGTGTCGACGTACTTCTCTAGACCATGCTGCAGCAGAAACTCCCCTACTTCTGCAATCGTGAACTCCCTCAAGTTTCCAGCCAAGATGGAACTTGATAAACGGGGCGGCACTCCTAAAGGTGTTAGACTCCCAGGTACAAATGTAAGAGGAGACGACAAGCCACGAGGACGGGGTTCCACCCGCTGGCACCGATGGCCATCGTCAAGATCAAAATCATCGCGTGAAGCCCCTCCAGGCCGTGATAGTTTACTATCCATTCGTAGAGCCACAGCTAAAGTCTCTTTCAATTTGCTAACTTCATCTCCAAGATTCTAGAAGGAAATTGAAATCTCGTTAAAATTTTCACTAAAGCCATGCACATATGATTATGTACACATTTAGACCAGATGAAATCGAAATTGCTTTGTTTGAGTATTTAGTGGGGCAAATTAAATTTAAATTTCATTTTTATATGCATCATTATATTCTCAGCCAATGATCGCTTGCTAACAAATTAGACAATGAATAACCGATTGTAAAAATATTACATGAGAGAACAGAAATACGTTTGGAAAGCAGCGCTTTGGTTTCGAGTACTCACATCATAATCTATCAAATCATATGTTAATGTAATAATGTATTTGGCTTTAGAACCTTTTCAGTATACCTTGCATTTTGTTTTCCACAAATTCAAGTGCTCTCTTTGCTCTCGTAATTCCTGTCGAATCAAAAGAAATTATGCAGATTAATGTAAACATGATATTTAGATTACAGTGTAAGTCAAATAATAATAATAATAATAAATTACATTTATAAAGCGCTTAATACAATGTTTCTAAGCGCTTAACATACAAGTAATTAGGTACAACGTAAAATAAACATACAGCAATAATAATACATACTTCTAATAATAACATTACAGATAATTAAACTGCCCTATAAATTACTATTACCGGTAAACAAAAAATACTTCAAACTTGCCTTAAAAGACTCTACAGATGGGGATTGACGAATAATAATAGGTAAACTGTTCCATAATTTAGGGGCTGCAATGGCAAAAGTACGATCTCCGTAACGGGTATTTGTTCGGGGACCAGGGGCGTATTGGAAATTAGCATGTGTAGTTGACCGTAATGAACGTGATGGAACAATAGGTTTGAGAAGGTCGTTTAAATATGATGGAGCATAACCATGTTTAATTTTGAATACTAACAAAAGAATCTTAAATTGAATGCGAGTAAAAATAGGTAGCCAATGGAGAGATCTGAGAATAGGAGTTATGTGTTCATATTTTCTGGTTTTGGTAATGAGACGGGCTGCCATGTTCTGAATACGTTGGAGTGGAGAAATGGTGGAATCTGGTAAGCCAAAGTACAATCCGTTACAATAATCTAAATGGGAAGTCACAAAAGCGTGGATCAATCGTTCTGTAGACTGTCTGTCCAAATATTTTCGAAGTATTTTCTTTTTCGTCAAGGTTTACACATTTATCTGGGATATCATTGGGTTAACAATCTGTAAACACATCACGTGGATGTACGTGGCAAACTCTGACCCAATATTGGTGTCGACATTCAGCTCCTTAGTCTGACAAGACCTCTTTTATCTCTCTATTTCTTGGTTAAAATATATATATACATGATCCCATTGCTGCATGGGTGACGTCATATGTCGTGATACCGTGGTTCATTTAGTTGACTCTCAAGACAAGGGTTGATGGGTCGAATCCAACCAATGTTCTTTGGCTATATAAATCTAGATATAAATCTACATTTACCATTTTTATTATTATTAATATTATTATTTTTGTTGTTGCCTTTTATTATTATCACCATTATTATCATCATTATTATTATTGCTATTATTATTATTATTATTATTATCATTATTATTATTATTATCATTATTATTGTTATCAATATTATTATCATTATCATTGTTTATGTTGTTGTTAGTAGCATTATTGTTATGTACTGGAATAATTATACCATGGAATAACATCTTAATAACATTTAATAGCCATATTAATGATGACAAGAACTATATAATTATGCTCACTAAAGCTGCTCAAGGATACTTACTAAATGCATTTGAATACATTTTAATTTGTGGCAAAAATAGAAAAATGATATAAAAACATTACCGTTTCTTTCTTGATAAGTATATCTCTGACTGCAGCCATAGCCTCCCTCGATATGCTTTTTGGAAGAGGAACACTCGGATCTTCCACTTTTTCATAGCTTCATAAGGCGGGGAAAGAAAAAAAAAACATAGTAAAATATAGTTAATCTGTATCATTGAAAGTTTCAGTATCGTACTGAATTTCCTTGAAATTGAAATCACTTTCATTAAAAACTCGGTCATATGATATTGTGCATTTATGATATAAGTGCTATTTAGCTGTGGTCATTGTCGCCGTGTATCGTGTACTATGTTTTTACACTGATAATAAATTAATTTTAATTTTAATTTTAAAAAAATAAAGCCTTCTTTCTTGAAAACGATAGGAAATCTTTTCGAAGATATCTCTCTTTAATACACGATTCAAATAGCCTTGTATGATGTCACCGTTTGAAATATGCGAACATCACAATGACATATTATTTTATGGGACATACAATTAGGGTTATGATATTGGCCTTCAGTTGTTTTTTGTTTTTTATAGTTGCGATCGTGTTTATAGTATAGGATAGATATTTTCGAAGAAAAGGTTTGTTAACGGACTTACTCATCGGAGTCCGAATCAGTGTCGTTGTTATACGAAGAGCCTGGATCGGAACTGATCGACAATAGTCCTCCTGGAGGGCGAGGGGGTAGGCGAGGTGCGCCTTCAGACATGTACCGAGGTCTATTCGACGGTTGAGGGGATATCACAGGTAGGTCAGGATATGCCGTTGTTGCTTTAATCTTGAGACCTTCTGGTGCTAATAGCTCGTCTTCAGTATCCCAATGTTCTAATTATGATAAGCATAAACAGTAATACACTAGTCGATCGTGATAGATGCTTTTGATAAGTATCATGATAAACTCGAAAGTATGTATGTTTAACACGATCCCAAAGACTATTGAGAAATCATTGAAGACAATTTCGATACCCTATTGTTGGACTACGTAATACGTCGTGGTAAAGTACATTTATATAGAATGAAGAAGGATCTTGAAAGTGCCTGTGATTGATTTTGCAGTTGTTTTTATTTTATTTAGAGCGTTTTTATTATGATTACATGCAGAGGAGTCATTGCAACGGCAGAGCAACGGACCTGCTGACAATTATATGAGAGTGTAAACACTAGCAAATAGACGAAAAAAAATCCAAAATATTTGCATCGATCAATTCTCTTTACTACTACTTCACTTTGTCAAAAACTCACCTTCTTTACTAGCATTCCAGGCTGCCAGCACCAGTTCTAGTGGCTCCGGGGCAGCCCTCATAGATTTGGGTAATTCCTTCTGCGTAGGATCTATCAACCCCCAACTAGAGTTCACGAGGGGGTACAAAACTGGTAACATATCCAGGATTTGTTTCTCTGCTATTGTGATGATCTCGCGGGTAAACTGAATGGGCGTGGCCACTGGTATGGAGTAAATATGGGGGTCATTAGCCCGAGTTGCTACGACGTATTTATCATCTGAGAAATTCTTCAAATGGAAGACTTGCTTATGTTTGAAGCTTCGATGTGAGAGATCCTCCGTATCATCTGGGATGCGAACTCTCTGCAGGAGGTAACAAGATTTTAAAGTTTAAATCTTGAATAACGGCACTTTTACAAGTCGATCCACAATAATTGAAGAAGAAGTGAATAGAAGATGGTTTGTCCACGTTTAAAATTCGAATCTCTACCGTTCGTTTGCAGGGGATCTTAAAAGTTCTAATATTCGGGCAACCGTCACATTGTATTTTAGAAGTGAGGTGTCCGAACCTAATTATTGTATCTTATGAAGTGTATTTGATGACGAATTAACAGTTATACCTTGTTTACAATTGTGAAAGTGTCACTATTTTTATCAAAACGTATACAGAGAATGGTTGTATTCGACCAGGAGGCTTAGTACCCCCCCCCCCCTCTCCCTGCCCTATGACAATATGCCCGTAGTCGCCTAATGATTACTTCGTCCCCTTGCCTCCGGGCTCATTAAATATCAAGATACGTTTGATGTGATACCTCTACGATACCATCAACATTGAGCATAATATATGAATCCAGAATATCATGAATATAAATAAATATACATTTTTCTTCCGGGATAGTTACCTGAGGAAACGTGTGATCCTTGAGTTCTGTCATACGATGGAACTCTGGGAACAACATGGTGGTAAAAGTAGAGTTCATAGCCTTGGAGTATTTGATGTTTGCTGATCCACATTTACCAACCAGGAGCTGTTCAAGATTGAATAATTAGGTAATGGCTTCATAAAGGCTGTCACTTTAAAAATAAAAATAAATCTTCTCTCAAATCAATATTTACTTATGATATCACAACTTTTAACGACTTTTACAGATAAAAATTGTTAACGACGTTTACAGAAGATCTTACCATCGTCCTATCTGTAAAAGTCGTTGAATAATAATTAAAAAAGAACAAGGACAAAAAGCAAACTTCAAGAATAAAATCAACATATTTTAACCAGAGAGGAATAGGTATATATTTCAAAGATCTGATCTATCAACTGAAATGATGTAAGCTTAGTTAGTATAGTTGTTAGTATGGCTGTTGCAGAATATATCGTTGATGCCTAATGACAGAAATATGCTGCATTGCAGGGGTGAACACAAATTGCATGTACAGCTTCTGATGTTTTCATTCAAGGAACCACTCAGAATCGTCGATGAATAGCACCGTCGATCTTTTATAGTGATGTCAATATCCACTCAGAGTATTTACCTACACCAATATTGAATATTTGCATTATTTTCATTAAATATTTATTCGCTGTACCACACTATAATAGTGCTGTATTCAAATGTACGTCATTCATGTTCATATACATTTGTAGAGACCTGGATGCCTCATAAAATACTGTTTTATGTTGTTTAGGTGGAGAGTCGGTGCATGGACCTATGGTTGGTGCAACATGCGGTAAAGACACATTGAGTGCGCACTTCCGCGTTGTTTCACATATGCATAATATAAGCTTTGTTATCATATCCACAGTATCAAGTTTGTAGTGTAAATGAACGCTTTCCAAATATAATTCAATAGCAAATCTGTTTTTTTAATGAACTAGGTTTGAAAACTGGACAATAAGGAGCAAGTTTCTTTAAGCAGCGATATGTTTTGCCTCTGACAATGAACTTATTGCACAGCAGTATTAAAGTTAAACTGCTGATCTGTTGTCCTTTGTTCTCGTTGTTTTAAATTATGTTGTTGAGTTTCTTTAAAGACATTTGTTAAGTGGCATGTAATAGCGGTTTCGTATACTGGTTTAAACGCGTTACTGACAATGGGGTCTTTGATAAGATATTAATCTACATGTACATTAGCACTGAAACCGCTAGCCTAGCAGAGCCGGAGTAATATCGGAGCACGTTGAGCAACTTGCGTGGTGCATACAAGCGCTATAAAACAAAAACGATGTTATCATGTTAAACATAAGCTATACACACCATACCACGATCCTGATCCAGTTCAAGTTTTTCGATTTGAATGATGTCTCCGACCACTTGGTCTTCATCATCTTCCTCTGAATAAAAGGCTTCTGTTACTCGAACGGTTGACGGTAGGGGACTGGCATCCAGGAGCTGTTTGGTGCCGTTGTACACTTTATCGTCTAATCGAGGATCTGTTTTTTTAATAAACAAACATAAATTCACATCCAAGAATCTACATTTGATGAAATTATTGAAACTTTCATAGGAGGAGCTATTTCTGTCAAACATAATATTTACTTGCGTAAATCAATTTGAAATACTTGATCGTAGCTTCTATTATGTTAATAAGAAACAAATCAATTTCTTCTTTTTCATGGGTGGAAATTAATTAATTGACCTGTTAATATTGAATGGTAATGCTTGAAATTGACAATGTTAGGACATTCGTTTTACATGAATTGCATTAAATTCTACCGACTTTAAAGTTTAGTTGGGAACCTTTCGTCCACTCGAAAAGACATGTGGATTTAATGCTGGTGTCAGGTTGGTGAAAGATTAAACATCACGTTATGATCTCCCCATCAAACTATGTCTCGTGTATAGCTATGTAGATTCTGGGATCATGGCAAGGCTCAAAATGTTTTGGGAACATTTTATTTTATGTTTTTTGTGATATAAATTGATTCGTTACACCATTTTCATTTATGAATCAGTTTAAAACATATCATCTATCTTCAAATTCAAATGGATGAAAACTAAAAAATAATCAAACGTCAACCTGAATTATCTTCTTAAAATATGTATACCGTATCCGGGCACCTACCCCTGAACAACCACCCCCGGATAACCACCCCTAGGATAACCACCCTCTAGGACTACTACCCCATAGGATAACTACCTCCTAGGGCAACCACCCTCTAGGACGACTGCCCCCTTAGGACAACTACCCCCGAACAACTACGCCCGGCCAACTACACCCCGTACAACTACCCCCTATGATAACCATCCTACAGGACAAGTACCCCCAGATAAGTACCCCCTAGGGCAACCGCCCTCTAGGACATATATATATCCTTGACATCTATCACCTATATGGTAATATCACCCAAGTACCCCCCGGAAAATAACCACTTAGGGTAATTATCAATCGGGGGTAGTTGTCCTAGAGGGTGGTTGTCGTAAGTGGTGTTGTCCTAGAGGGTAATTGTCCTGGGGTAGTCGTCCTAGTGGTTGGTTGTCCTAGGATGTAGTTGTCCTAAGAGGAATTTGTACTGGAGGGTGGTGTTCCTAGGGGTGGTTATCCGGAGGGTGGTTGTCCAGGGGTAGGTGTCCTAGAACCGTTTGATACATCGCATAATTTCCTTCAGTTTCAAATAGTTCTAAAACATTTTTTTTTCTAAAATATTCCTTGATCAAAAGTCCATCAATCAGTGCATTAATTATGTAATAATGAAGATGTGCAATCCACCTACCAAGAGGGAGTATCTCGTACTTTTGCCCTGCATGAACTGGCAGCCGTATAGTCTGTCCCTCAGAAGTAGCTGCATGGACAGTAGGGTTATTACGGATGAAATGAAGCAAGAAAGAATCCCCTCTGTTAAGAACAGCCCTGCAGTCAGGGACCTTTAACGACTCGGTGATTCTGATCCGTTGGGGTAATTTCATCTCACACAGGAACACCGCTAGGGTGGTACTCCTCTCGTGGGGTGGTAGGTCCAGGGTAAGTGTCCGCGGGAAGTCCTCTGGTGTTGGTGGTTCTTTGGCTTTGGACAGGAATGGAGGTGGAAGAGGTGGAGGTTTCTTGCCTTCGAACACAAGAGTCCTCTCCACTTCTTTGGTATCTCTGACTGTTCGATTCATCTGAAATTTTATATTTCCGGACATTTTTTCGGATTTGTATCATGTGGATGTTTGCCCTTAAAGAAGCGATCGTTTTGAATAGCCCGATAATCCAAAATGAGTGGACCATAAAATAATGTCACACTGTCTTGATGTGGCATACAGGTGCTATGTAAAAGAAAAGAAAACAAACATACAATATAAATAATAAATATTAAAAAGAAAAGGGTTGAATATCGAAAACATCTCTCTCTCTCTCTCTCTCTCTCTCTCTCTCTCTCTCTCTCTCTCTCCCTCTCTCTCTCTCTCTCCGCTCCACTCGTACCATAATATATCTTATCATGCTTTGATACAGGAGTTTTCTATTATGATGAATAAACTAACAAAATATCTACATGTATATATACATGTATATAATAGACACGTCCACATGACTTTTTATTATGCAAACAACAAAGACCTTCATAAAACCATGTATGTAAATACATCTACTCGGTACTGAAATGATTAAACGGGAAAAAAATATTCGTATGAATATCTCATAAGGTAATTCAAGATGCGTGGTAGGCAGGTGAGGAAAGCGTCAGTGTCATTTAACTAAATAATTATATCTTACGAATTCCTTCCAAGAATTTAATTTATCTTTTTGGGTGTCTTCCTAGTCGTATTTATTATGAAGATATGAAGTCTCATATACACAGTCTCACATATAAAGTCTCACATATATAATTATAGTCTCACAATATATCTCTCATCTGTTCTACATCTTCAAATGATACTACTCACTCCTCTTACATTAAGATTTCAGAATACTTTTGACTCACCAGTTACTAATGCTCGGCTACAAGGTGTTGACTTTGCTTGCCAGTTTAACTTGTCATATTACTCCCAAGAGTCATGTTCATCTGACTATGAACTCGAATCTAAATATACACAGTTGCTTTTACAGTCGTATAAATCCATGAAACCAAAACCTCCCCACTTATTTATTCATGCACCGTTAATATTACGTCTTCGAAATGTACTTTGCCCTTTAAATGTCATGTTGTGCTTCCAAACGGTTATAGTAATGGTTCCGGGTTTACACTGTCGTATTTTGTCTTGGGGTTCTGTTTCCATACGTTCTAAGTTCTATTAGTGTTTTCGTATTTAATTCGTATTTTCCTCTCATTTTTTCACATAAGATTTCATGTTTCTTTTCTTGAATTTCTTATTAATGAATTTTGATTTTTTTTTTTCCTTTTCTTTCTTTCTTTCTTTTGTGATGAGTTATTTAATAAAAATTAAAACCTAATACTAAAAAGGATGATAATGAAAATACAAATGATGATTATACTAAACGATAACACTTCTACTACTACTAATACTACTACCATTTAAAAATAATCTGAAAGATAATATGATGATAACAACAACAGCAATACTAACAACAACATGAACATTAATAATAATCCCAAAATTAAATTCATAATTAATGGAAATAATGATAATGATAATAATGACGATGATAATAATAATGATAATAAAAATGATGATGGTGATGATGATGATTAATTAAATTAAGTATTAAACAATTATCAAGATGTCACTTGTATTGTTTCCTATCCTGGAAAGAGCTTTAAAATGTTTTTTTTTCCAGCGCTTTCTCTTCCTCTCTCGATTCTACTCTACCTATTACCCTCTCCACCCCCTCTCTCTCTTTCTCTCTCTCTCTCTCTCTCTCTCTCTCTCTATATATATATATCTCTCTCTCTACCCTCTCTTTCTCTCGCACTACTCTCTCTCTCTTTCTCTCTACCCACTCTTTCTATCTCTCTCTCTCTCTCTACCCTCTCTTTCTCTCGCACTACTCTCTCTCTCTCTTTCTCTCTACCCACTCTTTCTATCTCTCTCTCTCTCTCTACCCTCTCTTTCTCTCGCACTACTCTCTCTCTCTCTTTCTCTCTACCCACTCTTTCTATCTCTCTCTCTCTCTCTACCCTCTCTTTCTCTCGCACTACTCTCTCTCTCTCTTTCTCTCTACCCACTCTTTCTATCTCTCTCTCTCTCTCTACCCTCTCTTTCTCTCGCACTACTCTCTCTCTCTCTTTCTCTCTACCCACTCTTTCTATCTCTCTCTCTCTCTCTCTCTACTCTTTTCCCTTTCCTCATTTCATCCCACTGTCTCTATCTCCCCCTTTTCTCTCTTCACCCACTCTCTTTATCTCTTAACCTCTCCACCCCCTTTCTCTCTTTCTCTCTCTCTTTCTCTCTCTCTCTCTCTCTCCCTCTCTCTCTCTCTCTACCCCCTGGACCTTATTTTCATTGTGTGTGATATAATGTCCCTCGTATAATATACAGGTGGAAGCTTATTATAATAGAAACAAACAAAAAAAGAAAATCTTATTTAATTCGAATTTTTTTATTGGCAATGAAGCGAACAAAATATAAAATTTCAATACACATACAAAGGATGGGCTAGAAAAATGATAAGCCGAAAAACAACTATCAACCAACTAAATTTTTAAACATCATGTTCACTCTATGTTGATTGTCTATACATGCGCCTGAATTGTTTGTATAGCAAGATACGACACGGACATACTGAAAAACAGCCTTTTTGTCTGAAAGTGTGTTTTTATACCGTGTCTAAATAAGATCAACAACAACAACAACGAAAGAACCAAATGCCAAACAAATATTTTCGACAGAAAAGAAAAAAAGGAAACAAATTGTAAATAGGATTCGGGTTGATAATGATTGTTATCCTATGTTGATTCCACACTATACGCTATTAATATTTGATACGCTTTGGAATTGAACATATTTATGACATATGATACAGATACTTTTTTCAAAACATTTTTTTTTATAAATCGTCTGATATGCCTCATAATTATACAGACGTTCAGCAGTTTCGTATTAGTCCACTTAAAACATTTTTTTTATAAATCGTCTGATATGCCTCATAATTATACAGACGTTCAGCAGTTTCGTATTAGTCCAGTTATGGAAAGACTAATACACACATACAAATTTTTGTATTAATGATGTTTCGTTTGACGCATTCATCACTTACTACAATAAAATGATTACGCAATCAAGATAACATATCACTGCCATATTATATTTACATAAGCCCAAGGTATAGTCACCTGACAGCAAAACATTTTCAAACTGTTTTCATCTTTTATCACGTAATTTTATCTGAAATGTTTTACTTCTGCTTTCATTTACATGAGACAGAACTGCGATGGAAAAGCCTCTATCGCATACTATTCGTTCTACTAAAACAAAATGCATTCACGATACTACTGATTTTCTTGATGTACTCATTTCAAGTTTCCTTTTAATCTGTTTTAGTCAAAATAAGTTGCAAATTTTAAGTTTATTTCTTCCACATCTCATTTAAAAAACAGCAAGAACATATTACAACATTGCATATTACACAGTAAAGGAAAAATACATTTAATACATTTACATAAAGTACATGGGACGATAACTTCCATAAAAAAACGTTTCAACAAACGCACACACACACACACAAAATAAAGACACATATCAAAACAACATATTATAAAATATGAGGATCTGGGGGAATCAGCAATGGCTGAAAAGCCTATCAGTGGCCAAATCCCAATAATTTAAAATATTATATATGTATATTTATATATATATATATATATATATATATATATATATATATATATATATACATACATACAAAATACATCCAATAGAACAAAAATAAGACAAGAAAAATTATTTATATGTTTATTTTTCAGTTTCCAAAAGATAATCTTGGTATTTGCGTTTAAATTGAGAAAGTGACTTTGATGTGTTTAACTCATTGGGCATATTCAGTTCCAGGATATATGCTTGAATACATGTTATGTACAAGTCAGTGAACCCAAGCGATGGCAGTTGTCAAAAAACAGTGCATTGTTAAGAATTGTTTGGTTATTCAGTGACCAGCTGCGGAGGATTTAAATACATGTTTTATAACAAAAATTCTCGACATAAAAGAGAGATTGTGTAGTTTGCTGTTGTGTGTTTGGGGACGAGGGGGTGTGAGGGTAGATAAAATTATGCATAATTATTTTAGAATAATGATTTTAATTTGTTGTATGATTTTTTTTTTCTTTCTTTCTACAGTGTATAAGAATACAAGATGTATTTTTGTTTACATGTAGTAAAGTGACGAGCTTTAGAGCTCTTTGAATGTCGCCGCCTATCATGGCGTTAGAAATCACCTATCAAAGAGGCAAGGGGGGTAGTTCCAGTTTTTTAACCTCAAGTGTCAGCTTGAGAGAATGAAGTCGTGTCATCTGTAGTTCCGACATATGCTCATCAGTTAGGGCCAAAAGAAACTTGCCATCAACGCCATTCGCTCGAAAGATGTCAACATATTTATCCAGCTCATGCTTCCGCAGAAATTCCCCAACTTGCGGCACTGTGTAATTTCTCAAGGGGAGGGTCCGGGGCAGAAGATTCGAAGGGTTCGGCTCCAGATAGTCTCCCTCTGGCTGTGGGAAGTCTGGTAATTCTTCATAGACCACGGGGGGAGCGGCTTTTTTCAGACTCTCATTCTCTTTTTTCACAGTCTGAAACGCAAAAGATTCATAAGAAATGTTTACATTTTAAGATAAACCATCAGCAACATTTTGGTTGTTCTCTAAATATTTTCTTCAAAAAATAATTTAGACAATTAAAAAGAGGGGTTCAAATTCATCGACATACATAACTATATATATATAGATACTTAAATAGGCTTTTAGCTACTACATTTCTTCAACATCCAATAAAGAGAATAATACTAAAATTAGAATGCTCTGTCTGTATACACTCTGAAACCAAACTGATCCGATAATTTACAATGCAGGTGTATCTAAAATACATGGTTTCCATCAATCATATTAGAGATCTTAATGTTATTTGAATGTTTCTGGTGTAACAGTTTGTTTTCAGTCTAATATAAAGAAATCGTTTTATCTTTGAAATTTTCAAAAATGTGAATACGAGGGCTTCTGATTTCGATGTAGATTTGTTGCTTTAATCAAGATACACTTTCAAAATAAGATGTTTCTCTTTTAGGTTTCAACACTTAACCTTTGTTACTAATTTACATATCTAAAGCCACTATTTTTTGATAATTGAATTACATTTTAGATCAGGGCTACGTCGATAGGGATAGATACAACACTATAAATGAGAATGAAGAACATGTAATTACTTAAATTAGATAAAACCATTAGCATTCATTATTAGAATAATTTTAAGGAGAGAAAAAGAAGATGGAACTGTTTCAGTTGTAAACCTTACACTAATGAAGAATAGGAAACATATAGGGATTATGATACATGCTCTGGTGACAATTATTGCTCCGCGCTCCATTTCATACACTAAACGAAATGTTTAACTTCAACCTTTAACCTTACATTTTTACATAACCCTCATCCTAACATCAAACCTAACCTAAAACCACCGTGCCTAAGACCCAATTGCAACCCTTAACGAAATAAAGTCCGGAGCTGTAGTCGTCGGAGCGTATATCGGATAACCAACTTAGAATTTCCTGAAGCCAAAGTCAAGTGCCCAATCGATAAAATCCAGAGATTCTTATGCTTATGTTTAAAGACATACTGTTTGCACATATTTTGAGCGGATCATGACCCCAAAATACATAACTCGTAAACAGTAAAATAGGCGAACGTACTTCATATTGTTTTTTCCAGTGACTCAGTTCCTGTGTTTTCTCTTGTAGCTCCTGTAATAAATTAGGAGGCAAATGGAGTAAACATATTGTTAATTGGTGTTATATATACTATATTATCTATCATGTCTTAATTTAAAATCGAATTACTTTGATGTACAGTGTATATAAGTAGTCACAGCATCACCACTCTGTTTACCGATATTATACATGTACATGTACTTTGTTCTACAAAAAGATATTTATCTGCTTCAAAAACGGGATTGATTTGAATGATGTGTATTTAAGGAAATGAAAGCACACTTTTGAAAATAAATCTTCAGTTATGACATAGAGACCACAATGGGCTGACATTTTACGATGCAAGAGATAGAAGAATGGCAAGATATAATTTACCATTTCTTTCTTTGCCAAAACCTCTCGAACTGCTTTCATCACATCGCCCGGTGTGTCTTTCGGGAATGGGCTCGTTATATCGGTCACTAACTCATAGCTGGAGAGGGGGAAATAACGTTGTTAGAGGTGTGATGGTCAGTGTATACATTTCTACATTTCATTAAGCAATGATGGAACCAAAACCACCCCACGACTTGAATACCTGCATGCTTTTAAGTGTTTGCCTTAAGTATATAGTCCCACGTACGCAAAAGTGCAAACTTACAAGAAATGGGGGTCTGCCCCAATAATTAAGATGGGGCACAAGCCTCCTGCCCGCTCCCCTTCAACTTGTTTAATCACTGATGATGATGATGATGTAGTACTATCCGGATTAATGCGCGCTTTATTACGAGAAAATATGTATCCTTTGAAAAACATATATCATTTATCATTAAAAAACGGTTGCTACAGTTAACTCTAAGAGTTAAGATAAGACAACATAATTATGAGTGATCATCGGTTTTATAGGTGATGTTTGAATGTTCTGCGCCTGCAGCAAGATGCTACCCCAATATCAAAGACATTGCTGGGTAATCAAAGCTCTCAGCGCATTGGTACCCTCAAAAGTGGCGTAGGTAGCTTAGTATGAATTTTCTTTAACAAAATGGAAAAAAGTGCATAATTGGAAACTGCTTTCATCAATACTATTAATCAATAATAATCTCCTTGCTTGAAATTTTACAATGTATTTCCTCAAGCTTAGTAATGCAGAATAATGCACAATTCAACCATTCACATTCAATTTGAAAATGCCATTCAGTTACATAATGTCGAGGTAATAAAATGTGAGTAAAATTAATACCTGCATGGCAAAATAGTTCTTATATTTTGTAAATATGTCTTGGATTATTAATCTTACTTCTTCTTCTTTTGTATGAAGCAGAATATAAAATGAAACTATAATGAAAATTTGACAAATATCACATCTTTGGTGGTCGTGGTCTCCGGCCGCCCCCCCCCCCCCTTGCCCCTAAAAAAGAACATCACCTGACTGTGCGTGTCTGTGCACTCTTTATTCACAGGTCACCATCTCACAGCCAGGTATTACCCACTGTCATGACTACCAGAACATTCAAATATACTTACTCATCATACAACTGATCATTATTTCCGTTTGTAGAGCTTACAGAGCTTTTCCTGGAATTTGGAGGACGAGGGGGAATCTTGGGTCGGTCATTCGACGACTCCTCTGGTAGGCCAGGTAGTTGCTTTGGTTTTGGTTGATAAGGGGGAGTTCTTGGTGGCCGCAGCGGGGGTGGTTGGTCTGGGGAGCGGTTCAGGGCAGAGTTCTTGTTCTTGAAGAAATCAAGGTCTGTTTTCATTCGTCTCATCTCGAGGAGTGTCATTTCGATTGTTTCTTTCAGGTTCTCAACTCGCGTATTCGACGCGTCGCATGCCCTTCTCTTTCCTGAAATAGAAATATGAACAATTTAAAGAAGGAAATCTGCGTGCAGACCAGAGGCATGAATGAGGATTGGTCAATCATAAGACCAGCCCAATAACATGTATTTTAAAATGCGTCATTTGAAAACGCACGTATACTTTTAACTTTGAAGGCATCAGCTGGAATTGTAGAATTTCAAGAAGTATGTAAAAAGTAATATTATCAAGCGTTAAATGCGGGATTAAATGACTCCTGCCAATTTTTCTTTTTTGTGCCTTCGTTATTTTGTAATCGCTTAAAGCTACATTTGGTAGTTTGTGTTTCAGACACTTTCTTCACGAATGTAGGCAGCAATAAACTTCTACCTTCTTCACTATTAAACCAGACGTCCATTACTAGTCGTATAGGTTGTGGAATGGCCTCCATGGATGTGTTCAGCGCTTCCTGAGTCGGGTCTACCACGCCCCAGCTGGTGTTAACAAGGGGGTACAAGGCTGGTAGTATTGATAGGACGTGCTTGTCCTTCATGGCCATGGGATTATGAACCATCTTCATGGGCGTCGTCAGTGGAATGGAGTAAATGTGATCGTCGCCGGCCCGGGTTGCTATAACGCATTTATCAAGGGAGAACTTCTTCAGGTTTAAGACCTTCTCTTCTTTGAAATTTCTCTCTCCGAAACTTTTCTTCTCGTCGGGTATCCGAACTCTCTGTGAGAAGAAAAAAACAAAACTTTTTGTTGTTATATTACAAGTTTTTTAACGTTGCAAAAGAGAGTGAAATTTACCAGATATGACACCAAGTTACAAAAGATTAGCATTCGTCTGATAACAAGAGAAGAAACAATCGTTATCTGCTTATCAAGTCATGTTAACCAGCGAGACAATCAATAGCCGAAGCCCCCTTCTCCGATCATCAGCGTACATTGTATCACATCTGTCAATGAAGTATCAACGAAATGCATTAATTGGATGGACACATTGATCGATTGATTGATTGATTTTATTCGCCAACAGATCAAAATTAAGTCAGGTTGAACAGGATAACCCAAGAAAGCTCGAGAGCTTATTTCCAGTGGGGTCCCCGACATACATGTACACAATTAATACGTTAAAATTATCTTATTTTAAATCATACTATTCACATTACCTGAGGGAACTTGCGTTCTATCACTTCTGCCATGGGATGGAAGTCTGGGGATAACATGGTGGTATACTGACTGGTATTTAAATCTGTCGAGTATCTGATAGGTGATGAACCAGACATACCAATCAGAAGCTGTAGAACAAGACACAAAAGGACAAGTCAAAGCTATTTCGTCCCATATGTCAAAGGTCACATGTAAGATTTGAATGTATCTGACATTTGCATTAAGTTAAAACCCCTACTAAACCTTATATCAGACATAATATGAAGTTAAAAGACATGATGATGTCAACTTATGTTCAGATCTCACTCTACAATACTTTGCGATGACTTTGTATGGGACACCAAATAGCGTAATACCTTGGACTTGCTAAAAAATGTATTAGACAGAATACTTTTATTTAGATGTTATCACTTAATCCATTGCACCGGGCTTCATTATCTCTGATAATTCCATGAGTACACTTAAAAGTGCCCCTCATATTGTGCCCCATTTCAAATGCTAGAGTTAGAATGCACCTTATCAATGTTATAACCTCTTATATTTACTTGTCAAAGATATATTTCAATAAATTTGTACCAAAAACGCGATAACATTTTTTTTCCTTACTTGGGGTTTACTTTTTTGTACCCCCTTTCTGTTTTACAAAAATTCTATATCCGCCCCTGTTTAACACACCCTGCCTCTTTCTTCATCCTCCTCGAATCCATGGATTTGAATAATCTCATCAGCCTCTTGATCTTCATCTTTCCTGATGGAGCAATGGGCTTCCACCACACGGACTGCGGTAGGGAGAGGGTCGGCATCCATCAGTGCTTTCGTTCCACAGTACGAGACATCGTCTAACCGTGGATCTGAAACAAACAGGATTACCTCAAATATATTTCTACTTTTTAAAATTATTTTCAAAATATTTTTTTAATATTTTGTTTGTTGATTATTTTCTCTCAAATCTAAAACACATTGTACAAATCATTTTAAACGTAACTGGATACATTTTACATTGATGTATCATGTATGTAGCACACACAAACAACACACACACACACACACGCACACACATGCTCAAGGGCGCTACAGTCATACAACATGCAGGCTAATTATGGGAAAATACTCTCATGTCTCGGGACAAATCAGGTTTTTACATACTAAAACAATTATAACACTTGGTAAGGGTATGAATGATTTAGTTGTTAACTGTACATATATATATATATATATATATATATATATATATATATGTATATATAATGTATGTGAGGCTTTATGTATGTATATATATTCTTGAAAATTATGACAACAAAATACTAATGATGGTGATAATATTAACGATATAAGCTATACTTAATAACAATCAACAATATTGACAGTAGTATATAGTAGTATTAAGAGTAGAAAGTAGTATTCTCCTCCTCATCAGTCCTCCTACTACTTATGAAAATGATAATACTAATAATGAAAGTAATAATAATAATGATGATGATCATATTAATGCGTGTAATAAGTAGTAATTGTAAAGAAACTGAACATTGTTTAAAACTAAGTCAGCAGCCTCATAACTTGTTAGGTAAAATTAGATATCGTAATAATATATGAAGTATGTTTTCAATATATTTTAACCACACCAACTCAGCAATAAAACGAAGTTTCTAAACTTTACATTGCCATGCATGGTAAAATATCTGTTGATTTAATCTGATTTCTATTCACAGCACACAAATTGCTATCAGTATTTCTATTTATGTAAACAAGCCAGCGTGACGATCGAAGTGGGGTATGCGATAGGGGGTCCTTTTTTATCGTGTCTAGCGTGTTTGAATAGACAATTTCGATAATGTTCAATGACCCTGTGATATTTCAGGTCACGTGCAATTAATGCGACATAGAAACAGGGACAATGATTCGTGCTGATAGAGGAAGAAGAGATGTAGACAGACAGACAGGGAGACAAGGGGATTAAGGTGTATTTGCAAAAAGAAGAGATCCAGATACATACATACAGACAGACAGACAAACAGACAGCCGATAGAGAGAGAGAGAGATCTTTCTGATATTTTTTAAGATATCAGAAAACTGGAATATGAGATAGAAATGAATTTGAAAAAAGAGAAGACGAGAATATGAGGGGCAATCCAACCATTGTAATAAGTTCATTTGTATGAAAGTAGAAAATAGAGAAACAGAATGGCGATAGTTTGAAATAATTGGGACCTATAATAAGAAAGATAAAATGTTTGAAATAATATGAGATCCCTAAGTTCATGCGAATCTCCTACTCTCCTACTTGTCGTGTTCATAGATATCATCTATCTCTGTTATTCTCCTGAGTACATCCCCCCTTGGGCTCTTCTAAAAATACATTTTGGATAGCATATTATTGTAGGTCCGCTGAAGAGAATAGACCCTACCGAGTCGTATTTGCTTGGATAATATAAATGTTGTCATTTTGTGTGTTGGAACGAATGGGAAAGTATTCTGCCACTACATCACACCGATTCAGGCAATTAAAAAAAAAACCTGTGATGATTACATCTTTCAACATTCATAACTTTCTCATTTTTGTCCGATGTCATTTAAACAATCACTAGTTTACTTCTTTGATTTTTCTGCTTTCCTCTAGTAAGAGTAGTTTGCTACCAATGATGGATTTCCTTTAAAACTGCTGTTTTGGAGCATATAGTTTCAACAATAATATTGTAAATTAAACATACATAGAATTATCAGAAGAAATAGAAGAGAAGCGAAATAAAGAGTTCATCCATTTGAGGTAATTGAATACACATCTACAATATATGTCATTATTGGTTTTGAAACCCTCATGTCAGAAACAGAAATTAGGGAATCAGGGCTCAAACCTGTAATGAACTTTCTGCCTTACAGAAATAATTGAAGTTAAATGAAAACGTTTCAGAAAATGCCATTTCCATTTCTCAGATATATTAAGTACAGACGTTAATCAATATTAATTACGATGGAGGTACTAAATGAATCAAATGTAGTGCGAACCACTCACCAAGAGGGAGGATCTCATACTTCTGTTGAGCATAAATTGGCAGCCGTAGATTCTTTCCTTTGGATGTAGTCGCATGAACAGTTTCGTTCTCGTAGATGAAGTGAAGCAGGAAAATATCTCCTTCTCTGAGTGCTGTACTGCAACCAGGAACGACGAAAGACTCATTAAGTTTGACACATTGGGGTAGTTTCATTTCACACAACAGCTTTGCCAGGTCACTGGTCCTTTCATCCGATGGTAGGTCCAGGGTAAGTGTCCGAGGGAAATCCTCTGGACCAGGTAATGTTTTAATTCCTGCATCCAGACTTGACACACTCGGACGTTTATCAGGTTTTTCAGGCCGGGGAGGGGTCCGAGGTCGTGCCACATAACCTCCATGTCCAGGATACATGTTGGATGTTCTAGTTTTGGTGGCCTCGAAATTACTTGATGGCCTCGAAAAGTCAATATTTCCAGACATCCCTCCGGATTCCTAAAGAAGAGTCCATACCACCAATCTTCAGTAGCTACAAGCAAACCGGTTCGACATCATGAACGAATCGCAGCAACGATACAACTGATGTACAACCAATATGATTCAGTTCAAGAAGAATGACTGTAAGATACGACATAAAAGAAAGGAGACTAAAAAGAATAAAGAATGCAGAAAATACAACCGTCTGATATATAGTGGAAATGAACATACCTCTATCTTTGGTATGGTTTTAAAAATATATTACCAAGCAATCGGCGGCTGGTAAAGGAACAGGAAAAAAGGACATTACGGCGTCAAATAGAAAGAAGACAATGTAAATGATCTCGAGCAAACTAGCATTTCTTGCTGTGGCTCATAAATACAAAAAGACCAACACTAGATTATAGCATCTTCAGTATCTACTCAGGATTCTCTCTGTAAAATAGAAAACCAACATAACGTCAATAAATACTTTTAAAGCACTGTGCAGAGTTGCGTTATGATATACATGCATAACTATATAAAACCCCCTTAAAAAGGTTTGGAAACTCAAGCTTGATCAATTATATCTTTCTTATCATGGCATAATCATCACTTTGTTTAAGTATCATTAGAAAGTGGGTTAATTCCTCTTTTAAATAATATCATATTGATAGTGATTATAGTGATCCACTTCCCGAAGCATCATGCCCATGTTAAGATTGAAAAGGCCCGGGCAATAGGCCAACTCGAAGCTGGAGTTCTTCAAAAAGATGTTGCAGCCCGTTTTCCTTTTTTTTTTACAGAGATGAATTCATTTGAACTGAAGTGAAACAGTATTGCGTGTTTGTTTGCGTGATAATGCATGTTTGTTCTACTCAAGTGCAGAGCAATACTAATGGAAGATCATCTGAAAGTACAGCAGCCTTACACTAGAGAAAGAAGAATGCACGGCCGAACAATTAAGAGCAGTGTATTTTGCAACTTTTTATTTTGTAAATTGCCCTCTTTTGATGTACTGCACATTCCATGACTGAAAAATCATAACATATTGGTGTATTATTTTAAAGAGGAATACAGACACTTTCTAATGATATCAAACATAGCGATGCTTATCACAAGAGCTATATAATAATCGATCATACTTGACTTTTCCAAACTTTTTTTGAGAGGTTTATAATGCATATTTCCGGTATAAACTCAACTAAAGATATACCGTGATTGCATGTTAACAAGAACAAGATGTCTCTAGAAATTGATTCGCATACATTTAAAGGAGACCTGTGTCTCTCCAACAAACAAATATTTTACCGATACATTTCACATCCCTTTAATCCGGAGTTACTAATCTTTTACGCGTTCGGCTATAATAATTATCACATAAGAAAATACACACTCGATTAAGCATAATGGCTAAAATGTGGATCTATTAGGTCCATGATCTATATTTCGTACACAGGTATTCAGCTGCAGGAGAGTGACTTGAATGGTGGTTCAATAATTATGACTGATATATCGATAAAGAACGCGCACATGTCATGGTTAGCTTTTCCAAGTTCAGCCTGTATAGAATAGAAACCAAATTCACTTACCTATTTCCTGGTCTGCTTCTTCCTCCACTTGTCACTCCAACTTGATAGCTCAAATTATTTCCATCAGTTCATCCTATAAGATGAAATTGATCTGGAGCCAATTTTGTTATGGATAGTGTATGGCTGACATGGTAAAAACGGGACATTCATCCTCTTCCTTCTCATAAGAGCATTTTCCCATAATTAACCTGCATGTTGTGTGACTGTAGCGCCCTTGAGCATGTTGAATGCAATTCAATACACGCACTGCTTATCCTGACAAGTACAAATTTCCCGTACACTTATTGTACGACAGTCACACTCGAGCAAACATACATAATAAGTCATATTCATAACGCGGGTTTTGTGAAAGGGAAAACAGAAAATAACAATGTAATGCATGAGCGGATGTACAATAGGCATATCTGCCTGAATCTAACAAGCTTGTAGTTCCATTCAGATCATTTACCAGTCCTTAAACTACAAAGGGAAATATATTATTCAGTTTTTTTCCAAGAGAGGAAATCTGGAAATAAAAAATTCTTTCTTTCTTTCATAGTCATTTTATTTTTAAGAGCCTTGAAAAGTCTATATTTCAGATAATAACGTTCCTGTAGATACTTCCCAACCATGTCACCAGTTTTGAATGAGACAGCGAGAGACACATCCCACATATAAGGGCAAGTTGTACTTTCACTGTCGTTGCTAGGCTCAACAACATTTGGATTAATAATGCTCGTTTGAAGCCGTCTGTATAGAGAACCCCCAAATGGCATAAAGTTATTAAAACTATGTACCAGAACCTGAAATCGAGTGCAAAGAAAAAAAGGAGAAAAAGGAGGAAATGTTGAGCATGATTTATGCGATAATTTGAATACCATTGGTTAACATGAAGAAATAAAGCGGAATGAAGCCACACACAAGAAAAAAAAAACGAAGAAAGAGACAAGAAAGAAGGAAGTTACCAATATCATATTTATGGGATTTGTATATCACGTAATTCACGTTGGCCAATGGTTCACGGTTATAAATGGGCTGGTAGTTGTATAAACAAACTGTGAATATTAAACGAATATAAAATTGTATTATAATGATGAAGGAAGTGAGACCAGACAAGCCATCATATAATTCCAAAAGGATAAGTTTTCGTTCATCCCTTATTCCAGTATACATTTACATCGCATATAGTTCACGACTTATCAGCTCCTAAACAGGAGAGATTTATCAAGACAAAACATGCAGCGAGCAGTGATACGATACAGTGTATACAACGTAATAGGAGGTTATTTGGGTCATAGTATTCTAGATTTGTCATTCCAAATGATGAGTACATGAATTTGTATGAAGTTTACAGGCATGCCAATCCCTATTGTCACAACCTTTATACAATTCAAACAATTATACCAGACGACAAGTCAACGCCATATAGATCGTGCAGGGCTTATGTCAACATGCTGGCACTGAGGAAACGAAAGGTGAATCCCCGTCAACCGCCAAAAAAATTACAATGGTGTCATCGGGTAAACAATGTATTGACGGTCTGATAAGTTAACAAACAATATAAGTTTTAATACATATATAGATATTTATATATAGAGAGAGAGTGATAGTTGGTCATGATTGTCAAATTTGACTGATTGATATATAACGCTGAAGAGAGAGAGAGAGAGAGAGAGAGAGGGGGGGGGGGGGGAGGGGGGGGGGGGGGGGAGAAAGGCAGCGTTCCAATGCTATGAAAAGGGTCGTGTTAGAGCGAGGAATAATAATTGTGGGGTGTGATCATGTCCCTGGTGTGATAGACCATGGACTACTAAGAAAATTTCATGTAAATTTACCTGATAAGACCCTTAACCTTTGACCTTAATATACCAATATCTCATTTCATCTCGGGTCCATGGATAGACTAACTATTATAAACTGAGTGTCAAACTGCCCCCCTCTCTCTCTCTCTCTCTCCCTCTCTCTCTCTCCCTCTTTCTCTCTCCGTCTCTCTCTCTTTCTCTCTCTCTCTCTCTCTCTCTCCCATGCACTCTCCGTCTCTCCGCTGCTCTATTCTTCGGCATATCTTTTGAATGACATTTGAATGCACTTGCGTGTTTGTGGGCGAACATTATGAGCTAGGAGTAATGCATGTATAGATGGTGAAGGCCAATGTTAACCTGGTGGCCCAATGTTGACTGGCACGCAAGCTGTATTTACATGATACCTCTTCCTCTTTCCCGCCACAATAGTATCAGTTCTTTCGTTGTTGCTCAGGGTGATCCAAATACAATCCCTTATTTAGGGTTTCTCAAAAGCTGGTAAAATACGGTGAACGAAACTGTGGATTTAAGGTTTGTTTGCATAATTCTGGTATTATCCATCACCAACATGACCAATACAGGTTTAAAAAGGGTCATGACAAAGTGCAATTAACATCGGCTTTAAATAAAAACTTTTGTTTTGAGTGGTGATCTCATAATAACAATTTCCAGGGTCGATGAGACTTTCAGCTCCGACTGACAAAATGTAAAAGTAAATTTCTATCGCGGAAATCCATGGATGGTGTATAAATAGAACAGGCCTTACCCATTTCATCAATTTGTAAATGATTGCCACTAATAAACAGAGTACAAATTCAATACCGAGTAGGTAACCGGATAAATGATAGAAGAAATAGTTTAAGATAAATAAAACATAGTCCATCTTCATATCGGTAATGATTACCTCCTAATTACCCTGTTGACAGTCAAAATATATAGCTGAATCATAATAAATTAAGTGTTTAATAGCTGTAACGTAGAAATGCGTTCCACATTTGTAATGTTTACAAGTAAAGAAATTACAGGTTGGAATCATTTTGTTTGAATTATTATTCTTATATTTTCAAATTTTATTTCATTATTCCCTTTTAAAAGACTTCATATAATACATTTTGATGTTCAGTCAATACATGATTATATCATCACACGTTAAGAAATTTGTTGAACGGATGATATTTTCGTTATCTGGAAATGCGTTCTTTACTTGTATTGGTTATAAACATTTGTTTACATAATACTCAAATTATGCTCACAATTAAATATTCACATCAGGTCATTACAAGTTGGGAAAACCAGTGAAGGTAACTCGACATAAACAATGTTAACAAAATAATATTGGCACGGTTCTGAACCATTCAAACGGGAAAGTGTATGGGAAACATGTATTCGTTAATAAAGTTATAGTCTCGATGAAATGAAATTAATCGTTTTTTTAAACCAAATTTACATTACGTTGCAATTCTTTTCTGCTTTTTTGCTTTTGTTTTGCCTGTTAGTTTATTGCCTTTTGATTTGTGTTTACATAGTTAAGTGGGTTTTAATAAGAATTTCATACAGTGCTTCTGGGTAACTTCGTAAAACTTGATGACTGTATAGCTTAAAATATACAATTTATAGTTTTTGTTTTAATATATAAAAGCTCGATTTAATGACCTGACGTGGCAGTTTTGGTCTAAATCGTTATGGCGTTATTCTGCTTCTCTTATCTGATTTCATACGAATATAACTATAGCAAACGTTAGATTGCCCTTTTCATTGTAAAAAAAGCTCTTGATACTATCAAGTCTTGGATTTATCGCGTATTAACAATTTCATAAAAAATTCAAAACAAAGTAGTAAGCCTGTCTATCAGTCGAACATAATTATACCAGTTGAAAAAGAAAAGCATCTTTAAAGGAATAGTTGAGTTTTGTTCAATTTCAATTCAATTTCAATTCATTCATGTTTCCAACAAAACACAACAAATCAATTATAAGCATTTATAACAAATGTAGAAATACATGTTGGAAACAGAGGAGTCCACTAAAAAGCAATGATTGTACAAGTGTGAACACCTCAAATGATACTTAGGAATAATGAGTTATTGAATTAACAAGTCCGTAACTACAAAAGGAACTACAAAATAGAGGGGAAAAGGGGGATGCCAACAGAGACGAGAAAGGGACAACACAATACTTTACGTGACAAAGATAGAAGAACACGGTCATAATACAAAGTAGACAATGCCACAGGGCGCTACACACAATATTTTGTTGTGACATAATGAAAAACTGAGTGTCAAATTTGAAAGAATATACAATTTAAATGAAAAAATCATCTTTGCTTGATCAAAATCGGTTCAGAGTCGGCTGAAATATCTATAAATATATTTGTGGTGCCCTACAAATATTCGGTAATTTTGGACCTGCCGTTGAAAAACGAGATAGCGCCTTATACGTTGTATTCCATCCAATGCCAATATTGGCTTTTTGTTGGCTTTTTCGCGTTGGTTATAATACGCACAACCAGCCGGCCCGTGTATTGCTGTTATATATTAAATAATTAATTAATTAACGGTCACCGTATGTTTTTAAAAGTTGAGCTGAATTGGTATGATCGTATTCAATCTAAATTCACACATTTTTTAGTCTAAAATTACCTTTATAACAATTTTAGGTTCTAAAAGAGCACAAGAAATGTCATAAATAAGAATAAGAACAATTAAAATGCACTTTGAAGAAATTTGCGGTCTTAAACAAAAACTCAAATATTCCTGTATTCGTGGCTTTAATATGGTGTTCAAGTGTAAATATGAATCACAATGAAGAATGTGCAATACAAACGCAATATTGATAACCTAATTTCTATAGTCATGTTAGTTTTGACCCTATTTAACAACCACTTGATATCAATTCAAACCAAGCAGATCTAGATCCAAACTCAAGCCATATTAGATATTAATTTGATAATTTGAAACTAGTCGTGTCACGTTTTCGATTGCATAGTACAACTTCCTCAATTTCATTTCTTGCCCATTATAGAAGAAGCTCTCGTCATACGATTGCCCTTATACAATCGAAATTATCGAGGTGTTTGTCTACATGTGCGTGTGGTTGTCATCATAATGAGGGGTGTTCAAAGTGGCCTTTAATGAGACCGAACTTTGACCTAACCAAAATGGCAGCCAGACAGTTTGATACAAAAATTCGTTTCCTCTGTGATGAATGATATTAGTGTCCGATTATATGACTTATTTGTAGTAGAATATTTTAAACAAACTATATTACGGTATATATTGGATTATTGAGTCATTGTCCAGGTCGATCTGCACTAATGTCAAAGTCAAGCACCTCCACTAACGTGCTATCTTTTCCACATTTAATCAAGTCAACTCGTCTCCATAAACCAAGATCACTCTCCGAAATCAAGTCAATTCTTATCCATCAAATTAGTATGATATGTTTTTTCACAATGTTTCTTTCAAAGAGTGTGTTTTAAGATCGTCAAACGCTGCCTACGATGAAGTTTGCTTCTTTAACGCGAGAGTGAGCTTGCGAGCATCTAGTTTGCTCAGACCTAACTCTTCAGTCATGATCTGTTCATCCAACGCCAGAAGAAGTTCTCCGTTGACATCATTCTCGATGAAGGACTGTGAGTACTGTCCAAGTTTACAAGCTACGAGGAAATAGCCTACTTCTTCCCGGGTAAGAAAACTGTGAATCCTTAAAGGGGTCTCGGTAGGAGATGTAGGGACCCGGAGTGAGGTGTGTTTCGGGTCTCCTGGTGACGGAGAGATGTGGTCAGATGTTGGTGATGTAACCTTTGACACGCTGGTTGACGGCTTCGGGGATACAGCGGGTGTGGCCGGTTGAGAATGCCTTGCCTGAGGATTGGACTTGGTGCTGACGTTGTCCTTACTTGACGGGGTTCCAGCCATGTCATTCAGTGAAAAACTGCGAATAGCCACAGGAGGGTTGCTCCCTTTGCCGGAATTACGAGAATCTGTACGAGCTGGCACAGCAGGCTTTATTTCTTTAACAGGTTGCAGAGAGTCATTTGACGTTGACGTGATTCGAGGGACAGGGACTGGGACCTTCTTACTCTTGGTATCTTGGACTTCGGTCTCGATGGGTTTTGATGACGTGACTTTGACGTAATTGTCGCGTGTTTTCGAGGGTAATGCCGTAAAGTCGCTGATCATGGAATATTCGTCACTGTCATCAACCTGATTTTGAAGCCATTCGATTTTTTCATAAAGCTTTTTCTTCTCGTCTTGCAATTTCACGTTTTCTTCTTTAATGACCTGAAAAGAAATACAATTTATCAATGTAGATTAACCTGAAGTTCACTGTACGTATATTACGGAACTCCTTTGTAGCAACAAATGGGCCCCTGACAATCTCATTCATTAAATCAATGACAGTAATGCAGTATCGAGGTGAATCTATTGGGTAATGAACGAGACACATCGATAATCATGGGGATGTATTACTTCGGACCAGACTCTATACCAAAGATTGAAAGTTATCCATCTTATGAAGAGGCTGCCTGGACAAACAAAGATTTATTCCCCTTATTCAAAAAGACAAAAATTGAACCACTAGAAATGAAGTTATTACGTGAAAATATGGAATTTCTACAACATGCAAGCCTGCTGTTATATTACCGCTTTAACGGGTACTGAGTTTTAATAAAAAATAACGGACCAATCACAATCAATACTGAAGCAGACTTATCGCTTCATGGAAAACTGGGCTATGTAGAAGGAGTAGAATAAAACATACATACGGGTATTATTGTGCCAAACAGTACGCTCAGTCATGTTTGTCACCTCATATAAAACAAAATGATACTCGAATGTGAATAGGCTGTGATGTACTTACATTGTATTTGTTCAAGAGATCGTCGTACTTGGTTATCATTTTCTCTATCTGTAATTAAAAAATTGTGTAGATGAGAGAGAGAGAGGGGAGAGAGAGAGAGAGAGAGAGAGAAGGGGAGACAGAGAGGGAGAGAAGGAGAGAGAGAGAGAGTGTGTGTGTGTGTTGGGGGAAAGGGTGAAAAAGATGAAGGAATTAAATGACTTGCAGTAAATATAGCTTTTCTTGTCCAATGTTTTCTTTAAACATGTGTATTAATAATTCATAATCTGTACTATATCTTCTATTTGAATTAATTTGGGATTTGCGCAGCTAACGATGTGTCATATTTAGGTTTTGTCAACAACCCATCTCCAGGCTGTGGGGGACTGAAACGTATAATTCGAAGATTATGTGCTGTAAAGATATCAGTCCAAATATTTACATGGGACCCTAAGTCGACGCTCCTGACAAAACACTTTTATGAGACGTAGGAGCTACCCTGACTTAGATAATTTTCAAATAATAGTTCAGTACATCACAATAGTGAAACAAAATATAACGTGCAATAACTCAAAACAAATTAATCAAAACCAAGCATGTGACATGGTGTTAATACCATCATATTTCTTAAAACACCTCTTGTGGGATTTTTTTTCCTTCACTTTTGAAAATGTATCCTTTCCAAAAATTATTTGAATTTACTCACCCCATCATCGGTGGTTACGTTCTCGGTGTCGACTTCGATGTATTCTTCGGCACTCATGTCCCTTTCGAAAACAAACTTCACTTCGGTCACATATTCATACCTGGAAGAAAGCACACAGTTAAAAAAAGACAGAAAAAAGAGAAAATTAAGGAACCAAGTCGAATCAAGCAAACAAAATATTATAGAGAATTGTGGGGAGGGAGGGAGAGAGAGAGAGAGAGAGAGAGAGAGAGAGGGGGGAGAGGGGATGTGAGATCGAGACAGAGAGAGACAGACAGACAGACAAAATATGAGACAAAGACAGAGACCTAGGTTTATAAACAGAGACAGAAAGAAAGAAAGAGAGAGAGAGAGTGATTGTTAAAAACAGGAAACAAAAGATATGACAAATAAAGATATAGTGAGATAGAGAAGGAGAAAGAGGGAGAAAGAGAGAGAGAGAGAAAGAGAGAAAGATATATATATATATATATATATATATATATATATATATATATAAACATTACGAAACCTTGTTTTGGGGGATAATTTCATGCTCAGAGTGTTATAACATTTTCTGTAGTTTTAGGTAATGCATAATTAACAACAAATCAAATAGATAAACAAAATTATCCTCAAAATATGACATTATAGACTTTGTAATTTATTTTGACAAGTTCGAGGAGCTATCGTTTTCATTCATTCTCCTCAAATGAGCCCATTACAAAAAGCTTTTATAAAATCATACTTACTCGTCATCGTCGTCATCCTCATGTTTCTTCGTTTGTGGCGTGCTAATGGCACTAGATTTCGGCTCGGAGAGCTGTGCTCGAGAGTCTATCGCGGTAGGAGGTGATAGCGCCTTTAGAGATTGGAGCGGCTCGGCTGTAATAGATGGCGCCAATGTCTCGGTACCTCGTCCACCAGATCGTGGCGGCCGAGGTGGGGGAGTGTCAATCAACCCAGCCTTGCGTAACTCGCGTTGGTAGGTCTCTATGGTAGACTCCAGGCGCTTGATCTTTTCACCTTTTTCCTCATCTGATTTCCTTCGTTGCACATCGTACTTGGGCATAACAGTTTCTATCCGACGTTTACCTATTAGTTTACAAATACAAACAAAACAAAAGAAAAAGAAAAGTGATGAACTTTCAATTTGTCATCAAAAACATTGATTTTCATAATGGCGGTTTATTAACAAAGTGACACATAAATTCAAATTGTGTACAACATGATCATGAATCTTATGTATGAACTTGTTGTATAATTCTCCTACTCATATCCTTTTGTCCGTATCAAAGCATTAAATACAAACTAAAGCTAACACATGAAACAAGGGTTTGTATATCGTTGTTTTTTTCCCTTTAATACATCTTCGAAATGGCAACTTAACTTGCCCTTTTGTCAATCCATTTAAGCTGCATATAACTGAATAAAGGCAAAGACTTGAATGTATAACTAAATCATACCTTCCCAACTTGCCAGCCATGGCACAAGCACTTCTGCTATTGGTTGTGGAATTTCTTCTAAAAGATGGGGTAACCCTCCTTGGGTGGGGTCAACCATATTCCACGTTGTGTTGATACTGGCGTACAGCGGTAATAGCATAGAAGTTACCTGCTTCTCGGCAGGAAGAGGGGTGCGTTCCAGGGAGATAGGTGTAGAGAGGGGTAAGCAGTACACATTGGTGTCTCCGCTTCTTGTAGCCAGGATGCAGTCCTCCTCGCAGTAATCGATAAGACTCAGAACTCGTTCGGACAATCTGTTTCTCCGTCCATCACTCGTATCTGGAATCCGAACTCGCTAAAATGAAATAAAATAAAATATTTCAATTGCATTCTTGGAGAATTATATTCTACGTTTTATTGATTCCGCCATTAATAGGGGGTGTTTATGTATGTCTATTTAGTGTCTCCCCTACAACAATCATGCTTATAAGCTATAACTCAAACATAAAACAGTGTATCTCCCTCTCTCTCTCGCTTTTTATAAAACTACTTAACAATCTTCTGAATTGAAACTGTTCATTACTCGACAATATCAACAAAAATTTGGTTACAATTGAATGACAAATGAGATAGATATTTTAACAAATAATTTGGACTATACATTCTCATCATATAAGTAGGAATAATAATGTCATGATATTAATTCGAAGTTTAAAAAAAAGTATTTTTTATAATAAAATGGAGCTCATGTCATTTCATGTGGCACTAACAGTGATGTCGTTTAAGTGAGATCGAGGTAGACCCAATGATTCTCATGTAATTATGATTTTATTCGCAGTAATGATCTCTTACCTGTGGAAAATCGTGAGATTTTAGTTGTGACAGTCGTTGAAATTCCGGTACAACCATAGTGGTATATGATGAAAACGTCATTTCTTTGGAAAAGCGAAAACGACTAGAATGCTGCGAAAACGGATCGGTCAGCTTTCCCACAAGAACCTGAATTATGAGGATAATTTTGTTTGGTTTGATTCAATTTAATCTGTTATTGGTTTCGGTGATATCATGTTTTAAACATTATTTTTTATCATAAACACCCATCGATACAACATGCACGCGCACACGCAAAACAAATGAAATATTTGATTAGTAACTCCATGATAAGATGCAATATTAGCTGCAAGAAGGATACAGTGTAAACATGAAGCTTGATTTGCTTGAGGTACCTTAAAAGAATATAGCGGGTTTAAATACACTTGTGAAACAGACAAGGAATTAAGATTTACAATGATTTAAACAAAATATTGAGAACATTCGGAATTGTAGGTGACAACACAGGGAAGGGAATGCTCTACATAGCCTAGATGTTTGTGTAAATGTTTATTATGTCATTAACACAATTTACTTAGATGTTGTTTCATTTAGATTCAAACGCATTATCATAATGATTAAACTAGCACCTAACATGCATTACAAGATATATTATAAAGCATCTCTTTAGAGCCAGAAGGGTGTTAACTGTTATACAACTACGCCTTTCTGGCTCCACACGACTCATCTGACACCGGGGGGGGGGGTCTTACCTTGCCCAGCACCTTGTCGACCTCGATGTACTGGATCTCAATGATGTCATCGGTTGATTGCTGTTCGTCTGGATACGTAGAGCAGTGAGCATCGACCACACGCACCACCTTGGGCAAGGGCTGGGCGTCGATGAGCGATGCAGTTCCATCATACACCTTGTCGTCCAATAAAGGATCTAAAGTAGATTTTATTAATACATGAATAAATAAAAAGGTTTTATTCCTATTTCATTTTTCAACCACGACAGGTTTACACACATTAAAGTTAAAAGGGTGCAATTCATACAATATTGCTTAAACAGGAAAATGTTTGATGGGTACAATTTTACACAATACTGGATAAAAATGTATCCAAGTTGTGTTATATTACCCACTAAACATGCGTGTTCCCTTTTTACACAATATCGTGTAAATCTTACTCTACTTTTAGAGAGTATACTCACATAAAGTATATTAAGTGTTACGATAGGTACAACCTATATATCGAAATATCAAGATAGAGCATGAGTGGGCCCTTTTCAGGGTTAACCCTGTCGAAAGAATACGTGGTAACCGCAAACCTTGATAAAATCTATCCTCACCATGGAGTTCTATTTAGTTCAGTTCTGTTTATTCGCCCAAGTTGAATAAATGGAAATGTTATAAGAGAATTTTTACAAGCATTACACAAATTCATATAAAACATAAAAAACAGTGATAATCGGAATACGTAAGTGATAAAAATGCATAAAACATTGACATCTTAGACATTGAATTAAGATTACCCATGGCAAAAGCACTAAGAAAGAGTAAAAGGGGGAAGAAGGTGAATAGAGGAAGAAGGACGGTAGATCGAGGTGGGGGAGAGAAGGGAATGAGTCAGAAGAAGAGGAATGATATAGAGAGAATGGGAAAGAGAGATGAAAGAGAGCCACAGAACGGAAAGGTAGGGACAGTTGTAAGAAGAAAGAGAGAGCATCATGAAATGATAAAGGTATTTAACAAGAAGAACATGAATTCCTATACACAGGCACGTAGCCACAGGGGGGGGGGGGGGGGGGGACGTGTCCCCCCCAAAAAAATCCAAGATCGGTTGAACTTTTTTAGACCCCTTTTTTAGACCTCGATCGATTACATGTATGTGCCCCCCCCCCAAAAAAAAAAAAAAAAAAAAAAAAAAACATCAAACTCGTGCCTGCCCATACAGCAAAAGATAGTGGAGATAAAGATAATGTAAGAAAGAACCGGGAAAGTAGAAAGAAAAAGAAAGGGAAATTGACATATTAAGTGCAGAACACCATTCATGTATAGGACCTTTGTATATAACATGTAGTCTCCAAAGATTACAAAGTGTAATTAAACTGAACCGAATTCAACAAAGGAGCCCTTGATATAAAGTTATAATGATCTCATCTCCAGCTGGCTTCAAAGAAAATAAGAATATTTTATTTAAGATTATTTATCCAAAGTGAACTAAAAGACAACTAACAAGGACCTGATTTTTTTTAGGAAAAGACTTGGTATTGATGTTATATTATATTCACTATGAAGGTCAAAACAAAATGATTTTGCTTAATATGATTAAGATATACGAATATAGATTTAAACCCCCGGTGACATCGAGACAACAGACAAAAGATGGAGCTTCGACGGAACATAAAATGTCATTGACGCAAATGGCCAATAATTGATCGGTTGGTTTGGCGTCGGTGAGGAGTCAATTTGCGATGTGATTACATGATTTAAAAAATACATCTCACTAAACATAACGGATTCAAATCGCGTCTTTATGATAGCTGTACTTCATCATTGTGTCGTGGTTAAGCGTTGGTCACATCCCACCGTGCGTGTTTTTAGTCCGTACGGTTTTTGGGGAGGCCACGGCCGCCACGTTTTCTGAAAACGTAGGGAGGGAGTGGCAAAGGCAGGGAGGGAGTACCGGCAAAGCACGTCACACGCACGGTGTAAGTACGTGGCCCGCACGCCACACCTGGCCTAGAGCGGTTGCGTGCATCGTACGTTGCCCACGTGGTAAGTGCGTTGTACGTGCTTACAACGTGCTTACTACGTGCTTACAACGTACGGTCTCCGTGCGGTTGCCACGTTATCTTACGGAGGCCGTACTTACACGTGCTGCTCACGTACGGTGTCCTTACTCACTCGCACGTTGTAAGTGCGTGCACGTACGAAGAACTTGGTGAGTCGGGGTATGTCGAAGTATATAGGACGACATTCCCATTTTCTCTAGAAGTCCCAGCTGCTGCTGCCTCCTCAAGATGCCGCCCATTCCACCGCAGAGACTCCGGGTTCTGATGCTGCAAGAACACCTTCAAGTGGCAGCGCATGAGCACGACGTGGTATTACTTGCCTTGATACGGGAGAGAGAGAGGCAACAGAGATGCCGACGCAGGAGATGGTGGGTTCGCCCATGGGTCGAGAGGAGGAGGCTTTTTGGGCAGTACGAAATGTGTTCCAAGAGCTAGAGCGTGAATCGCGGGGGGACTATGTCGGATACATCCGAATGGACCTAACGAATGGGCACACAACAGCATATCCACGTTCGTGCCGGAGGTCTGCACCGCCATCTACAAGGTACATAAGGAGGAGATGTTCAACATGCCCTCCACACAGGACGAGTGCATGGAAAGCCGTCGCCAGCCAGTTTGGAACGCGATGGAACTTTCACCACTGTTATGGGGCGATCGATGGGAAACATATCGCCATCAAGAAGCCCAATAAAAGTGGATCGCTCTATTACAATTATAAGCGCTTCTGTTCTGTGGTGCTCCTGGCCATCGTGGATGCTAACTATTCCTTCTTGTGGTGCAAGGTGGGGGCAAATGGCTCATCCTCAGACGCACGCGTGTTCAACGAGTCCACCCTCCGGGGGGCACTGGAGGACAACATTGGATTCCCAGCACCGGATCCACTTCCAGGCGTCAACCGGAACTTTCCCTACTTCATCATAGGCGATGATGCTTTTCCCCTGCGAAAGTGGCTCTTGAAGCCATACAGTCGCCGTGCCATGACCCACAAAGAGAGCGTGATGAACTATCGGACCTCTCGGGCCCGTCGGGTTGTGGAGAACTGCTTCGGGATATTGGCTCACCGGTGGCGGTGCCTACTCACCACCCTGCTGTTGGAGCCTGACAGGGTGATTCGCGTTGTGTTGGGCTGCCTCACCCTTCACAATTGGCTGCGAAAGCGCCAGCCCGGACTACAGGACCTTAATTTGGACCACGAGGATGAGGATGGCAACGTGGTCCTCGGGGCCTGGAGGGAGGATGTGCAGATGACCGAACCCAACCAGATGGTCGGCCAACGGGCCTCAAGGGAAGGGAAAACCCTGGGAAACTTATCGAAGAAGACCGGATTGACCGAGAAGAACTCAACCAGGCGCTCCTCCTGTTTCGCCGAGAACGAGCAGTTGGCCTTTTCCTTTGTCACACCCTTTTCATGTGACCCCTTCTTCGATCCACCAGCAGCACCCTCCTCATGATCAGACGCTTTGGCGTCACCATCTGACTCTTTTTCGCTCCTCCTCCACTCTTCCTCTCTGGCCTCTCATCTTCCGCGGCACCCTCCTCATGATCAGACGCTTTGGCGTCACCATCTGACTCTTTTTCGCTCCTTCTCCACTCTTCCTCTCTGGCCTCTCATCTTCCGCGGCCCGTTTCTGTTGGGCCTCTCTGGCCTTCTTATCCGCTGCCTTTTGAGCTGCAGATGCAGCTGACCCCTTATTCTGTGTCTTCTTCGGCGCCATCTTGGAGACGAAATGTTGGCACTCTTCCGTCGGCTCGGCTTTTGTATACTGCATAAATCAGTGCGCACGACGTGCGTTGTAAGTGCGGAGCACGTGCTTACTCGGTACGGTCCACGTGAGTTCTGCGTGCTCATCAGAAAGTTGAACTGGGGAAGTGGCGAGTAAGCACGGACCACGCGCTTATCACGTGCGCAGCACGCACGTGCTAAGTGCGCCTTCCGTAGAGCAAGTGATCGTGGGAAACAAATTTAAAAACGCACGGAGTCAGTGCGTTGTGCGCTCGTTGGCAGTACCGGGCACGCACGTCACGCGCACTGGGGGTGAATCGGTAGCCCGAACGCAGCGAAAGTTCCTCGTGCACTAAAAGTGCTACGGTGTGTCTGCGTTCTCCCAAATCCGTACGGAGGCGGTACTCACCACGTACCGATACCCAAATTTTGCCCACGTTTTTGCACGTAGACAGCACGCACTTGCAAGTACGGCGGGATGTGACCACCGCATTAGTGGTTCAACCACTTAACTCCCAATCAAGGGTTGAGGGTTCGAACCCAGCCCGGCACTAACGTCCTTTTGCAAGACATTACTTCTCATTTGCCACTCTCCACCCAGGTGTAAGCGTGTACATGGCAATTATAACTGCAAGGCACACAGGAAGACCAGTAGTTATACTGATGTAGCTACCCTAGGTAAATATAACCCACAGTTGCGTGTATTATTGTTAAATCTTATTTACTTACCTAGAGGTAGTATCTCAAATTCCTGTCTGGTGTAGAGGGGTAGACGCAAACCCTTCCCTGTCTTTGTATCGACTGCGTGGATTACCGGTTTTGCATACACAAAATGAAGCATAAAAACATCCCCTTTCTTAAACTTGGAATGACACCCCGAAGCCAGAAAGGTCTTGGTGATACGAACGCATTGGGGTAGTTTTGTCTCACATGCAAGCTTAGAGAGGGGTGTAGTTTGTTGGCTCTTCGGTAGGTCTGCACTAAGCCTTGGTCCACAGACTTTCCCATCCAGTGGTGTCGTGGAGTAGTACGGTCTATCCATTCCAGAGTAAACATTTTGTGCCTGTTGTTTAGACATAATTAATTGTTAGTTGTTTTTTTACGTCACAGAAATCATTTCCGACGAAATCATTCGAATTCTCGTTTACTCTCCTTTATCGATCCTATAAGGTGTAACAAATTCGATTTAAAATGAAAAGTATGAGTAGTTCACTGGAATAAAACAGACTTTGAAGCTGTTGAATGTTGAATGTTTGCTTAATGACCATAAAGAGGAAGTAAAAATGTATTAGTCAATGATTAACACTACTGTATTAATGACTCAAAGTATGAGCCTTAATAGCCTACTTTTGGTATTTATGAACAATGCGGCGCTGGGGTGAGGGAGGGGGCAGGGGTGGCAACTGCCCCACTTTTTAAGTACCCCTATTTATATAGAAAAAGTGCTCCATTTTACTTCAGATAAGTTCTCCTGTTTCTTTCAAATAGAATCCTGCTCCACATTCCCCTTTCCACCTGATAAGTGCCCCTATTGAAGTCTGAAAGGTGCCTCTTCTTATTTGACAAATGTCCCTTTTCCTTAGTAAGAAGTGCCCTTTCTCCTTCGAATAAGTGCACACTTTCACTTCTTATAAATGCTCCTTTGATTTTATAAACGTACCCTCTTTTCATTTAAAAAAGTGCCCTTTTTTTCTTGTAAGTACCCCTTTTCCTTTGTAATACATCTTCCTTTTCATCTCTGATGAGTGTACCCAAAGTACCCAATTTTCACCTCTGGTAATTGCCCTTTTTACTTTGACACATGCTTCCCCCTTTTCTTTTTTAATTGGTATCCTTTCCCTTCTGATAAGTGCCATCTTTTCCATTCTCCATAATGATGTGCCACTTATTTAAAGCAACTAAGGCCCTTTTTTACACTATGCTCCCTCACATTTATAGTTGATATAATTATTTTTCTTATTAAAGGCCTTTCCAGTCTTTTATTATTAGATTGTGCTTTAAATTCCGTCGGGATTGGTTTCTTTTCACTTTTGCTCGCTCGCAAATAAAAATTCAGACCATCACGCCCAACTACAAATTATGATATGATGCAGTACCTTGGACCATGTAAATATTGAAATTATTCCTGATAAAATAATCACAATGTGTATTTACCGATGTCTAAAAAGTATATATTTTCACTACAAGGTTTTCCTTTGAAGGTGCCCTCTTTTTTTAGAAAGTGCCCTTCTTGTTGGTGCCCTCTCCAATTTGGAAGACATACCGCCTCCCCTGTTTACGGATGAATACAAAGATCGTTATGAATGACGAAAATAACAAGAACAAATGAAAAATGTATAACGAATCAAAATTAGCGAATATGCTATTTATAGGCCTATATAATTTCTACAGTACTGACCACCACACGAGTGACTTCCAAGTGAGCGTCTTGAAGGATGATTTCATATGAGATACGGCCACAGAGGAAAGAGAGTAACGCCTTATCCACAATCTCGGCTGTCTCCAACCTCGTGGGATGAATGTTTATTTCAAATCTTTTCCCATGTTTTGATTTTTGTCTTTTGTGTTTTATCTGTTTTCTTTCTTTCTGTTCTCTCTTTCTCCTTGTTTTCTTCTTTCTTCTTTACTTTCTCCCTCTCTCGCTCTATCTCTCTCTTCCTCCCTATTCTCTTCTCTCTCGCACTTCTTCCCTTCTTATTTTCCTTTTCCGGGGGGAGGGGCGGAGATACCGTGAGACCTTGGAACAGGCGCGTACGCAGGGGGGGGGGGGGGTTAAGAGGACACTTTTTTTTTTTTTTTTGTCCCAAAAAAATCGCAACGACTCAGCCAGCCGCTGAATAAGCGGGGGGGGGGGGGGGGGGGGGGGTAAGAGGACACTTTTTTTTTTTTTTTTTTTGGTCTCGAAATTTGAAAAATTGACATTTTGCTCCGTTGGGGGGGGGGGGTACGGTCACCTTTTTTTAGGTCAGCCATGGGAATATTTTTTTGTTTTTTTGTTGTTTAATAATTAAAAAAAAAAAAAAAAATCCAAAGGGGGGGGGGGGTTTACACACAAAAAAATACCAAAGAGGGGGGTTTAACCCCCCCCTGTGTACGCGCCTGTCTTGGAAGCGTGTTTGTATAACATTTAATTACTTTAGACTATAGTGTATCCTTACAGACAACGATTATTCGTCCATTCTTTTTTCGGGGGGATATCTCTTTTATTCTTCACTTCCTTCTATATTCGTTCTTTCGTTCATTCTTATAATTTGTTGGCCGTTCCATTCAGGGCAAGTCGCCACCCCTCCTGTGTTTAATCAAACGGACCTACCAGGTACTAAATCTTGATAATATAGTTCGACGATGTTGACATTTGCAGTTACTGCTAAACATGACAGAACATGTTATATAATTATGTTAAGTACGTATAAAAATGCTAAATAGGAAAAACAAGATATGGCTAATGATCATGCAATAGGTGATTCAACTATCAGTTTGGTTCCCAGTTGTGGGACCTTAATCGAAATAAAAAATAACCTTCAGATGAGATAAATTATACAATAATAACGTACGTAACGTACTCATCAATACAAGATTATTAGTATAGAAGCGCCATGGAATTGTATATCATAATGCCTCAGTTTCTTCTTCTTTAAGCAATCCCATAACGCATTTATATCAATACCATTAATCATTTACAGTGAGAAAAGAAAGATTGAAAACAACAAATACTTGACAACTCTGACTAATCAGATGATATCGTCCTATTTGGTACCAACCAGATAGTTGGAGTATGATAAACCAATAACAGAATGGGAATACCCCCTTATTCCACCGATTTGTTTGTTTTTAGTATTAGTGACTCGTAATTTTAAAAAAAAATTGTTTTTATAGCATTTAAGTTGATAACAATCAATATGTCAATATCACTTTGACTCTCTCCTTTCGTAATTAAGTCAATCTTGTGTTAGATCAAGTTCAAAGGCTGCCCTAGGATATTTATAGAAGACTCAATTAAGCATTACTGTTTTGTTATTATTATCATTATTATTATTTTTATCATTATCATTAGCATAATTATTTTTAATGAATATAGAAAGCGTATACAGCATTATAGTGCTCAGATGACATGCTTTAAAGATCTTTATTGCTTTCTGTATTAAATGCTTTATCTTATGATGATGACGGCAACATTTTAGAACGAAACGATAATATGAAGGTTGGCACATGAGCAGTTTCTACTCTCCTAAAGTATTATACACGTATAATAATAATAATAATAATAATATTGCTTATATAGCGCTTAATACGTCGGGAATATCCGAGTTTTTAAGCACTTTACATTATTACCCCCGGTCATCGGATTCTAGCTTGCCCGCACACAATGTATGCACTTTCTCCACTCCCTGGGGAGCATTTCAACAAGAGCTACTAGGCTCAAATTGCTAAGCATACCACATTGGCTTTCGTATAACATGTTCGTTGCTGGGGCGTTGTACTTTTTCGCTGCTTTTAAGAATGCACTTGCTTACGTCATGCTTTGATTTTCTTTTAATTTAAGAATTGATGAGTGGAAAAATCTATACAAACTTTTCTAAGCACCTTGACCATATTTCGTCTTAAAAAAAGAAAGAAATGTAACAAGAATAAATAGATATTCTTTATACAGTTAAAAAGAGGCATAAAATATATTCAGTCCAGTGTGTTCATTTCCTCTTTATGAACCTCTTTTCAATGAAATATTTTGTGCATAAGGTGGCAGAAAAATAATATACAGAACTTCGAGCATTATACGATAGCAGTATTGCCCAATTTATGAAATAAAAGTGAGATTTATATAAAATTTCATTTAAATCATTATAGTGTAAAAAGAAAAAATTATTGTTCGTGGTAAAACGATTCTCTGAAAATGGTTCCGTTGAATTACTTTGATCAACGAAAGAAACTTCTTCAGGGAGCAAAGTAAGTGTCAGTGTAATTAAGAGTAAATGGCCGCTATCCATATTTATACCACAGCATAATATTTCAAGTAATGCAATACAACATGTACAATGAAAGACTCCCTCTATCTTAATACGTACATTGTGTTAAAGCTCACATGACAATAAAATAAATGAGTAGCTCGATTTTTGACAGGTTGTAATAAAATATTCCAATCTGTCAAGATGGCTTTAAAAACATAATGAAGGCACGAATGCTGGTAAATGCACACCTCGAACCAAATTTTAATCATATTTGATGTTTAAATTAGCAGACTAAAAAAAGAAAACAGTAGCAAATATTTGCCAATTTGAATTTGAACCGTAACAGTAATATACACTTTCATAAAACGTGAATTTTAGATATTGGGACGAAGTTTGACGATCGAAGTAATCTAAGACAATAAAACAAGATGAGAGTACAAACAGAAAAGAAATAGACAATTATTTTCATAAGGGAGTCGCTTTATGGGAATGATAGAACATTGAATTACTGCAATTACGTTCTAAAAACACGTTTTAAAAATTGGTGTAGCTCCAGGGGGCACCCCCCCCCCCACAACAAACAAACAAACAAAATTATACACAATTATAACCAAAAAAAAAAAAGGAAAAAAGTGAAACGAAGAAGACGAAAAGGACGAGAATAGAATACGCTTTGACCGCCTCCCGCACCCTTCCGCTGATAAGTAACCTTGTAAAATACGCATTTCATCTCAAACCATGGACCTACTAAGAATGCTTAAAGTAGATATTCATTGATTTTAAAAACTAACTTTATTTTCATTATTGCAAAGTTGAAACTGTGATTCGACAAGGTTATCAAAATTCAATGCTTGGAAACATTCGAAGTAATGATTATTATAAATTACAAAACGCTTAAATACAGCCCCAACATAGCACCTGAAGAGCTCTCCGAACGCTGCTGAGATGTGTGAGATCACAGTATGAACATGACTTGCACAAGCAGACGATGCCCCATGACATCTCACACATTTTCAGTGCCTGTGTTTTCATCTTCTTTTGAGTTCTTTCTCTTACTTCACTAGCGTCAGGTTAAATGTATAATCTATTGCCTCACTCTAAACTCCGCGCATGGTTTTGTTTTGATGAAAAATGCAGCGATACAAAAATAAAGGAATCTGTCGCTTGTAAACAAAATAAGACGCCATTGTATATTCAGCTGCACACACCGGGGTATGTTCGGCCTTTCAAGAGAGAACAAATGCCGTCCTTAATATCATTCCGGGGGGTTTTCAATTTGAAAGTCTGGTTTCTTTGATTGTTAATTAACCCCTATCCTGTGTATTTACAAGCAAAATATGTTAGTTATCAGAATCGGGTCATATCCCCTTTTGAATGGTTTGAAATGCTATTACATTTATCTACACTAAACTCATTATAATTGGAGAAATAATAGCTTTGCAATTATGTTCATTCTCTATGGGATGTCGTCTGCTTAGGTAGTGTTGGTCCATATAGTGACGTCATTAAACATCGTTATTTTTCCGGCGATTCTCTCGTATATCCCAGCTGCTACGGAGGTGGTTGTATTTGTATTTTTATAAATCCCCCGATATGTAGTTGACCTATAACTTGTACGATGGCCATCTGTTAGCTTACCAGTTTTTAGTGATACATTAGTTGGCATATTTGTGATTTTCTTTGAATTTCACCTTTAAACCAATGCCTCCAATTGTTTCATTGCCCTCTCAATGGGTGGACTCATAGTACGCTACTGCAGCCCTATGGTTTTTCTATTGTTGAATGCGTGTGTTGACTCATGACGTTCAATCCACTTCTTTTGAAGAGAGACAAATTACAGTGCCATCTTATTCTTATACCACAATAGTACAATCCTTGTTATTGTTGAGCTATATTTTGAACACGATATTTTACTGTAGCGTGTATGTAAGCATCCTATCTTCCCACCTGTATATTTACATCCCTCTGTCATCAAAATCTGTTTTACTCTTACAGTTACATTCAATCACCATCACCATTCCCTTTACCTTTATATTCACTTTCCCCAACTTTAGTTTCTTTTGTTCCCCCTTTCATGTTCATCCCATTGTTCAGTAGTCTTGTTCTTTCCAGTGTGGTTGGTTAAGCCCTCGATCAGTATTCATAGCAGATCATTTATAATTATGCACAAAAATCTATGGTTATTTATGTACCTTCTTTCATTTACAAGCTCTGTTATTTGAATATTTTTATTTACAGTTGTGATACAAATGTATTAGATAATGCAAAAAAACGACTGAGATTGCAAGCATTGCATAATCACAGGCAAGCAAGGAGTGAACATGTGTTTCTTATTTTCTGCAAGTAAGAGCCACGCCTTGCCTTAGCTGCGTATTTAGACCACCCTAAATGATCACAAGTCATGATAGTCTGGGAGAAATGACCAATCCCATCCAATGGCGTCATAGCAGTGGATTTTAGCGAGTTGTCAACTCGTCAATTTTGATTGTCAGTTTGCGTGCCTGGAAACGCGTCATTCCAAGTTCTTTCATCATCATCTCTTCATCAATGCTCATCAGAAGGACACCATCCACACTCTCTTCCAGGAAACGACTGACACAATTATCAAGGTTAAGACTCTTCAAGAGAACAGCGACGTTTTCCTTGGTGAAGGTATTCAAGTTAGTGTCGGGTGTGGCGTACATGACGGGATTGAATGAATGGTTAGGAGACAGTGGGCTAACAGAAGATTTCTGAGCTCTAAACTTGGCAGGGGGTGGTGGAACTTCGTCGTATGGCAAGTCGTATTCAGATATTTTGGAAGATTGGGTAACGGGCACATTCCGAGGTTCCGGTAGGGGTGGGAGAGGAGGTGCTAAGTCCGGTAGGTCATATTCAGAGACTGGGGCAGATGTGAAAGCGAACTGACCTCCAGGTGAGATAGAGTGAGGATGAGAGGGTCTGGCTGTCATGGAACGCTTGAAGCTATCTGTCTGCTGAGACAGTGGTAGTGACATTAAGTCCGAACTCTTCAGACTTGGATGCGGTTGTAAGGGCTCCGTTGGCAGGGGAACTCGACGTGCAGGGGAACTTATCTTTGTTGGGGATTTCAGACGCGGTCTCAGAGATGGATTCTCTTTGTCTGCTCGCATGGATATAGGAAGTGGATCGTATTCAGCTCTTGGGTCTTTGTGTTCTGTGCCTCTCGGTAAAGTTGATATCCCTGGACAAGCAGGAACACTTGGGAGGGGAATGTTTGGGGGTCTTAATGTTGAAGTTTTCTTAAGCGTCGTCTCAGTTGGTGGACGCTTTGGTAAAATGTGATGTTCTTTACCATGTGAATGCTTCGAGGTATTCTTATGACCTGGTACCATTAAGTCATAGCAATCTTCTTCGTCTCTCAGTGCCTCCAATGTTTGATCTATCTCAGAAAGTTTTTTAGTTTGTTTATCGAGCTTGGACTGGAGAATCTGGAGAAAAGTTAAGACCATAGGCACAAGATGAGAGTGATAAAATTACATTATTCAAGTTCTATTTCTGAACAAAAATTTAAACAAGATGTCTTACAAATCGTGTCGTAGTTTAGGATTTGAGACACTATGTTCTCAAAGATACACTATTAACCTTTATCAACTGATATGTTTTTATTTTAAGATATTTCATAGATCCATAGCCCCGCACCCTACCCTACGTAGAAGAGCGTATATCATTTTTGTTTATTTGCTCACTATTCACTCCTCACCTCTCTGTACCCCTCCCCAATACGAAAGTCTTGATTGATATTTCGGGGGGGGGGGGGTACTTTTAGGAAGAAGGACCCTTTTCTGACAATCTTTGCGTTACCGTTAGCAAGGTTTGAGGGATAACTGACTTCCTTTTTATAAGAATTACCCTGTTTGGAGGAGGTGTTTCATGACCTATAAAGTCTACACGTACATCTAGCAGATAGCGGAAAAGAAAGGTAAAGGCTGAAAGTACTAAAATCAGACTCAACACGGCTATGTACAACAATCTATGAAGGCTGATATACTTATGTACCTTGTTTTGCTCCTGCAATGATCGATTCTCCTTATCCTTTGTTTGAATTTCCTGATGGATTTAAGCAGAAAAATCAGAACAAATATCAATATCATTCAAACAACTGTAGCGGGAGTGAGTTTCTAAAAGGCGAAGAAGTGTGAGTGCACGAAAAGTCCGTCCAGCGAGTAGTTTCTGATGGTTAATGAGACTGAACGTCCTCAAGACCAAAAATTTATCAGCGTCATAGTTTTCTTTACCGTATTTACTCCATTTTACTATATATTTTAGGCTAGATGGCATGATGAGTTCGGTCGCAGATTTCAACAAAGATGGGAGATTATCAGATTTATTAAAGGGAAATGAACTTACCAAGACTTTTTCTGCCAATAGATTCTTTAGTTCTTTTTCTAAGTCAGTGCTGGCTAGACCAATCGACGTTCGATTGGATGACTTTGGTTGGACACTGCAGGAGGCACGCAAGACCGGGATAAAAAACAAACAAGTTGAAACACACTCACCAGCAGATATGATATTTTCACGGTATGTCTAGCAATACAGGTCATTAAAGGGATAGTTGAGTTCTGTTTTCAGACCGCAAACGCCTTCAAAGTGCATGGATATTGCTCTTATTCTTTTCTATGATATTTCTAGTGCCCTTTTAGAACCTAAAATTGATATGAAGGTAATTTTAGACCCCAAAATGTGTGAAATTTAGCCAATACGATCATACCAATTCAGCTCCACTTTAAAAAAAAACACGGTGACCGTTAATTAATTATTTAATTAAAAATAACAATACATGGGCCAGCTGGTTGTGCGTAATAATATTATAAGCAGCACGAGAATGCCAACAAAAAAGCCAACTTCGGTATTGGTTGAAATACGACGTAAAAGGCGTTATTTCGTTTTTTTTTCAACGGTTTTTTCAAATTTTTTCAAAATATCTGATATTTGTGGTGGTACACAAGTATTAGAAATCGTTATAATTTAGCCGTCTCTGAACCGATTTTGATCAAACAAAGATGATTTTGTCATTTAAATATTATGTTCTTTCAAATGTGACGCTCAGTTTTTCATAATCACACAAAAAAATTATTTTGTGTAGCGCCCTCTGCAACAAAACTCAACTATCCCTTTAAAGGACAGCCTTAATACGGCCTTAATATCGGTGAATAACATAATTATATACTAACTGTTCTACCTGCATAAAAAGTTATGATGAAACCTTTTACAAGAAGCTAAAAGAAGAAAAATGAGAAGTCTTACATACGAGTTTTAAATTAGCTTAAGTCAAGTATCGATAAGTTTTGGAGTTGCGTCTCATATTAGAACGTATTACGCGAGAGGTCACTAAAACTATTTTTTTTCTCGTTTCATTTAGAATGCTTTTCCAAAATCAGGAAGTAATAGAACCTGGTGAATTATCAAATTATTTGATAATAATTTCACATACAGATGTTACATACAAATTTACAAAAAATTGTAACATGAATGCTATATAGCCTTCTTGATTGTTAAATGGAAATGTTAGATTCAAGTACACTGACTGTACAGATTTTTGTTATTTATATGCTATGGTCTTAGCAAACCGTCTCTTAGCGTGTAAAAGGTTACTATGTAAACGTTTTTCTTAATGCAGTCTCTGACGATGTGGGTCTATACTTACACATCATAATCGCCTACTTTCTCCTCTTGACTGTTGGACCTGATACTGAAACTTGGTCTAGACGGAACTGGTGGTTCTAGACCTAAAGGAGTACCCGAGGGACAGTCTATCGGACTGAGCGGAAGATGGCTTGGCGAAGTACTGGGAATATGGCCTGGAGATCGTGGTGGTCTAACTGGTAGCGATGGCGCCATATACGGTAGTGGAGAGCACTGGCTCTTTAAATGATTCAATTCTGATTCTGCTCGTTTGAGATCTGCCATCAGACTTGCAATCTTCTTCTGCATTTCCACATTCTCTTGTTCAGCAATTTCATTGATCAGTAACTTGGCTGCATGAGTGAAATTAGGAAATGAAATTACATTATGAACTTTTGTTCTGGAAAGACGGGGAGCTTTGAGTTTAATATCATTCTTTTCATAACAGTATGATTTTGGAATGATCTAGAGAAAGCAAATCTTTGTAGAGTCTCATTCCAGTTACATAAATGATCTGCTGTCAGGGAAATAAAATTGGGTTGACTTGTTTCGTTCAACATGTTCAAAGGTAACCAAGATTCTTAAATGATAATGTAAATTTCATCCTCTCCGTTGCATTGTGCATATCCAAATAGTCAATGCCCATTTGCCATTTATGTTAACGTGTCATTTAAACAAATTGTAATGTGGTGAACGGATGAAGCTTATTGGGATAATAAATGCGGTGTTTGCAATAAAGGATGGTGGTGATTTAAAAGTACTTTTAAGAGGCGTGGTATATAAGACGATTCCACAAATTATAAATTTATATTTTCACCCCCTCCCTCAATCTCGATCCTCTCCACACAAGTGATCTGCTACCTTCTGAGTCAATCCGACAGAAAATGCAACCTATAATACGACTTGCCTTCTTGGCTTTTCAACCATTCGTCAAAAACTGCCTTCTTCGGCTGTGGCACTGCCTTCATAGCTGTATATGGAAGGGTAACCGAAGACAAGCCTTTCATGCACATTGATGTATTGACAAGCGGATACAAGGGCATCACCAAAGAGGGGATGGTATTCCAATGAGGAGTGATGCCGTCCAGTTCGAGGGGTGTACTGAAGGGGAAAGCAAGGACTGCTCCGTCGCGCGCCCGTGTAGCTATAACACGCTCTCTTTTGATGAGGCACTCCAGTCGAAGCTCAAGCTCTGTTGGACGCCTCCTCGAAGGCGACCCTGTGCTCACTGTTCGGACTCTCTGGTGATTAACAAAATGAAAACATGAACAACGACTGTGAATTGGGTTCATGCACGAATAACGGTAAAACGATTTACAGTTATATTGTTTACATTATCCGTCCCTCGGATAGGACGTTAAATGGAGGCCCCGCGTACATTTAAGAACTCACTGCACTATTCGTATAAGAGTAGGGGAAAACCCCGGTGTAGTGGTCCACCTGCACACCCCAATCAGTTATACCGGGAGAAGAGACCCGAGGGTTACAGTGATTCAGTTCACTTTTCACCTCCCAAGCCCAGGTGACGCCAAATACTTACTAGTATACTAATAGTTATACAGTGCGTCCCAGAAAAAACGAAACCGAGAAGTATTGATGTTCTATCATAACTTAATCACAACTATAATTAATGAATGATACATATTTGGAAAGCGTAGAGTCTCCTCTTTCATGTGATGCTACTCAGATAATGCATATTTCACGCGTGGGTGATTAAAAGGAATTTGAAGGAAGGAAACCAACAAGACATTTGGCGGGCTGTATCTGAATTTCGAAGAAAAATTCACATTTCTAGAAAGTTGAGTTTCTGCCCTTTCATATGACACCTCATTCAGGAAAATGAGAGAGGAATGACAAAGTTCTGTTTGTTTAAAGTAGTGCTTGCATTTCCATAATTTTATTAAACGAATTCGTTTTCACTGGCTGCCTGCCGTATCAATAAACGAAATTAACAAAAGACTTAACTCCGTTTCGTTGACAATCAGCCGTAGACGAGAGTCTTCATGCATGGCTGATTGTCAACGAAACGGAGTTACGTCTTTTGTCAAATCTGCTTTTTGCTACGGCAGGCACCCAGTGAAAACGAATTCGTTTGTTAAAATTATGAAATTGTAAGGGCTACTTTAAACAAACAGAACTTTGTTATTCCTGGCTCATTTTTCTTGATTGAGGTATCATATGAAAGAGCAGAAAATGAACTTTTTAGAAATATGAATTTTTCTTCGAAATTCAGATACCGCCCGCCAAATGTCTTTTTGGTTTTCTTCCTTCAAATTGCTTTTAATCACTCATGCGTGAAATATGCATTATCTGAGTAGTATCACATGAAAGAGGAGACTCTAAGCTTTCCAAATATGTATCATTCATTAGTTATGGTTGTGATTAAGTTATGATAAAAACATCGATACTTCTCGGTTTCGTTTTTTCTGGGACGCACTGTATAGTATTCTCATTTGCCACATTACGTTTCCTTAGAATTCAAATCGGATATAATGACTATGAAAACCATGCCCGGGTGAGAATCGTCTACAGTGTTCACAAAGGTTTTGAAGAGAAGGTTGAGTTCTGGAAAAGATTTTTCTTTTAGTTATTCTGTGAGCTTCTACATTCTTTGTTTGTCAGTTTACAAGACCATCGTATAAATGTCCACTGAAAGGGATCGCTCTTCAAATTTCCTTATACTCCTAAATTTGACGGGAAATGCCGAAAAGTTTGCATCCAGAAATAATCGTAACTATGAGTACTCTGCTTTATTATAGAGTACAGCAACATTTTAATCAATTTCTTTTCATTATGATCATTTCAAGACCTCACAGTATATAACAACTGTCAAGTAGTACGTGATTGATTTTCCACGATGCTTCCAAGCAGTTTCTTTAATATGATCGCATGACCAACACTCTTTTTTATCTTTAGGCATATATAAAGAGTCATAAATCAAAGATATATCTATGGCACATATTGTTCAAAACCGCTGTTAACAACTTATTTCAAAGTGATGGCTTTGGCTTAATGCTGTAAAACCAATCAATAATTTTTAGAACAATGGCTTTATTTTACGACAAAAGGCCAAAGTGTTGAATCTATTGAAACTAGTAACCTATCCACTTGATAAAGAATTGTATCGAAACGTGTAGAATCTAGCAAGTATAATAAGCTGTCACGAAGTCTGTCAACAGTACTCATATAGTAAAGAACGAAAGGCTAAGATACACCAGGCCTTCTAATGGCGGCTCAGCTGCAGTCGGTGTAATGATATGATACTTTGTATTATTAAGAAGAGTATAAACATAATGAAGCTGCGCTATTTAAAAGGGCCTGTCATTATTATTTTGCGTGGATACAGTATGTTTGTGATGAAAAACAATCACGATATGCTAATATTCATTGAAAATGGTTATCGTTACGAAACGTTATACTCATGTCCATATCAACACCAATGAAAGAAAGGCAATGAGCATGCGTGTTGAGAGCCGCACCAGGTTTAGATAACTAAATTATTGAGCGATATTGTACATTACATTTCCTTTTGAATTATTCGATTAAAACAATTGAAAATAAAGTAACCCATTATTAGGCGAAAGAGACGGGCTCTTCTTCTTAGGCTACATAAACATGCAAGTAATCTATAATTTGTGGTTTTCTTTGTATGATACAAACGAAATTCACCATTAAGATAGTTTCTCGATATTTTGTCTGTGATTGCTATAGAGAATGCAAGCATTCATGTTAAGTGAAGGCAACATAATTGCAATCTAGGCTCTAAACCAAGTCCAACTTTAGAATCCCTGGAGACGGGTCGAGGGTAGCTTAAGTAGATCAGAGTATCGAAAACTCTTGAAAACTACGTATGTGCTGGACATCAAATCCATCATGTTTCTATGTGATTTAATTGGCTAACGCTCTAATATGCGTGGTTCAGAATATAATACAAAATTTGTTTAGCGGTGGATTTCGACTGTATGAGATATATTACCAACATGATGAAGAAATCATCTCAAGGGCAATGAATAATATACTGTACTACCCACAGAAATCATAACTGGATTATGAAATATGCAATTGGACAAAGCAGTTTTTGCCTCATGTTTATTTTTTTGTTAATGTGAATGCGATAGCACACTACCTTTCGTTAAAAATTTTCTTGACAAGTTACATATTACTGTTATGTTAGAGAGACTTTTGAAAGACGCGATCACTGTCATGTAGGTCATGCTAACTTCCGAATTCAAAAAGTAATCACAATATGATCGCAAATCCCGCCCCCCCCCCACTCCGGGATCGGAGGGACCGCATGCGTGTTCCCAAAATGTCCGGTAAAGGGGTACTTTTCACGCACCAAACTCAGGCTCGTAGTACACAAAATTCCGGCCCGTATTGACTTTACACACCGGACTTAGGTTTTTTTTTTCTCAAAAGGAGGGAACATGCATATGCGTACCCTTAAAGGTACTATGTCCCTTTTGCAGCCAACCTCAAATTCTGTAAAACTTTGCAGGAATTATGAATATATCATGTATGTCCTATCTGTGAAATTTAAACATTAGCAGTGTCCTTATATTCAAATTATGTAAAGAAACCCGTTTACTTGCTAGACTTCACTGTCAGACACTATTGAGTGACTGACTGGCTTTTTTTCTTCTTTGGTAATAACATACATGAAAAGAGTTGTAAAGGGTACATGAGCATTTGTCTACATCAATAACCCACTTCTTATGATGGCCAAGATTAAACTGATTGAATCTTTGTGCAGCATAAAACGTATGACCATTCGGTTCAATTGTCTGAAAATCAAGACTATTACTTTTGGGCTCTATAGCCCTAAAGTCGATTTGACAACTAATAGTCGTTATTTTCCCACTTGAAGACATTTTCAAGCCCCACCTTTTTTAGGGAAGTTCTAAATTAGTATTATCTTTCAAATGCAGTTGGAATTTAACTTTTTCATTTATTTGGCCTGCAAATGGGACATAGTACCTTTAATAACACTGAGTGGGGGGGGGGGGCGAGTCGCAAACACTTTTTTTTTTAATCAAGCACTTTATTATTATGTATTACTTCAAATAATGTGCGAACATAACAATGACATAATTTTTATAGCACGTGCTCAAAGCATGATTTCCATGGGCAATACGACCAGGACATTGAAACTGAGTTGAATTCTTGAAAGTCTTTGCTATCGTGCTTTACATGTAACATACCACTGGCAGTTTGTGTTTGATGACCTGTGACAAGGATAGATGTTCAGAGATGATCTGAGTGGTATAGACTGCCTCATCCTCCATGCCCCGAATCCGCTGTGCTTCACCCATGATCTTTCCTACAACATACAACTGTGAAATCAAAAGAATGCATAATTGGTCAGGCATTAGGACTCAGTGTTACAGCATAACAAAAATTGTTTTAATTAGATTATAACCGTACTATGTTTAAAACACAGTGACTCAGCATTTTCTTTCCTTATCAATATATTATATATTGAATGAATCCGTTCATTACAACTACAGGAATCATCATATTGTATGCCTATATAATGAGGAGCGCTGTAGTATATAGGTCTTGAGTTTGGTCCTCGCTCAGTGCTTGAATCCTTGGACAATGCATTTGCTTATAATGTCCCTCCCCACCCAGGTGTATGGGTACCTGGCGATGGAGGGGAAATAATAATTAATAAATTACAGATCACTCAGGCAGATACTGATATGATAAACTTTCGGTTGTCTTCTTGTTCTATTTGTTCAGACATGATCTTGTTCTTGTTCTTGTACTTTTTCTTGTACTTGTACTTGTTCTTGTTTTTGTTTTGTTTCTTCTTAATATTATCATTATTATTATTATTATCATTTTTGTTGTTGTTGGTGGTGTTGTTATTATTTATCATCATCATCATCTTCATCATCATCATCATTATCATCATCATCATTATCATCATCATCGCCATCATCATCATCATTACCATCATCATCATCATCATCATCATCTTCATCATCATCATCATCATCATCATCTTCATCATCATCATCATCATCATCATCATCATTATCATCATCATCGCCATCATCATCATCATCATTATCATCATCATCGCCATCATCATCATCATTATCATCATCATCACCATCATTATCATCATCATCACCACCATCATCATCATCATCATTTATTATAAATGTTATTACTGTAACAATTATTATGAATATCATTATTATTGTTATCATTATCGTTATCATTATTTGTTGAGTCTGCACAAGAATGAACTCCCAGAGAATGACGCAAGTCCCTAATAATTACCTCATCATTGCGTCCCTTGTTCACTCCTTCTATAGTGATGATATCATCTTGTTCTTTGGTATCGTCTTCATCCGTCTCATCACAGTATCCAATCAAAACCCGGACCACCTGTGGCAGAGGGTTTGCTTTCACTAGTTCCATGGTTCCTCTATACTCCTTACCATCCAATCTCGGATCTGAGGTAAAAGATAAGAGTACAATTTTGTTTGTTTGTTTGTTTGTTTTTTGTTTTTTTCTGTTCCACATAACAAGGTTGTCTCATACATACTATTTAACAAGATTGTGCATTATAAAAAACAACGGTAAACATGTAACATAGATAAATAATAATGTGAAATATAGGGAACCTATTAAGAAGCAAAGCTTGCATATTATAGTTTCCCGAATAAATACAAAATATCGTAACTGAATTAGATAACAATAAGCTCGTTCAGCAGACCAATAACGAGCAAATCATGTTTTGGAAACAACCTATTTTCTTATTTTTGGGGTATAAAATAGCAAATACAATTCCAAGCAATTACGTTTTTTAATTTTGGAATAGAATTTAAACAGACAGCGAAGCCCTGTGAGCTTTTATTTCCGTATCGTTGTTTACACGCAGCAATTCATTGCATGGAATCATTAAATTATAACTTTATATAACGCAAATGATAAGTGCTGAACAATTGTATTTATTGTTATTGTCATCCTAATGACCAAAAAACATCAATAATAGATAACACTGCAAGGCCTTCAATCATAAGGATTTGCCTTGGATGGTTAGTTTACTTTGTTCATGTTTTATTTTTCATGCGGCTTATGTATCCTATTATTCCTCTCGAGATGTTACATCCGTCCTACTGGTCAGATAGGTAATGATAGGCATAAAGGTCTTCTGGGCATCGTTTCATGAAACCGTCGTAAATACAAGTTCACCGACATCCAGTTGAAACACATGCTAAATTTAATACACGCATTTCGGTGGGTTGGCAGCGAACTTGTATTTGTGGCGGTTTCATGAAACGCTACCCAGATTACTTGAATTTATTCATTGAACTTATGAAACGAATGTGAAAGCAATGTTGACTATCCAAAAAAAAAAACGTAACAATTATCAAATTATTTCTGTGTGATCTTGTACCTTTGCTTTACATACCTCATTCACTTATCTCGTTAACTCACTCTTAACCGAGTGAAGAACGATAACAAATCTTGGTTATTCTGGCTATTGTGTTTTTGTTTTTGTTTGAGCTAATGTCTGTCTGGTATCAGTTGCGTTGATCTATAAGTACTGGAGGTTATTGGGAACAACTATGACATCAGAGAAATAGACCGGATGGACTCTCACAGCCAATTCATTCAGAAAAAAATAAAGACAATAAAATTTGATCTATTAAAGTCAAATGAATGAATTAATTCCATTCATAATATTTAGGCATTACATTAATAGATCATGCACAAATATGCTCATTCTATTTATTGATATATGACACATTATACGACTATGTAGACAATTATTATACTTCCTCGTTACTATTAATCCAGTCAGCACGGCAAATGTCATTACATATACATCATTTCCTCTGTCCCAGAAATTAACAAGATATGGGGAAATTCTTATACCGTCAAATTATGCCAAAACAAATATACCTGATATTCGACAGGAAGCGAAGATCATTTTCAAATCATTATCTGGTCATTGTATATGAAACAATGGTGCAATGTTTCTTAAAATATCAATTTAATCCGAAATGATGTGATGGTGTAGGCTGGTAAAATATTAGGGGAAACTTGCACGTATGTCACTCTTAAAGTTAGAAATCAAACATTGCAACAAGGAAGTGTGCAACAACTGCTCTTCCAGCTACTACCACACCTATTACAAGAAGTTACCAAAGTTTGGTACAGTCTTTTTTTATACGCACTGTATATATATATATATATATATATATATATATATATATATATATATATACATATCAATTATCTTCAATTTGTGAATAAAACTTATGGTAGATTAGCCTTGTCCTTAACAAATAGATCAAAATCCATTAAAGTCGCCTACCAATATACTACTACTACTACTACTACTACTACTACTACTACTACTACTACTACAACTACTAGCACTAGTACTACTACTACTACTACTACTACTTCTACTACTACTACCGCTATTTCCACATATCTACTTTAAAAACATGTATAAAGCACGATAAACAAATATTTAAAAACAACAACATGGTTCAAGCAAATATACAAAGGAGAAAAGACTAATGATAGTGCGGGGAATTATACAAGTTTGGTAGAACTTGTGAACATGATCCCATCATCAGTGAAACAAAACTCACAACATAAGTACAGAAAATACTATAGTGAAAACCAATTAGCAAAGAGAATTGTAAATTAATAACCATATTTAGACTTTTTTAAACAATATATTATATTGCTCATATTATATCTAAGACTTATGGCAATAAATACTCATCAAACTTACGTTTGAAAGAGATTGAGGAATTTGAGTTCTTAATGTTTTCTGGTATATTGTTCAAGAAAAGAGGTACCTTACATGTAATTATTGATCTAGAAAAGGACGTACAACCATTATCAACTCGATATTCAAATGTGCTTCTAGTATTATAATCATGAAAATTGTAACAAGAAAACTGAGTTGTATATTTTGGTTTAGAGCTTCTTATTATACAAAAACACAACAATACCTCCATTATTGTAGTTATAGAGATCAAACACACAGGGAGAATATTAAAGGTAATACAAAGTTTTGGGAAATTTTGAAAATTGGGTGGACAGTGATTCTTTACAATGTTGATATATTTGGATGCCCCTGTGGATGTATTCTAAGCACTAGAAAATTATGCCTCTAAAACACTTCTGCTTTCGAGAAAAATTGAATATGAAAATTTACCGGTGCTCCCGGTAAATTTTGATAAATTTCAAATAGCGCCTACGGCTGTACAATGGTAGCTGCAACCATGAAAATCTCAGAATATGTAGTTGTGATATAATTTCCCAACGGGAATAGCTAATCGGTCAATTTTAGTCAAGAAACATAGTTTTATAGCTTAATTAATATCTTGACCTTGAGAGGGAGCTATACAACACAAAGAGTTTATAGTTTACAATTTATAACTTTAGACGCGACAACGATCACTGAATATTGTAGGATCGCATATGCTTCCAATATGTTCATTTGAACCAAATTCATGACCCCATACCAAAATTTTGTATTACCTTTATGCTTCTTAAAGAGAGGTGTGGAATGACTGCGGAAATCAGAGTTTGTGATTATCCTTACTATTTTATTTTTGTTATTTCAATAAGCTGTCAAGAAGAAATTTGATATTTGATTCCCATAAGATTATACCATAATTTAGATGAGGCAAAATAAAAGTATCGTTAAGCATCAATAATTTATTGTGCGGTACAAATTCTCTGAACCTAATATATAATAACGCCAATATTCCTAGAAATCTAGTTCGATATCTATTTTACATGACTTTTTTTTTTACTTGAAGTCGTCATCTATATCAATACCTAAACATTTAACAGTTTTTACTCGTTTAGTTGTATGAATTTATTATCAATATATAGGTTTATACCCTATACAACTATAAAACCGCCACCATCATTACTGCTCCTACTACTGCTACTGCTACTACTACTACTACTACTACTACTACTACTACTACTACTACTACTACTACTGCTGCTACTACTACTACTACTACTACTACTACTATTACTACTACTACTACTACTACACTCTAAAAACTGAAATGTTAATTCACCATTTAAAAGGGCCGAGGAGTGACCACTCAACACTTTAAAGGTTGAATCTAGCATGATAAAAGAAACAATCTGATATTTTGAAAGAGTGGTCACTCCTCGGCCCTTTTAAATTGACATTTAACATTTCAGTTTTTAGATTGTACTACTACTACTACTACTACTACTACTACTACTACTACTACTTCTACTCCTACTATTATTACTACTGCTACTATTACTACACTACTACTACTACTACTACTACTACTACTACTACCATTACTTATACTACTGCTGATATTAATTCTACTACTACAACCGCCACCATTACAGCCACTACCACCATCATTACCAGTATACGACAACAACAAATACTAGTTCTACTACCAATACTACTACTACTACTACTACTACTACTACTACTACTACTACTATAACTACTACTACTACTATTTCTACTACTTATTATGCTACTATTACTAACCCTGCTTCTACTTCTACTACTACTACTACTATTACTACTACTACTACTACTACTACTACTACTTCTACTACAGCTACTACTACTACATACCTTCTAATACTACTATTTCTACTACTACTACTTCTACTGCTACAAATATTACTACTACTACTCCTGCTACTACCAATACTACTACTACTACTACTATTACTACTACTACTACTACTACACTCTAAAAACTGAAATGTTAATTCACCATTTAAAAGGGCCGAGGAGTGACCACTCTTTCAAAATGGTGGATTAACACTTTGAACATGCTCGATTCAACACTTTAAAGGTTGAATCTAGCATGATAAAAGAAACAATCTGACATTTTGAAAGAGTGATCACTCCTCGGCCCTTTTAAATTGACATTTAACATTTCAGTTTTTAGAGTGTACTACTACTACTACTACTACTACTACTACTCCTACTATTATTACTACTACTACTATTACTACACTACTACTACTACTTCTACTAATACTACTACTACTACCATTACTTCTACTACTGCTGATATTAATTCTACTACTACAACCGCCACCATTACAGCCACTACCACCATCATTACCAGTATACGACAACAACAAATACTACTTCTACTACCAATATTACTACTACTACTACTACTACTACTACTACTACTACTACTACTATAACTACTACTACTACTATTTCTACTACTTATTATGCTACTACTACTAACCCTGCTTCTACTTCTACTACTACTACTATTACTACTACTACTACTACTAATACTAATACTACTACTTCTACTACAGCTACTACTACTACATACCTTCTAATACTACTATTTCTACTACTACTACTACTTCTACTGCTACAAATATTACTACTACTACTCCTGCTACTACCAATACTACTACTACTACTACTACTACTACTGCTAGTAGTATAGTAGTAGTAGTAGTAGTAGTAGTACAGCTACTACTACTGCTACTTCTACTTCTATATTACTACTTCTATTTCTACTGCTGCTGTTGTTGTAATGACTGCTATTACTACAACCGCTACTACTTCAACTACTTATATTGCATTACTACTACTTCTACTTCTACTATTATTATTACTACAACGACTGCTTCCAGTATCTCTACTACTTCTACTACTACTTCTATTACTACTACTTCTACTACTACTACTACTACTACTACTACTACTACTATTACTTCTACTACTACTATAACTACTACTACTAGTATTTCTAATACTACTATTCATTTTACTTCTGCTACTGGTATTACTGAAATTCCCGAAAGTCGTCTACTATTACTATCACTACTGCTACTACTACTGCTACTAATATTGCTACTACTACTACTCTACTGCTGTTATTACTACTACATCAATACTTAATATACCACTACTACTACTACTACTACTGCTGCTGCTACTGCTATTACTACTACTACTACTACTACTACTACTTCTACTACTACTACTGATAATACCAGTACTACAACAACTACTACTTCTACTTACCTAGCGGTAACATTTGATATAGTTGATTGGAATGAACTGGGAGGTATAACGTGTTCCCAGTTGGTCCTAACGCCTTGACTACTTGCTCTTTATCAGTGCAGTGTATCATCAAAATATCACCTCCTGTAAATAATTTGAAAGAGTTCTATTTAATAATAATAATAATAATAATACATTTAAAGAGCGCAGAAACTATCCAACATTAAGTATATATTCTACTGCGCTACAAGAGCTCCTGATATGCTTAGATTTACAATTCATTTGATTAAAGGTTATTTCAATATATTGAGCTAGTTGCGATAAAACGTTTCTTAATTCTCGTTGTACTTGAGGCGTCTTTTTTTTTACTGCGTTATTATTACTAACTCTAATAAAGGTAGTCAGTTCATGTGACATGACTTCAATTCGGTGTTTCAATCGACATACCCCTTTCTTCTTTCTTTCTTGATTTGATTTTGTTTGGCAATTAGTCATAAGTGACTTTTTTTGCGAAACATTCTTTTATGAAGTATATATATGTATATGTACAATTACATGACATAAATAACAATTTTTTTTGGATTTTTTTTCCCATCCTTTTTTTCTCGCTTTTTCTCTTTAGTTTAAGAGAAAATTATACAAATAAATACATTTTGGACAGGACGGCCTATCTGTAGTATATAGGTACTTTGAACTTGCTATATAGTCGCTGACGCAGTCGTAGGCCGAAGTCAGCAGAACGAGACATTGTGTGAACAGGAAAGATATTGCATGATTACTTCACAAACACAAATTCAAGTTAATATTGCCGATTCGCAAATGCAGCATTTCGTATGACCCCCCGCCTTCCTCACAAACACACACTCAAAATAATGTATTTAATCAAAAGTCAAAAGGTATTATAATTCAGTTTATAACATCATATGCAATCTTACATAATGTGTGATTGTAAAGAACATCTGTAGAGTCTTAAACGAAAAAATATAGATGATTTATTTGATTATTAAATAATTAAATGTTGTCCATCAAAATCTCTGAATAAATATCCTTTCCTCTGCTAAAGTCCTATAGAAACGATTGCTATCAATCAATAAAAAAATCCCTCTATTCATATTTACCTTTACAATCGGCATTTTTGATCTCTGGGTCACTCCGTACCTTGACGCAGATCGGCAGTCGCCCTGCCTCGCGGATAAGATTCGCTAAATCCCCGGACTGAGATTCCGGCTGGATGTACCCATACTCGTCCTCATCGTCGGAATCATCGGAATTGTTTTGTGGTTTACTGCACGGTTGTGGAGATGCAGCAGGGCTGTGCGATGACTTGCGAGGGACGACCGGTCTTTTGGCGATCGGTGGCCTTTTCTCTGCCATGATTGAAGAGGCGAACTTCTTTATTGCTTCGAGTTACCTAAACATTAACTTCATGACAGTATTGCAAGAGAAACATACGGATCCACCCTCCTCTGATAGGATGTGATTGTGATATCATGCGGTAAAAGAGAAGCGGTGTCGAATTCAAATTCGGAGCAAATAATATTTATTCAAGCAGAATACAATTTCATAATGTTCGTTGATACCACTTTACAAGTTTTCAACAAGTTACCAATGCTGGTTTGTTTGAGTAACGCTGTACATTGGTCTCGACGAGTTTTGAAGACTGTTATTATTCTGGATATACGTTGATCACCGACGAGGTGTGTTCTCGTAGCTTACAAATCTTTCGCATTCACGGCAAATATACGGCAGAGTGATTACTGGTCCTCGTTCAGTCAACAGCTAAATCCAAAAGATGAAACATACATGATGTCAACGGGAAATGCTTCTACAAGCAAGAATAGTTCACTTGGAATCACCACACCGTTATCCTTCCCTTGGCTCAATAATGTGAAGAATACCGACACTTTATGTTTCAGCCTGGCACTCGAGTATTCATGAACAGAAACTCGAGGTTTCAAGGCAGACTCAGAGCTACCCGGAACAACATTATTATTTATTATTATCCACACTACTCTGCATTTATAGATACATTCAAAGAGTGTGTGGTATATTTCCGACGCTATGCGACGCGGGATGTGATTGTGAATGGTTATTCGTGCGATTGTGATAATAAACGGAATATGAAAACCCGTCATGCATTTAATAATCATTTACCCTGTCTCCCTTATTATTTCCTTCTTGTGTTACGAGCGGGTTTCGAGATTTAGGGCATACCACATGCTGTCTCAAAAGTGGTACATTTTAAACTGACTTTACTTCACGGTTCTTAATATTTATGTTAATATGATTTTAAGCCTGCATTCTTGTCCCTAAATATTCCTTTAAAAAAGATGACTCAGGTACGTTGAATTTCTAATATGGACAGGGGAGAATCATTGCGAGGAAATACGCAACTGAATCTAGAGCATCAAGTCGATAATTTTGGACTAAATTCTAAAACAAACTTGCTAAACTACCCGTGCAATGTTATATTGTGAAAATGAGAACAAATAGTCAAGTGTAGTTTCTGTTTCTGGTTAAGATGAATCCTGGAGTTTCAAAAATATATATTATATTTTCTCAACTCAAGTTTGTATTCAAATGTATAGATTAATAGATTAAGGTAAGGGTATACGAAGAGTAAGAGTGGCGTATCCACACCTTGACTGGGGGGGGGGGGGTGTAAGGGGCGCTGGCAAATCATCTGAGGCAACACAATGACTGTATTAAAGCAAGCAACCTTTTTTTTCCCCTTCTCCCTGCTACTTTGTCGGACTGGAGTAATATTTATAATGCATGTATAAAATAGACCGGTATTTATCCATGTACCTGAAAATATTTCAAATCTTATTGTAATATACATGTATATTACAAGAACTGCTTCCGATTTTGTTCTACAATTATTTTGCTAGAAAATACCCGCTCCCATTTTCTTTTTCACTTTATTGCGATTCTGACTTCGTGACCTAAGTAAATAAGCTTGCAGTGCTACTGGACAGAAAATGTCCATTATTTGATACTTTAAAAACTATTGTTAATGATTATTGTTTACATTTTTTGTATAGAATAGTCCTTTTGTTGTTGGTTGGAATTATCCCCACCCCCAACTTAAAACACCAATGACGAATAAATATAAAGTTTGTTAAGACTAGAGAAAAATAAAGATCAAAGTCTAACAAACGGAAGGTACCACCCTGCATGGATCAAATGTGTCCAGTAGCACGTTACATTCAATTACCAAATAACAGACACCCTGCAAACATTTCCTAAAAAACACAATTGCACACGACGGATCCATCAATACAAACAAAATGTGATTGTGACGTATAGTTCAAAGTCTAGTATTTATTCACCTACAATTCATAATTTCATATGTACAGTACAATCGTCTTGTCACAGACTGGTTAAAAGAAGTACATTGCATGTATTACGGTAATTATAATTTCTACAACGTAAAATAGGTCCTGACATTCATCAATATGAACAAAAAGTTTTAATCTAATTATTACTAATCATCAATGATTGTAAGTCCATGATTGCCCACTTTGTTGGGAAAATAGAATGAAATTAATTTGGCTACTACATGACCTGAATTAAGAGATTACATTGCTGGTATTTATCTAAATGAAATGGTTTTTAAGGAAACTAGAGCTGATTTTGTTTTCATTATGAAAGCAATTCAATTCAAATTCAATCTCGCCCCCATAACAAAAATAAGAATAGGCAGTGGGAGGATAGTTATTTGTCATACATATGAAGCAAACCAGTACCAACTGAATACAAAGTGTGTTTCACACGTTTTACACAGTCCAACGAAAAGTGTTTACATATCTCACTTCCGAAAAGGAACAAAAATATCAATTTAAAAACTTCTTGGCTATGTTATCAATGAACTTACAGAAAAATGTCTACCCAAACAATACATTCTATATGAACATTTACTTATTCATAGGAGGCTGGCCCACAAAGCTGAACGGACAGGACTTCTATCAAATTTTATGGATATGATAACTCACTCCATGAAAATCTTTTAATTCATGAGGCATTGGTTCATATGCAGAAGATGAAAAAAGGAAATAAACACAGTTACTGAGGGGAAAACCCAAACTGCTAAAATTAAGTAATGTCAATGTTTGTTCGAAGTGGAACACCAAATAATGTGGATTCATAAATGTCTTCCGAGTAGGCTTTAGTAGAGATTTCAATTCATATGTTTGCCAATTGATTTAAATGCAAATAATGGTGAATTTCAATTCTTAATGTGTGATAGCCAACTCTTGCTTTACAAGTACATGTGTAAGCAACGTATTTTCCACAGCATTAATCAAGTCAAAAGACAAAGAAAAAAAAACATTATAGATTAAAACAAATAAAACCAACCGAGCAAATCAAAATAGAAAACATTACTTTTCCTTGGTACATCAATAGCAGGTGGTATATTAGGAGATGGGCCGATGTTCAATTCAATGCTTGGATAAAGTGAATATTTTACTCAGTATTTAGCATGGTTAAAGGGATAGTTGAGTTCTGTTGCAGAGGGCGCTACACAAAATATTTTTTTTGTGAGTGTCAAATTTGAAAGAACATAATATTTAAATGACAAAACCATCTATGTTTGATCAAAATCGGTTCAGAGACGGCTGAAAAATAACGATTTCTAATACCTGTGTACCACCACAAATATTAGGTATTTTGACAAATTTGAAGAAAAAAACGTTGAAAAAACGAAATAATGCCTTTTACGTCATATCTCAGCCAATGCTGATGTTGGCTTTTTTGTTGGCATTTTCGTTTTGCTTATATTACGCACAACCAGCCGGCCCATGTATTGTATTGCCCATTTCAAGGCTTTCCAAATATTAGGCATAAATCTCTAAGCTAGCTTCCTTAGGAGTAGAACACTTGAGCTGAAAGCTGAAACTGAATACCAGCATTGGCTAGGTATTTTATCTCGGCCAAAATGGAGTAAAATACACATATTTCAATTAACCCATTAGATACATAGGTATCTTTCCATACACTTGAGTCCAAGTGAACTGATGCTGTGTCCCACAAGTTTAGTATTGAATTGAATACCAGCCCCTTACTCATTATAAAGGCTTGGTTTAATTACATTCATGCAAATACAATAGGGCATTATCATCAAACATATTATCTATACTTCAACTTAAAAAGAGGAGATCATCTCCTGTGTTTTCTGATTAAATACAACACTAATTTCAGTTTTTTCATCTATAAACACTGCACAACACAAAATACAGGGTATATTAAATAAAATTCATAGTAAAATCTCCATTGTAAAGGGGTTTCAAATAAATAGAATCCTTTAAAATTTTGATTTATTAAATATGTGAATCATTCACTTTCAATGGTTTATTCACAGGAGAAAATAAGTTGAAATTCTTGATGCATTTCTGCAAGACTACTTGTGCCAACCCACTCTAGAATCCACACCCAATGTATTCTCATGTAAGCTAAATTATAATCTTGTATTAATGGTTGAGCTATGTGAGGGCAAACCTCTTTTACATATATGTTAAAGCATGAGCTTGAAGCGATTCTAAATTTTGATTGAGTGAAACTAAATAATTGTTTGCAATGTGTTACCATCGACTGGAAACTGAAAACAGGATTTGAATGATTCCCTCATATCACTGGGTGCAGTTCAAAAAACACTTGCAGAATGACGCTAATACATGAGGGAATATTTGTGATTCTGTATCACAATTCTAATGCACAAGGTTGAAGAATTTTAAGGGCTTATAAATATTGTTATGTTATAGCATATTGTCTTTGTCTGCATAAGAGGATTCCTGGACATATTCTGTATATTAAACAGGGTACCGAATTCTTATCACATGACAATAAGCCGAAATCTTATTCAAATATGCGAAAAATCCCCCCCCCCCCCCCCCCCCCACCCAAAAAAAAAAAAAAAAAAATTGTCCTTTTTCCTTACAGGTCAATTGCACATGTATGTAAAAACATTATCCTTTACAGAGTTTTAGCTCATATAAGCAATAATTTCATTATTATGGAATAGATTTAGCAAGCTTTCTGAAAAAAAAAAACTTACCAAATTAATTCATTTTCTGTTTTTGTCTGTCTATAATGACAACCACATGTCTCGAGGACAGAAGCATTAGAGAAGAACAAATACAGGTATACATGTTTTACACGATATTAATATATAGGTCAAGAATTTAGAATACAATTCAAACAAAGTATACTTTAAACATTTAACTTTAAATCTTTTTTTTTTAAAGTAAAAAGAACAAACTTTCAATATATCTAAATATTTGGAGAAAAGACCAAAAGGTTTTAGACAAACATTTTTCAAATGTAATCTTGATGTTGATTAAGAGGAAATTATATTCCTCTTCAATAACTCTTCAATGATGCTTCACATGTTTCACTGAGGGTTATTAAGTGTTTGTTTTGTGTTACATGTTGCCCAGACAGCTACGTAGGCACATTCATGTTTTATTTGTTATTTCCAAGCTCTACTTATACAAACTAAATCAATGCTACATCATGACATATGCCAAGTAGGGGATAGGTTAGTCCCTGGATATAAATTTTCTGTCAGTCTTAATATGATTCACTATCGTTTGCTGGCAAGTAAAGTAATAACTTCCTGGTTGTGTTCTTCAAGTGTTTACCGGTATTTCTTTAATATCCGGGCTGAAATTAAGTTTGATGCTTACTTCAATACATATTGGTGATATATATATATATGTATATATTTAACTGAATTACCACTGTTTTTGTAGATTTGGTAAAGTACTGCACCTAAAGCATGAGTGCAAGTACATTCTGCTAGTAACCGTCAAAGGAAAAGGCCTCTAGAATAGCCAGCACATTCTGTTGGTATCAGGAAATAGGAAATGGAAGAAAAGAACCTTCCTAAGTTTCATAACTTTTCTCATAAGATAATTGCGAGCGACTACATGAACTTCATGATGGATAGAAAGGGAAAAAAAGGGCTCATGTTTGTGGGTCATAATACTTAATGAAAAATGTGATCATTTGAGGTAGTCAACAGATCTGGGTCATAATACAATTAAACTTGGTCACAGTATACATTGCAAGTTTCCACTTGAGAAAAGGACACTCAAACAGTTACACAGCACTCAACAGTACCTTGTATACTTTCTGTTTGAAGTGATTCAGCTGGGGTGGAGAAAATGATTGGGAACTGGCAAAATAAGAAATTAACGGCAGTTACCCAAGCATATGTGCATGACTTCCTAGCCAATGATGTGCTAAATGAACATCAAGCTATACCCATAATACATTGCTGTAAGTTGCAGTTACCCCCGTCCTTGTAAACAATATCTTCTACACAAACAATCGTCCATGCTTCTTACACTATCATAATTTAGAATTGAGATAGATTAGATATGGCTTCTAAACCCTGTTCAGACAAGACGCAGTGAATCACTTCAGATAACCAGAGGCAGCACAATATCATTATAGGTGAGAATGAATGGCAAGTAGAGGGTTAATAAAACAAATGCACCCACCAAAATTCTCTTTATATACTCTGTGATCTAAAGGGAAGACCAGGGTTCTATTTCATAAAACTTTGTTTTCAATAACAATTGCCACAGATTTATGACGAATCTGCTCCTAGCCAATCATATGTAAGGAGTTCAGTAGCTTACAACAATTATAGTATCTTGTTATTGATAACATGTATTATGAACCTGTTGAGCCCTGGTGATTTCACCCAGTGAGCCTGTAATGAGACCCTAACATGTTTGAGTCCCATATGTGCTGTAGAATATGAAGCCTAAAAAGGGAAGGTATCAGGCCTGGAATCGGGTTAAGGCCAGAAAACAGGCATCCTGGGATGCCCTATGCTTGTGCAATTCTATTTTTTCCACTGTGGTTTTCAAAACGATTTACCGCATCATGTCTGAATGAGCTTAACAGGATAAAGTTTAAAAAGTAAAGGATAAGAACAATCAAACTATGAGGGATTTCAGTATATTGCTACACGCTTGTCTCGTTGCTTGCTTCTGACTTTGGTACGAGCCTTGAATGCTGCAGAGTTAAAATTATGCTGTAAGAAAGAGAACAAGAAGAAAAGAAGAATGATATTTCCCTTTCCCAGAAGTGATTTAATACCCATGCCTAGCAGAGCAAAATCATGATTTTGGGGCACATAATAAACAGAAACCTGCAAATAACACTTTAAATAATGCCAAGGAATCAAGTTTTGACATGAGAAGCTGCCCTATCCAGATAACCAGGAGCTTATAGAAATAAGGGCATCTATTATCATGGATATGGGCCATTCTATAACTCTATTTAATACTGTTTGATGATATCAACATATTATTTTGTGCTGTTCATTTTCTTCTTCATGTATGCCATTGTTTTAAAAAAGGTATAAAGCAAATTGTTACAAAGTTTTGAATTTGTGCTTTCTCAAAAGTAAGGTTCCAGTAAATGTAATACTATGAAATCAATGCAAATATATGCATAAAGTGTGTGAGATATATGACAGAAGTTACAAGTTGTTTTATCAACATCCTTGCATATGAAGAATGGGGAAGACCTCCAAAGTCCAAAGTTTCCTATTCCTGATTGTCAAAGAAAATTCTGTAAAACAATTCCAGTATGAAATTTTCATCTTTTATTAAATCGAGGGAATTAAAAATTGATTGACCTGGCCATTGGTTGTGTCTTTTTGGTACAACTGTAGTGACCACACAATTTTTTTTCTTCAAAATAAGAGAAGAAATTACGTGTACAGCCAGTCACCTGGAAATGTTTCCACATCAAATGTACTGTAGTTTATAAGCAGAATTGCCCAATACCAACGCATGACGGAACTCACCCTCTCTGTTTTGGAGGCTTTCTTATGACCTCCTAGGCCTATAACAAGGGGAGCCCCTAGTCCAAATATATCCCTGAGTAAAGGGTTCTCCTGTAGATGTGTGTTGGTGCCTGAGCCTAGGGACTCGCGGATGATGGAATACTGCCGTCTTCTCACCCATGAGTCTATCTCTAAACATTCTACTCCAAATTTGACCAGCTCCTGCGGGGATTCCCCGTTCTGTGAGGATGATGCAAGGGTTGGGATGTAGGTTAGTATCACAGAAACAGCAAAAGTCGGCGGTTCTCTTGAATCAGAGTAATATCATTAACATCATCAGCAATAATGAATGCTTTTGTGTATGGAGTGTGGCTGGTATTAAAGCACAATATATAAATACAAAAGAAAATACTTTCTTTCTGGTTACAATACACCCAGAACATCCTTTGCGCAAAACAGTTATATAGATTTTGGGACACTGGATGGAAAAGGGTCATTAAGAGGCGTGACTATCCCGAACAGGTAACAAATATTGGTGAAAAATTTATGAAAGCTAGCATGAAGCCAGTATGAGATAATAGTTATTTTTTCCAGCAATTTCTTTAAAAGAAGAAATGCCAATGAACACACTCTAAATTTTACAACAGTTGACCCATTTGTATGTGCTTGTGTTCAAACGATTCAACCAATTGTTTCTGAAAATAGTGCTTGTGAGCTGTTAGCAGAAACGTGTCTACAAACGCTTACTTATCTTGACCAATTTCACAACAGATAAACCATTCAATATCAGTAAGAGACAAAACTGTTGGCTAACAAGCGGATAAACTGATTGTTTTAACAATAAGTGCTAATCTACCTGCGTTAGTGTCTGAATACTAACACTAACATTTTTAAAGTGCAGTTATCAAATCTTTTCACAAAGCGAGAACCAAGCTGCTATGTTTACCTCTATAGTTTGTATGATGTCCCTAAAACTAGACCGTTGTTGCCTCAAGTCTTTCTTGGCTCTGTGCTTGTTACTATCTGTAGCTAGATTTCTTATCTTCACTACAAGTTCATCTATATCATCACCTTCAAATTCCTGCAAGATATGAAGAAAAACAAAAATATGAAGTAAGTTTAAGTTTCAATGTTCCATTTTAAATGAATTACTTCTCCATCAATGATTTTTTTTTAAATGGTCAGTTTTTGTATTCCACTCACCATTAAGTTTTCCAAAGGTTTTCTAATAATTTGTCATTGATTTATTCTTAAAACTTCTATTAGAAATTTAAAGGGTACTACAGTAATCAAATAAATCAAATCGATCATTAATAACAGAATGCACCAAAAGTTGTCACTAATATTTCCATCCTTCTTTCACTTCCTTGCTGCCCACTACTTCTAAACTACTCTTCTTGTTTGACATGATTTTATTTCAGTTAACTGTTGATTAAAATTTTAAAAGATTGATAGGAATGCCATGAGCTCAAGTACCATGTTATCATCGAATATGAAAGTTAGGATCAAATTACATACAATATACACATGTAGTTATTTCATGTTACCAAGAAAACATTCTTTAAACTTAGTTTGTTTTATTAAAACAACTTCCAGCAAAAAAAAAATAGCTCCTATGAACTTAGAAGATTGATTGATTGTTATTCTCTCCAAATATGTTAGTAATATAGGAATTAGTCCTATGACCTCTGTAGAGTTGCCTTTAGTGAAAATACAAGGATAAGGGAGATATGACGGGTGGAGTGAGGAAAATCAGGAGATGGAAGATATGCTTAGAATTTTTAAAACTTAACATCACTTTATAGCTAAAGATAACCTCTTATTGGAAATGCAGTCTTTTTTCATGGCAAATAAGATGAACTCTCCATTCGTGTTTCAGATGGAGTTGAATGTACGATTACAGCCTTTACACCGATGAGGCCACCCTGGATAATTAAAACTTTCTTTTGTATTACAAGTACATACCTCATCATCTTCTCTGGCTAGTTCATAAAGCATAGCTATAGCTTCCCCTGCGACTATTCTAAGGTTGACATCATCACTGGACAGGAGATCTGGAAGCTTAGGTAAATGTCTGTTTGAAGTCAAAGAAAATATCAAGAAAAACTTGGATTAAATGTAGTTATGGTAGATATAAGTTTTTCCTGTGGACAAGAGGTCTATCACGTAGTTATTCATTAGATGCAAATATCAAATATAGTTAACATTCGCTATTTATGTGAAGTCTTCAGGAAACCTAATTATATCCAGCACTTGGTGTCCACATCTGTCAACTAATTTTTCAATGTTTCTTTTACAAGGAGTGACTTAACCTTCTTTTTTCCCCAGCTATAGTTTACATTTATTTCAGCTTCCTGCTTCTCCAGATTGCCAGTGAATGCATAATTCTCTACATCTCAGGCATGACAGTTATCAACACGTCAGAGATCCAACAAAATCTTAATGTCATCTAATCCATTCGGTGCCATAAGGTTTTGGACAATTGTCATTAATGAACGTTCCAGAATGATGTTCTGATTTTTAATGGCAATTAATTTGGCAATGCGGAGGGTAATGCATAACATTCCCTGAACTTACGTTTCTACTATATGTTTTATCCTAGAGGTAGGAGTGATAGACAGTAGTAGCATCCAGCCATTAAGTGCTGCGGTGTGAAGGGTAGATACACCAGGTTTATGGGTTGGACTGGACCCATCACCTTTGAGGTATGAAGCACTGAAGATGTCCTCTAGAGCATTCATGCAGCTGCATACAGTCTGAAGGAAAAATACACCATTTTATTTACTTCTTCATTCTTATTTCTTCATGGTTTAATACAAATCGTGATTATCAGCTAAAAGCTAAATTGTTCATGATTTACTAACAAATTAAAAAATACATAGAATAAAGTACTGCAATCATTTGACAGCCTCACCAGAAATTCACAAAAAAGCATCTTTTGTATCTGATCCTCCGCATGTTGACTATCACTATGAATATGACTGACAAAGAAAGCGGACAAAATATACAGTTCCTCAGGTAGACAAAGGAACATGCCTTCACTGCTATTATGTAAAAATGTGTGGAACAGGTGTCACATGCATATTCACCTTTTTACATAATAGCAGTGAAGGGATGTTCCTTTGTCTACTTGAGGAACTGTATATTTTGTCCGCTTTCTTTGTCAGTCATGTTCATAGTGTATATGCACATGACTGCTAAACCCTCACAATATACACTGAAATGGTTAATCAACAATAAAGATCAAGTGTGATGTAAAGGTCTGCTTGTTACATACCTCAAACTCTGCAGCTGCTATAAATGTTCCTAGTCCTAAAGCTGAGGCACACTGAAAAATTAAGAAAATAATATACAATAAGAAAAAATAAAGAGGGATGACACATTCATCAATCTAGGCAAACCAACATTCGTCACTGAAAAACACTGATGATTTTTTGTTTAACGGAAAGGAAGGGTGATGTACATATGACTTTTATTTATAGAGGAAGAGAACAGTGCTCTTATATTCCTAAAATTGTAGTCTTAATTTAAAGCAAAATTGCTAAGTTTTAGTAAAAGAATATTACTTTGAAATCCAGTACTACTGCAGTTATACTTCATACCTTGCCTTTTGAGAAAGATATGAGAAAAATATCCCATAAATAATGTTGCCAACCCCTGTAGACTTCTACTGTTAAAGTAATATTTAACAAGTCTTAAAGGTAAAGACCAGTTATGGTCATGCGATTTCATTTTTTGAACTTGGGGCGTTTCCAATACTGGTCTTTACCTTTAACGATATTGTCAAGTACAGGTGATGCTGAATAAAGTTTACTTCTTCAAACATTAAGTTTTGAAATCATGCATTATATTTAAGTCTAGATGCAGAACAATTCATGAGTAAATACCAGAAGAGAAACAATGTAAAACAATGCAAAACAATGCTACTACCTAGACTATAATTTCATACTTTGATTTTCTTAACCGATAACTTTACATAAGTCTGTAACTGTCAGTAAATGAAGAAGAAAAAGAAAGAAACAAAAATAAAAACAGAAAATATGCTCACACTGGCTCTTGCAGCAGGAGAAGCAGTTTTATCTAGCACCTTGGACATGAGGACTGGCCGAAGAGCGGCAAACACTTCCTCACATTCCGGTCCTGCACCAAGCTGGATCCATAGTGTGTTTAATAGTTTAGCTGCTAGAACCTGTTCATCACCTTTACCTGTGGGGTAGAGCAAAGAATGGGATTGGAAAATGATATTATGTAATCACAGACTATCGGTCAGGTATGAGAATCTCAATCTGTACATGTAATTGAAATACTGTGATCATGACAAAACAAGTTTATCATCATGTATGCGAATATGAATCACTTTGAAGATTGTCCTGTATACAATTTATCTAGATCCATAGATTGTCTATAATATATCAGATTTTGAACTACACACACTATTGGTTATGGCTCCAGTAAAGACGGCTGTCTCATTTACATTATAATTGATTTTCACTTTTTTTTTTTTTTTTTAAATGTTTATCACTGTAATTATTTACCTATCAGTACATGAACAATTCTTCCCATCCATCAGTGATCATGTTAAAATAATATTTGTCTTTCCTACTTGCAAAATAACCATGATCATAAAAGAATTTGAACTTTGATCTCAGAACTGAGTCATGGACGAATGTTTGCAAACTATCAGTGCTCACTGCTCAGTACAGTCAATACGCCACTGTGTTGTACACGCTTTTTAACTCTCGCAGTGCTAACAGATCTAACACACCCATCCATGTCACTTTATTTTATTCCATAAATTGTATTTGTCTTCCTAAAGTCAAAATACGTTCGAATTAGCTGATAACCTGTTAATTACTGAATGCTCAAAACTCACCTGGTAGTAGGTAATGGGTTAACAATGAATAATTATACACCGTTTATCAAGTACCTACTCAGCTCGGTCTATACTCGAGGGCAGAAAATGCAATTGCCAGACTTTATATGAAATGCAATGGTACTAGGAAATTATTGCAAAAAAAGAAGGCTACTTTTGTAGAAACCAAATTTTTGCAAGCCAAAATAATTTTTGATTGCAATATTTTTGTTCACATTTTGCAGCTGTATTGTGTGGATTAATTGCACCTACATGTGTTAATCGGCATGCACACTCAGTTGTTAGAAAGAAATTTAATTCCGATCTCCCTGTAGCTTTGCACTTTAGGTAAAGAACTCACCTTTCTTTATACTTCTTTCAAGGCAGTCTGCAATTGTGATCTTTCTACTGTCTACAAAATCAAAGATGTACTTCTTTGAGAACGCTGCCCTGATGCCTTCAAAACAGTGCTTGCGACCTGCAGCACTGTGAGAAGAAGAGGGAGAGAGAAAGAGAGAGAGAGCTAGTCAATAATCAAATGGAAATGTCATTTTGAAATGCCCTTCATTAACATGTAATTTGTTAAACAAGGGCACAACACACTACCAGCTGTATTGTTACCTCATGATATCATGTTACCAAAGAATTGAATCATGATTTTAATATGAACTGTGTTATCATCAAATCTTTGTGATTCAGCTCTTTTATTTGTTGTTCCTTGATTATCTCTTAAACAAATTCTACATTCATAAGTATTCCAATATCACAAAACTATTATTAGAGTTCAAATCCTGTGAATCAAATCAAATATGTCTACGCCTTGCTGACAAAGAGTTAATACTTAATGTTGGATTGAAATATAAACAACAAATCCACTTTATTGTAGTACACGAACATCAATCTACCATATTAAGGCTATTGACTGTTGTAAGTAATCATACACTCATTTATCATATGAAGTATCATATTCACTCTAGTACTCTAGTAGACACACCAAGGACAATACACTACACTGAAAGGCCAATAATTGATTGGGTTACTTTGAAGTTGACTTGGAGTCAGTGTGGCAGTGTGACTTGGGAATAAAGTCAAATCCTATCATGTAGATAGAGTACCTCTTCTGTGTTGTTCCATCGATGAAATCTCTAATCTTCTCTTCAAAGGCATCTTGACCACTGGTCTCATCCACGTCATCCAACCCATGGCTCGCTATAGCTGATTCACAAAGAAAATAAATAGAATTTTACAATTGTGCATTAATAATAATAATTACAACCTCTTGTATTTTTTAATGTAGTAAAATAACGTAAAATGTAGTAATTTAATAAGACATTTAAATAAAGCATAATACCCAGCACTTACAAAGAAAGTAAATTGCTGCAAATGAGAAATGAAAGTCTTCTTTAGAATAATGGCCAAATTATTTATACTGGACTTCTATTCTAATGATTGTTTTCACATAACAATATACATGCACATACTGTACACAGTTTACTTCATTGTCCAATGTGTACCATACACTGTACTGTATGTTTGCACATGTAATTCTGATCTACATGGTACATGTACAATGTACATGTATGTGTATTAACTTACTTATTACTATCTTTGCAGCAATAGATCAGTAGCATTATGCATATTATATCTCATTGGACATATATTGTGTGTACACTTTACATTGAACGTAAAACAGAAAGCCTTCATATGAACTTATGTACAATTTTCCTGCAACTGTGCCAATATCCTTGATCCAACCTTCAGAATGAAATTGGGAGTTAGCCAATATTTAATCTAGTTCAAAGGTCTGTCAGTTACATGTATCATAGCAAGATATCTAATCTATATGTGTGAAGTACTGTAGTGCTGTAATGAAATGTAAAACACTATGCTAGATATGTAATCATAAAAAAAAAGGAAATTGGGTTGAAAATGAATTCCAGTCAATATAATAAAGAGAAATACCATGAATAGTTAGTAATACATGTTTCCTATGGAGTAAGGCCTATAGTCAGTATAGTGTACACTGTAGTGACTGTTCACTGTTCAGAGTATGTACATGTACACGTGTACATTACAGTACACTGTAGAATTTGATGATGCTCTATGACCTTTCTCTTTACCAAGTATCTGATGGCTCAGTGGTCACCTAGTCTATTTGTGTAACTTCCTACATGTACATGAACAGCTGTCATACTATTTCCTATTTCAACATAGCATATTTCACTTTGCAAGTCATAATCTTTTAATGCCATGTGTACAACTTTGCATAGAGAAAATGCACTCTTCTCCACCCATTATAATAGTGAAGAGAATCAAGTATAATCTAACATTGTTTCAGGAAATGTTTCTCCCTTGTCTTCCCTTACATGTACAAGTATTGTAAATATTTCTATAACATACATGTAACAACTCTTACTACTGGGAAGTAATTTCATATACATGCACCCCTGTACTGCCAAAAAATTCGAATATTGACAGTAAATGACACATTTCGTATTGCAATGTCAGACATTTGTCATTCCAAGAACTTGGCAAATTGTTCTCATTTAATACACACAACAGCTGTTTGGGTGTTATTTATGCGTTGTTTCAACGATTTGTGGTAGTGCTGTAGTCAAACGTTTAACCGTCCGGTATCCGACCGCCCATGGCGGATTCCGTTTTCAATTGGACGGTTTCGTTTTCCCGTTTTTTTTTTTTTAAAATTTTTATTTATTTATTTTTTTTTAATAATTTTTTATTATTTTTAAGTTTCGATTTATATACGCCCCTCCACCTGGTACTATGCCTGGCAATGTCTACCAGTTCAGTAATCTGTGCGTTGACTCACCACTCCGAAACTAGAACAACACTCCAATTTTTCTGTCATCTTGGTTTGAAAGTAATCTTTGTAATAGATCTCAATATGTAGTTTATAATAATAATTCATCCAACTTTTACACACGGCGTACCACAAGGTTCTATCCTAGGTCCTCTAATGTTTTTAATTTACATTAATGATCTTACACATTCTTCTAAATGTTCTTTTAGATGAATATCCTTCCCGCGTGGGTTTTTTTCACAGTCGGTCAAAAAAACAACTAAAAAAATCGTTTAACCGAAAACCGTCCTGTTTTGACTGGCGGTTAAACGGAATTGGAGATATCCGTGATGTTACAGCACTAATTTGTGGCATGATTAGTGATTGGGGGAAAAAAGAAGAAACCCTACCTTAAGTATGCCTTCCCCAGAAAAAAATAAAAAATAAAATAAATGAATAAGGACACCAAAATGAAACCAAATAAAATGAAACAACCCAAGAAGAAATTAATCAATATGGATTAATAAATACATGTACAAGTAATATGTTAAAGTCCCCATATTCATTAATACTTAATACACTGTTAATTGTTTTGTTTTCAAATCTTCAAACCCTACCTTCATCAATGCTGTCTGGTTCTGATATATGACTGCTGGTGACGCTCGCTGTCTCCTCAGCCGTATCATACTCGCTGCTATCTCCGGCTCTAGCCCCGCCTGGTGAGAGAAAACGACGAGATGCCTTCATTTCTCAAGAGTTTTGTCCAAAATGCCAGATGGACACACAAAAGTAAAATATCTACTAAATTTCTTATTCAGAATATAACAATGAGATAAACATAAAGTCGACACTTTAAAGACTACATTTAGTAGCCGAATAAAATAGCAATTTGGTCAATGAAATTCTTTCGATTTTGAAGCATATGGTAGACTGCTTATTGATGATACTGAATAAACTGTCAAACTGTGACCTATATTGACTGACACCATGGCAGGCTTTTGGCCAACATGTATTTTAAGGAACATCTGTCATGGTTCCCATGTACATGTACATGTATGATACAAATCTGCCCTTTGGATGAAGTGACGTAAAAAGAAAAGAGCAAATATTTGTACAACTGTATATAACAACAATAATTGTGTGTACATTGCATACCTTTCCAATCATATATTTTGCTAAGAATTGCAGCCCAATGGTTAGTTTGGAGTTTGAAATTGGCTGAGTATTATTGCCAATAATACCCTTTTCTAACTGCACCGATTTTCATCGGATGCATCCGGACGCATCCGATGAAAGTGCCAGTTAGAAAGCAACAGAGGAGAAAAAGGCGATTAAATAGCCGATGAAAAGAAGAGAAATAGGGGATTAAATTCTCCTGCTCTAGAGCAGGAGAAATTCTCATTCTATCGGTGTGACACCGATGAAACGTGCAGTTAGAAAACGTTCGGGAGAAAAGGGCGATTAAAACAGCGATTAAAATGGTCAAAGGTCGCAGTATACGCGCGCTTTACCATAACCAGCTGTGTTTGTTGACTTATGGTTGAACAAGCTGCATGCTAGCTAGATGGAGCGCGGGCTTAATAATTACGTAATAATTCTTCACTTCCGGCAAGGGCTCGCCACAGCGAGTGAATTTTACCAGCAGTTAGAAACCGACAGGGGGAAAACTGCGGTTTCACCTTTGTTTACATAAGGAAAATTCAATCGGTATTTTCATCGGTGTGACTCCGATAGAGTGCAGTTAGAAAAGGGTATAAGAGTGCAAACTCCCTTTTCATCCATAATCCTCATTTTGTTACAATTACCCACCTTGGACTATCACCCCCTACCCTCTCCCTCTCCCCCCCCCCCCACCCCTAAGGACAATTACCCCCCGAAAACAATCTGCTTTTAAAAACCAACTTATTATCACGGTCCCCTGTAATGAACCGGGGGGGGGGGGGGGGGGATGGGAATCGTCCTTATATAGGGAAAACAATCCGTGAATACAGGGGTAATCCCCCTCCCTCCCCTCTTCTTTAAAACTAGAATTCTTTATAAGCTTCCTTAATATGTACAGAAGTAACAAAACACCTTCTACATAGATGCAGCACAAATGTATCAAACAAAACAACAAAAAGCTCCTGAATGGTGAATTTTAGGTGAAAGTACCTCTCAGCAACACACACACACAAAAAATGGTGATTTGAATAAAATGCATATGAATGTGTATGAATTATTCATGAGAATAAGTTCACATTATCACATATATGTCCCATCATAGCCTATCATATGCAAGAATACATGCAGTCACATGTAACTTTCAGCCTTTTCACACACAGCTAAAATTCGTCGTATCTAGAGATGATAATAACATGTTTAACTCAACAGTTTTAAACACCTTTAAAGGCCCACTGCACTACTTGTAGCTACTTGTGCCCTCTATATAACAAACAACAATGCCTAATCGGTGACCATTGGTCCCCCATGATCCTCTTTTTCTTATGTTAACTGAGAGCTGAGTTGATGAGATAACCACCTGTCCAGTGACCTTGCAGGGCGCTCTAATCCCTCCTGTAAACTACGGCAGATAAGCTTTAAAGAAAATTTTCCCTGTGTGAACATCGTTTATACGATGTTCAGATAGATACGAAGTCGCGATTCATACGCCCCTCAAAGCAGGCTGCAGATACTAGAGAGCTTGACATTTTGTGTGTGAACGGCTTAAACGTTTTTAAACTGGATGGAGCGTGTGCTTTGTTTGATATGACCTGACCTTCAAGGCACTATTGCGCATTTTAAGAGCAGTAGTTAATCACGAAACGATTAACGATCGAACCGAAATTTATGTGTATGAATGATGTCGTATGTACAGCTGATTAGTTTAAAGTCTAATCATGTTTATAGAATTTTAGCTGTGTGTGAAAAGGCTGATGTTGTGACTGTGTGAGGGTGTCTACTTCAAATACTGTACATGAACATGTACAAGTTTTTTTCTTTTTGGACTGCAAACAATACATTTTAACAGGCCCAACAATAACTTGCAGTTGGTCATGTTTGTCTTTAAATTAGAATTCAGGATTTTAAAATTCTAGCACCAACATACCAAAGAGTGGCCCCAAATTATCTACATGTACATGTACATGTACATCACTACATGCACATAGTGTTATCATATCAATTTTTTCTGTAGAACCTAACAGTCCCAAAATATGAAACTGGATCATACCGAGTTACTGACAATGAAAAGTTCAGACAAGATTAAATTTAAGCAACCCTTCACTTCCAAAATTGTCTTTTAGTGTACAGCAAATTCCTCCTTCTCCTCCTCTTCTCCCCTTACCCCCTCCCCCTCCTCCTTCTTCTCCTCGAAATTTGGATCCTTTTTGGATTTGGATTTGGTATGCAGGTGGACCATTACACAGGTGTTTCCCCCTACTCTTATACGAATAGTGCAATGGGTTCTTAACGTTCTTATCGATCCGCGCGCGCTGTGATGAGAATTGGGATATTTACCTGTGTCCTTAAATTATTTGTCTGACTTCAGCTTCGACAGGGTTGTTTGAGCTCGATTTTGAAAGAATGTTTGCCTCTAGGGTCCAGAAACATTTAATAACACCAATAAGCAACACACCAAACACCAACAGCAGAGACGCCAAGTTCAAAGATCAGCAATGCGTGACATTTGCATGATTCAGCGCGCAAGTGCGCGGGCAAGGGTATAAAACACACGTATAGTCAGTAGGGGCGCTGGTCCGAGAATAAGGATCGTCTTTGTAAACACGGACCGATGCGTCCTCAAAAATAAGGACCGTCATTTTCGCAGACGTTTCATATTTTTGAATGGCGCATTGGCGATGCAAAAAACGGATTCTGCAATGATTTTCTTGATGCATTTTTCATTGACTTTGTACAGAGACCTTCACATTATGAGCAATAAATCCTTGGGAAGACGGCCAACCCATAAAAGTAGACAGTGAACTAGATCTAGGGTTATTTTCCCCCAGGGAATCCATTTTTGGCATCGCCAGCACGTCCCCATAAATGCAGACAACCATTATTTTTGAAGACGCATTTTGTCTGCGTTTATGAGGGGATATGAGGACATCCTTGTTTATGAGGACTATCCTATTGCGTTTTTTCAAAATCTAGCGCGCGTCGTGCGTGAGAGCATTTCCAGACCCTCGAAATGCGTGATACTTGATAGCTATGCAACAGTAACACTCAGCAACTACACCGAAATCACCCACGCGTGAAATCACTGGGACCAACAGAGAACATCAATAGTCACTGGTACAAGACTAAGAGCTCTGGAGAAAAGCTCGACATGTTCAAATCCGCTCACTTTCAACACTTATTCTAAACCTAATTCATTCTACCAGTACATGTATATCATTTAGGAAGTTTGTGTTCTGTAATGTATATGTAGGGTCTAACTTAGATTTGAATACATTCACAACGAAAAAAGAGCAAGCATGCATCGTCTACAAAAAGTATAAGCACCGCTCTCTTCGTAATTTACCGGCACCTCATTGATACACGTACACACGTGCAATGCCATTCATTGACAACATATTGCAAGCCAAGAAAGAAGAGATCAAGAACTTACCCTTCTTTTTCTTCTTATTTGTCCGCGGCATGTTCACTATAAATAAGTTTAAATACAATTTGAATAACCTAAATTTCAGGATTTGGGAAATCTGTGTATACTTCTAGCGTATTTATCAAAAATTTCGGCATCAAACCGGGAGAAGAAAAAGATAGTTGTCTGTTCGTCGTACATATTTGTGTTTACCTCATATATATTGATCGAAAACAAGAGTGCGCGCGCTCAAAGGCTTTGAAAGTGTACAGTGGATATGCATTGTGGGTACATAAAAAATATGCCAGTATTGTGAAGAAGGTAAATAGTATTGCAATCAAGAGGTGTAATTTTCATTCATTCGTATCTCGACGTACCCGACATCAACATCAGTTACGTCATAAGCTAAAACCGACCCTGCCGTAAAACAATTTGATCAGTCATGACCTATGATGACGATGACGAGCATCGTTCTAAGGAATAATAATAAACACTGAGTGGGGGCCGGGGTTTGTCGACAAACCTCCTTTGTGAATTCGGGCCAATGGGTTCGATTCCAAGCTACTCCTCTCATAAGAATCCATAATGTTGACTTGCCAAATTGAATAGCCAAGCTTTCCTATATTCATAATACCGATCTCTATTCATTACGCTATGTCAGCAGCTACGCAATGCAATGGCCTACTGACTTAACACTTCAATTTGGCAGTTAAAAAAAATATCTAATAATATAAAAACTCACTATAATTAGTTACTGAAATAAAGTTATCATTAAAATAATTATCATGTATCCCGTAAGCGTAAAATCAGTAAATCGATTGTTTTTGTTTGTACAGTCATTTACATCAGAAAGAATAAAAGTGAGGCAGAGAGGTCTTGTCTCTTGGATAAGTGACCTCTTCATACACAATGCGGAAGCAAAGAGGTTTGATTATAGTCTTACTCCTTTATCCTGTTCTTTTTTTTTTAGTCCATAATTTCGCATTTCCAATCATCTTTTTTTTTAATTGAGTCCCCCTCCTCCCAGTTTTAAAAAGAAAAGAAAGGAATCGGAATTTGGTAGAAACTCACTATCTTATTGGTTACTGAAATCAAGTTTTTTACGGGCAATCTTGACAACATAGGATTACAAAAATAACAATCATCATGACTCAAACAAGTGTAAAAGTAGTAAATCTGCATTTTTGTATAGTCATTGACATCAGAAAGTATCTACAATAGAAGCGAAATAGATAATACCAGTGAGGAAGAATTTGTTTTGTAATTGATCTTTATTTCATTCATAAAAAAACATCATAACCAGGCGCGTACGCAGGGGGGTGTTTGGGGGGTTGCTTTTTTAATGTGTATAAACCCCCCTAAACCCCCCCCCCCTTTGGATTTTTTTCTATTTTTTTCTAATAATAATTAAAAATTTAGCAAAATGTCAAATTTTCAAATTTCGAGACAAAAAAAAAAAAAGGTGTCCTCTTACACCCCCCCCCCCCCCGCTTATTCAGCGGCTGGCTGAGTCGATGCGAAATTTTCGGCCCGCATTAAAAAATGTTAAACCCCCCCCCCCCCCTTGAAAAAATCCTGCGTACGCGCCTGATCATAACAAACATATAAAATACAAAACATAGTGTACAAGTTAAAGAAAAACATTTGCAATAGAATACACCAACACATTATTTTGGAGACTGCTAGGAAAGCCACTGCTTTATTGCTAATATTGGTACTGCCACCGACTGGTCTTGTGGGTAAGGGATCACTTCACCTTGCATTGAAATGGGTTCGATTCCAAGCTATATAGTACTTTTCCTATTTGTTGTTTATTCAATTTTTTTGGCCATTTTTGGCCAAGTGGACCCCCCAAAAAGAAGAGAAAAATAGAAGTCAAAATGATATTTCTATCACCTCTCTTTAACAAGTGACTTTCTGAGTATCTCCTGATTTTTTTTCATCACCACCATCACCATCACCAGCATTGCACCACCACCGCCGCCACCACGTAAGTACATGCCTGGCCCCTGGGTAATTTGGTATTGTATGATTTTGTGCCGTGGGGGCTGTAAGTGCCCGTTTTCCATTTTCGGCAAATTGAACTAAGTTCTAAATGTTTGATGTGTTGACGATATCTATCTAAAAGTTTCCCCGCCCCGGCGGCCCCGCTAGCTATAGCTCCCTTCCCCCAGATTCTCGCCTAAAAACAAAGAAGAGATTTGGTGGCGCCGCCACTTGCATTGCACGCAGTGCAAACACACGGCACATGGTAAATAATAAACAAGTGGTGGAGCTCTTTCCCGATCCCATACACACATGCATACCATTTACGTTACTAGAGACGCCGAAGCAAGTCGCTAGGACCTGGCGCCGGATGGCAAAAACAGGTTAGTTGCGAATTTTGTTAGAAAATAACATACATTTTTTGTTGTGTTTTATACTTTGCATTCTTAAACAATTGATGTTGTTTAATATTCACTTATAGATTTTCAATGATCATTATTATGAATATGCGATGTAATATTGTGACAAGTCTTTTCATGGTATGCACCAATTGGCTCCGTACCCCGGTAGTAGCGGCGACGGGGCAACCTACGAATAGTATCTCATCAGCAGTTAGGGTCCGCTGCTTTGTGTGCTGCGCTGCGCTACTCTCGACAATCAATCTTGACGTTGATAAAACACATTTAACATGATCAATGCTAGCAATATAATCATACTACGTTCAGAATTTATATGATTTAACACATGGATGTTTTTAATACTTTCATTTTTAAATTTGAATTAACTCTCTGAGAGAGGAGTTCTGCAGAACCAGATATATACATGCATAGGCTACTTAACCATCTCTTAGAAATAGTGGCATTACTTTTATGTCACCTATAATCCTATATTTCATTTTAAATCTGTTTTAAAAGCAATACACCAATATCATTGACTGACAATTTTAGTAAGGATTAGACTGAAGTCAAATATAATAAAGAAAAATTTATGATCAAATACTAAACTTGTGGTTTGTAAAACAAAATATTCATGTACCACATGAATGAAATTTTCTCAATACAATACAAAAATACAAACCCTTTTCTTTCTTTTGTGACAGGCTAATCTACATGTTTGTTTTGATGAGTGGATCTGAAGAGTTTCAAGCATATTGTGCAGAATGTAGATGACAGGGGAGGCAAAATATATTTCTTTAGAATCTTTTTTTCTACATGGTCAGTCAAGACTGACTGACCAACAAACTGAGCAACTGGTGTAAGGACCAGTTGTCTATTTGACCCTTCATCATCCCAATGGGAAGTGGGTCCAGCAATTCTCCAAATACTTCACAGACGATGCCGGAACCCACCCCGCAACCCAAGCGCGAGAAACGCGCTCGGGGGCGGGGGGACTTTGAAGAAGTGCAGCTAACAGATCCAAACGCCCCATCGGCGTCTCAATTGGCTGAACCAAGACAGGACAATGCTGCTTCAAGGAACAAACAAAAACAAGACAGAAAACCAAAGAATGTGCCAAATAGTGAAGGGAGTAATGTGCAATATGGTGCGGGAAATGGTGGTTCAGGGTACGCCACAGGGCTAGGGGCTGGATACGATGGGTTGCAGCAACATGACCACAGTGGACCTCAAGACATGTGGCAGTATGGTTCCCAGGCAGTTCAGCAGCAACAGAGGGTCATTGACTCGTTTCAGCAACAGGCACAACTGGTACCTCAACCTAACCAAAACCCGGATGAATTCCTCTCAATGGCTCTGCAATTGCAAGAAATGGTAAGTCTAAACCATCAGAATATATGAAAATAAGTAATCTAATACATAGTCAATGAAAGATGTTTATTTTTCAAGATTAAGATTTTTGAGAAGAGTACATTTAACACCCCTAAAACAAATTGAAAGTAGATTTTCTTTCTTTTTGTAAAAAATAAATAATGAGATTCTCTGAATAGTTTGGATTTTGAGTAGGGTGAAGCATAACACTGGTCTCTTGTGACTAAATGCATATTAATAAAACCTTGTTAAGAAAAAAAAAGAAAACAAGAATGAAAGAAATAAATAAAAGGAAGGATTGAGAACTCATTTGTTAGTTAGTCCTCTATCAGACTCCTCTGTTTCCACTCTTAGAAGTGATATTGTGATTGCATGGGCTGCACACTGAACATGAGGATGACAGAGCATATTAACCTTGATATTCACCACAAGAAAGTATACCTAGATGGCATGGCAAGTGACAGTATTTGGCGCTAGTTTAAATAATCATATCCAGACTTTGACCCATAACTCTGGCATCACAGGCATGGAGATACTTTACTAAAAACATCCGAAATCAATTAAATATTCATGAAATGTTCAAATTATGGTCATGATCTAAAAGTTGTTATGTTTCTTACCTGTTTCGTGTAAATTTTCTTATTTTGGGGGGAGTATGTTTGGAAAAACATTGATATTAGTAATTTAGTATACATTTTCTCACAGGTTTCACGGCAAATCGCTGCACAATACAAATGCATACCAATGGTGGGTTGAGGGCGGATACCTGCCTGCCCGCAATTTGATATGCAATTGTATTGTGCAGCGATTTTCAGTTATTTGAACATTTCATGAATATTAACTTGATTTTGGGTATGTTTTAGGGTCTCCACGCTAGAGTTACGGGTCAAAGTCTGGATATGATTCTGAACTAGCGCCCAGTACTTTAACATGTTAAATTATTATAGATCAAAGTTGTCACTTCTTGTCAATGATGTCTTGTGATGTTTTATTTTAATTTCATAATTATAACAGGTATGTGAAGATGTGTAAGGCTAGAACTTCCTGGAAGATCAAGTCAGGAAACAAAAAGAAAACACTTTTTTCAAACTCCCCAATTATACCATTTTTTTATAGTCTAATGGGCCAAAGAGATCTGCCGAGTACATTATGATTATGAATAAAATGTTATTCATGAACAGTATAATCTTGATTGGTATTTTCCATTCTCAAAGATGTGTGTCTTCTATTGCAGCTATGCAGTAGCCAGAGTGCTTCAGTTCATCTTATTGTTCCTATTGTATGAATTTGTGCTCCAGTTTTAGCTGCATTGCTAAATGTCATTGATTTATTGATCTGTGCCGTTCAGTCGCCACAATACTGGCAGTATCTCCAAGGTGCTTGTTCCAAAGAATGAATTAAGGCGAAAACAGACCTATAAGGTCTAGATGGCATGTGTTTGGTTTCTTCTTTAAGAATGATATTTAAAAATCCAGTAGTCATAACAGAAATAAAGGCATTTTTGTGTATAATGAGGAGCTACATTGTATACCAAAATTTACAAATTGTAATATTCATAAACAAAAAGTGGTTAAACATATGCATAGAATGAGAAAAAAGAACAATAGTGAATCTGTATTATAACCACTATATGGTTGTTTGTTAAATCAAGCATAGTACAAGGAAAAGGTAGTTTGTGCACTACTTTCAGATGATTACACCGTTTCTATGGCAATCACTTTAGGATCTATTGATTTCCTCCGGAGTGATGATAGCACAAAGCACAAAGAAAAAATCCAAACCGCATACATATACAGGCATTTCTAAATGTTTGTATATTGCTGTAATTGTGATACCATACATTTTAAGCTGTTACGTGTGCATGCACAATTACTAGTAAATGAAATTTTACACTTATGACGTAATTGAGGAAATATCCTTTCTAATTTAGATTTTTTGTTTGTACATACATGTATAAATTCATGAAAAGAGAATATCATGCACAGAATATATAGGCATACCGGTATGCCTTTATATCTACATGTACATGTACGAGATGCTACACTCTTGATGAAGACAGTGCTAAAATAAGGGATCCCTGTATTCCAATTTATAACAAAATCACAGTGTATATTCATGTACATGTAGTAATCAAATATTGAGTATTTTTTGCCCCTGGTTATTGTAGTGTTATATGTGTAGATATTTAACAGGAAAAGGCTATCACACAAATTATTTTGTTACTACACATGAAATGTAATACAATGTACCTTTACCTTTCATTTCATATTTATTGACAAATCTTGAAATACAAGTTAGAATTAGAATGTCAAAGGAGAACACTGAATAAAAGATTTTTTGTTGTTTAATCAGGAAAAAAAGGAAGTTTGCTTGTTTCATACCAAGTGGTGAAGGCTGGTCTCCATTTTAAGGAAATCATTATTGGTTTTTAAAGCTTATAGATGATCCAAAGAAATAATGTATGCAATTAAAGTTTTTTGTTTTACATTCACTTTATCATGTTCCAAAAAATATTTAACTGAAAAAGAATTTATACAATTAAAAATTCAGTTGTGTGCTCTTTATTTAAATATTTTTTTAACAACAATCTTTATCTGTGTATGTTTTAGGGTGATGAGGACATTGTCTTTGAGACTTTTCATCATAATAATGGAAAGAAATACACCTGTATCAAGCAAGGAGGGCAGAGACATTACCTTGATAGCTGGGATACTCAGGTATGTATACTTCTGTACCATATTTATATATTTTTTAAATTCACTGAATTTATAAAATATTGATGAGAAATAACAGTCAAGTTTTTGTTATTTTAATGAGAGGTCGGCGCATTCCTATTAGCGGCATTCGTCCATTCTTATTACCAAATCTTTTTTGAGCACTTTAAACAAAATGATTGTGGTATGTGCCGTTAATTGAGTCACTTTCAGTTTTTTCTTTACATACTGGGTAGTCTTTAGAAGCTCATCAATCCACGTGAGACTCGGATGATCTGTTATTCAACCTTCAGTATATCATCAGTCAAATATTTCATTGATTTCTACTGCATCATTACATGATATACACATGTACAAAGCCATTGTTTTTCTGCATCGCTTTCTAATTACTTTCACTTTATGTATTCAGTACATGATTGGTAGTGGGAAATGCAATTCTAATTTGCCCCACCCTTTTTTTTATCATCGCTTCCCATTAACCAGCCAGACATTCACTTTTCAAGCTCAATTTGAATTAGAAGCCTTATTATTATAACACAGCACTTAGCTAGCTATAATGTGCATGCATAATTGACATGTGTGCATAATACATTGATGTTAAGGGAAGTCATCACAAACAATGATAATGTTGATAAACTCCATAATAATTAAATAACTCTGATATAATGTAGCCAAACAGAGTTGAACAATTTGGTTAATTTAAGTGATCAAACTAGAAATAATATGTTTTAATTTTACATTAAGCATCCTGAAAACAGTATTTACATAGTATGAAGGTTGTGAGAGATGGGAATGCTCATACAACACAAGTATATGAATTCTATGAAATATTTTATTTAGTTTGTAAAGAATTAACATACTCATTCACCAGCTTATTTTGATTATTTTTAGATCCCCATAAACAAGCATTTAAGTATGAAATGTATTAAACTGTCTCTTAGGAGTACCTATGTATGTGCACAAGGGTATTTCAGGTAATCTGATACATATATCATGTTTTTAAAAGTGGTCTTGCCCATTGTACTCTAATACTTTTGAATAATGCTATTTATCTCTAAATGCAATTTATCTCGAAAAAAATAGAACTGGCAGTCGTTTCCTAATAAGTGGATAAGTAATGGAGTGTTCATACGAGATGGAGACCAAGGCTACTCTGAGCCCGCCTCCAATCAGACAGCCAATGCTGATAGCGGAGGACACCATCATCAAGAAGAGAGCAGTGGAGCGGAGGTATCAGGGGGTCTGAGTGGGACCAATGATGACAGAGCAGGGTCACTCATGCACCCTACCAAGGGAACACTCCTCACATATATATTTGAGGTATGTTAATGTTATTGAAGATATGCTTGTAATAATCATACATGTATGATGGAGGAAGGACAATCACTTTTGTGATTTTTGGACGGAATTTTATTTGATACAGTTTGAGTAGCAGATGGAAGCACAATATGTATTGTGAAGAGAATGGCTTTGCCTAAAAACTGGAAGAATTATGCACCTTTAACTAAATGTATATTTTTTTATTATTATTAAGAGTGAACAATAGATTATCCTTTAGTATAGTTGAAGTAACGTTTTTGTTGAGGTGACCTGTTCTTTTATAGACCTGTGTTTACAACCTGTACTAAACCTAGGTGATTGGTGTATTGTTCTGATGAGAGAAAATGGTGCTAAGGTAGTGACTTCAATGCTAGATGTACAATTAAAGATGATCTGAAAGTTTGAGTGAAAACAGCTAGACTGTTATTAATGATACAAATTAGGAAAAATTGATCTGATTGATTTCTTAATCCTCCCAACTATATTAATACAATTAAATTAAATTTTAGGTGAATGTAAATCATCACAAAGCAATGAATTGGCTCTATATACCATTCCAAACATTTAAGTGTAGAAAGAAAAATTAAAAAATGGTTGGGAAAATTTACTGTTATAGGGTGTTGCACAGTGGCGCCTTTTTTTCAGGATTTTTAGCATGTAAATCGCTTAGAGACATTTGTATTAAGCGCTATATAAAAATTAAATATTATTATTATTATTTAATAGTACAGTTGAAGGAATATAATAAGTAACATTTCATACAAAAATTACATTGTTTTTTTCATCAACTTCAACAATGTTACTGATTCACTTTAATCCTTGCATTGCATTATAGATACAGTACACACATAGTTTCACTATTGATTCTCTATTGATGGAGCCGAGACAATAATACTCCGTCTCTCTCTCTCTCTCCCTATACATCGCACTCATCTTTAATTCAAGGAGTACCATAGTGTGGTCTCTTTGGCTGGCTAGAATTCATTTTCTTGAGAGGCAGGTGTTAATTTTCCAAGAGCTATTCTAGTACTCCTGACAGTGTTAATAATCTCATTGTGGAGTTATATTCACTGTACTTCCACCACAGAATGTTGTATAGCAAAGGAGGAATATTTTTTAATTTTAATTTTCTTGATATTTAATATGGATGTGTTTTTTAAATTAAATTATATTTTGTTATACATTTACAATTTACAGGCCTCAATATTGTGGTCTATTTCATGGACTCTGTCTGGTGTTTTTTAATGAATGTAAATACTACACTTTCATAATTTCGTGATGAAATCCCACATAATTCAGGATTTTTTTCAAGGAAAATTTTGATGAATGTGCAGTATGTGTATTAGGCCTTTACCATAAAGCAGTAAATTTATTTCTAATTATATATTTCTAATCATTTTGATTGTATTTTCTGGCTGACAGGAGAAGCGCAACATTCACTGTTACTTTGATGATGATTCTGGTATGTGGGTGAAGATGCCAGTCAGTTGGGAGCAGCATACAGACTTTGTGAAGGGATTGATCAAACAAGTCAAGGTTAGATCAATATGCTCATTAAAATATATATCTTGGTGTTATATACTTACTTTGATTTACTTATTGATTTTTTTTGCCTCTTGCCCTGTTCCTTAAAAGAGATATGATGATTTCATGTTTAAGATACAAGTAGAATCACACTGTTGATTAGAAATTCATGTTCCTTGATAAGAGAAGAAAAGTAGGCCAACGTTTCTTTTGAAAAGTGCTACTTCACATAGAACATAAACACTGTTTCATGTCAAGAAGAGAAATGTTTGTAACATTATGTAAAGAAGTGAAATATTCTTATAATATGTGGATTTTGTATGTTATTTGGTTTGACTTTCACCCTGCATATATTTGATCTGAAGGTCAATTTGGTCAAATGTATAAATGCACTTAGTGAGTTTCACTTCATGTTCAAATGTAAAACAAACCCCATTGCTATATCCTAAAGTCTATGTTGTACTTTACAATCACTTTCAAGCTTTTAACTAAATCTTACTCTGTCATCTTATAAAGGATCAAAGTCCATCTTGGAAAGATGGATATGACATTGTAGCAGCTTTGAGGAAGAGTAACTATGATGTTGATGATACTGTCATGACATATCTGACCGTGGGGGATACTGGGTGTATGGACACACCGGATCGTCTCAAAGGCTTCGACATGAAACTCATCAAAGAAAAAGATCAGAAAATTGCTATTCAGCAAGAGAAGTTGGCAAAAATGGTAAGAAATATAGCAATATTTCAAATATTCATGATAGTCAAGCATCCATATAAAAAAAGAATGCATGTACCAGTGAAACCATTTTGTGCTCCTAGAAAAGAAATTGTAGGACCAAAATAATAAATGAATAACTACCTGTAGAGGAATGCATGCATATTACCAATGAGTCACTTTGATATTATACATGTGTCCTAAGCATGTTGCTAAATATTAGTATAATAAACTGATAACTTCATAATTTTGATATTGGATTTTATTAAGAGCAAAAAATGAAGAGATACTAATGCTTTGATATTCAACTTTAAAATTGTGTGCAGTTGTCTTGTATGTTTTGATTGTTTGTATTAAAATGTTTATGATTACTTCAGTCCATTTATATTTTGTAAACACATTCATTTTCTTCCAGCATCGAAGCTATGACAAAGTGATGCAGAACAACAAGAAACTGAGGCATGAAAACGACAAAATGCAGAAACAGGTAGTGTAAACTACGGATTTCATCTGTATTTAAGATTAGCATTAAGGTATGGACCAGTGATGATTATTGAGGAGAAAATACATTGGAACCATGTCCAAACACTTAGCACTAGTACAATGATAAGATAACATTTGTGCAAGAAATTCATGTTAACTTAATGTGAGGGGTATTTTATTTTTTACATAATTTGAAAAGCTGTGATGTCAGTAATTTGTTCAAGATGTAATCATAATACAAGAAGGATTTCTCTACTTAGTATCCTTTATTAAAAGGTAGGGTAAAACTGAAGGGAATACCATACTGTGTAATATTTTGGGGTCACAACTTAGGTATTATACTTGCAAGCTTGTTATCAAATGTAATTAGTCAGATAATCGAGCTGAGCATTATGCACTAGTATATCACTGGCATACACCACAAAGTCTTAATAGTCGGTAATAAAAGGATTTCCACACACAGTAGGAAGGTGATCAAAAGGAATCCCTTGGCTTAAAAAGTTGGGGCTGCAGTGAATTGAAAATCAGATAAACAACCCCAAGCGTTTGTATATGATGGAAATTAGTAAAGGGAAGATTGATAACGGCTATGTTATGATTGACAAAAAGTAATTGAGATAAAACGGAGTAAAGGTTACCATAGATTCTATTTACTTTAGACCACAATGAATATATATGTCAACAACAAATAAAAGAAGTAATTACGGATTATAAAACTTTAATAGCTCAATTTGGTTTGGGTAGTGATTCTAAGAAAAAAGGACAACCATTACTCTTTGGGACAAAATGGACTTTCAGACAGAACTCTAGGAGATTGGTTATATACAGGGAAATAGTTTTTTAGGTACAATAATCTTTGACAAAATGGAAGCACGGATTGTAACTACCAATTTAGATATAAAAAGAAGAATCAGATAATAGTGATATGTATCCCCTTCTGGCATATACCCTATTGATATTTTAGATTATGTTGATATAATTTTGTATTTTTTGTTTATGTCTATACCCATAGTTGGATCAATTGAGAGAGAAAGTAGCAAGCTTAGAGGTAGAGGCCAAGACTGCCAACCATAAGCTCCAAGCTCTTCAGAATGAGAGACCCAGAACAGCTCGGGCAAGGACATCCTTAGCATCTGATCCTCCGGTAAGATTTACACATGTACCATCATCTATTCTCTGCTTTTATCATATAACCATGGCAATGAGAATCGCTCATGAAGCACTGAAATTAAGATTAGCTGTTAAGATCAATTTTATTAAGGAAATTGTGAACAATTTGGTCAATGACTAAAAAAAAGACAGCTATGTTAGAATGTGGAGATGTAGGTCCCTTTGTTGACTTCAAAATTTGTAGCATAATATGTAAAACATTCTTAAACATTACAGGTAAATTAAATGAACCTAATACCTGCTTTAAATTTAAGTTAAAACGTCATGGTCACTTGTCACTTATCTTTAATTAGATTACTAAACCATAGAGACACACTGCATATATTTATGCACCAATTATGCAATGTCTGTAAAGAGTCATCCTGTATCTTGTAGCCCTGTGTTTCCCTGGTAAGATGACTTGTGTATTTGATGTGAATTTGATCATCAGGCCATTGCAGACTGCACCTTCAGACACTAAAGAATCACCTTTTGTTAGTGCGCTTGGCCATAGAGACTGGCTTTGCAACAAACTAAATCTTTAGAGCCATCTTATGACTGTAGAGTCATCCTGTAGTCATGTGTTTTCCTGATATGATGCTATGTGTATTTGATATGACTTGATCATCAGGCCATTGAGACAGCACCTTCTGATTCAGCCCCTGAGGAGCCAGCAGGACCAGTGGGTCCTACTGTGGATGAAGAGACTCTAAGGAAACTGGACAAAGATGCTAAAGAACTAGATAAAGCTAACTTGACTCTCAAGAAAGAGGTTCAGCAAGGGTTTAATGGTAAATGCTTATACACATCAATAGTTTTACTTCTTTCATTATCCAGCCTTTAACAAATATTTGTTCACCTGCATATAGTCCAGGAAACAAAAGCACTGATACAAGTTTGTAGTGTTAAGGCATCTTATATCATATTTTTATTTTTAAAAAAGTTTCTTCATTGATATGTACTTAGATCTTGTACTTAAACAGACTTTTAAATTGTACAATATCAAAATGCTATCCAATTTAACCAAAAGTTTATGTAGACATTCAAAGATAAATTCCGAAAGCTGAATTATACACATTGAGATGTTCAACAGTCTGTTGGTCAACCATAAAATCTCATTGAAAAGAGGTTAACCAGTTGACTACTGAATTCATTCATAGCCATAAGTTTTATATAGACCACTCGGTTCCAGTAGGCAATGGGTTAACTAACCCATTGAAAGAGTAACCTTATGATAATTTATGACATTGGTTATTTTCAGATATGATTGAGATGATGAAGGAGGCCTCAGCAGCACTCAAGAAGATGAAGAGGATGGATTCAGGGAATGTGAAGGAGTTGGATGAACTTAGAGTGCTCTACAGGAAGGAATGCTTGCAGAGGAAACTCCTTTACAACAAGGTAATTAGGTACAGGGGATTGGTGATAGCGATTATAGAATCATCTTGATGATGAATATATTCAAGAGGCAATGTCTAGATCTAGTTGTGATTTCCTTCTTTGGAATCTGTTGCAAAATTTCACGCTTAAGTTAGTGGTATCCAAACTGAAGAAACTTGTCCAGCATTAAAAATCTTCAATATGTCACAATTTTTTCAGTATTAAGTGTGATTTATTGCGATCAATTTGCATAAGGTTTAACATTTTGACATTACCATCCTAGTATGATGAAGAGGAAGAATTAGACCAATTTCATAATGAAGCAGATGTATTTATTATGGATCCAATTGTTTTTAAATATTTTAAGTCTAATCCAAGTTGGGAAAAATATCTTATGTGTCAATAATACAAATAACAGTATATTAATGTCAGAGAATTAGTTAATGATTTATGTTAATGATTAGTTAAAGATGTATTTATTATGGATCCAATTGTTTTTAAATATTTTAAGTCTAATCCAAGTTGGGAAAAATATCTTATGTGTCAATAATACAAATAACAGTATATTAATGTCAGAGAATTAGTTAATGATTTATGTTAATGATTAGTTAAAGATGTATTTATTATGGATCCAATTGTTTTTAAATATTTTAAGTCTAATCCAAGTTGGGAAAAATATCTTATGCGTCAATAATACAAATAACAGTATATTAATGTCAGAGAATTAGTTAATGATTTATGTTAATGATTAGTTAAAGATGTATTTATTATGGATCCAATTGTTTTTAAATATTTTAAGTCTAATCCAAGTTGGGAAAAATATCTTATGTGTCAATAATACAAATAACAGTATATTAATGTCAGAGAATTAGTTAATGATTTACGATTTCATCTCTCAATTCTATGGTTCCTCTCCTTCTGTAGTTACAAGAGCTACGAGGCAACATCCGTGTGTTCTGTCGCGTCCGGTACGACTCGCGTACCGACTGCTGTCTGAAGTTTCCATCGGAGATAGAGATAGAAGCTACCAATCCTGCAGGAAAGAAGATGCTCCATTCCTTTGATCATGTCTTCTCTCCCACATCAACACAAGAACAGGTATGTACTCTTGCCCCTTATTTTGAAGCACTTTCAGACAAATGCTTTATGATATATATGCTATCCTTGTGCCACATTGTCTCTAACAAAATGTATTTCTACCAGTGGTCTCTTGCAAGATGGTCCACAAACAAATTTGAAACATGTAGAATTGCAAAATAAAGGAGTATAACACCATGCGAATGACAAGCATGAATAGAAGAGCAGCATCCCTTACAGCCTGGGTCCAGCTCTGGAGAGCTTAGATGCTCTCTGGTGGAAATGTGCAATCTGATCTCTTATTTTGAAGCATTTTCAAACAAATTTTAATATATCATGAATACTTTTGGCTGATAAAGAGTATCATATGTTTATTTTATTATAAAACTTGTCACTATGAAATCGTAACCTGTTACTAATTGTCTCCGAAATAGAGCCAACTGTCAACTGGTCCCTGCATGGTTGCCTTATACTGTACATCTGTGGCCTATTTGTCTGCAACCTTTACAAATGTATCATCTGATCAATTTGTTTTAGATCAGGATATGACAAATATGTTCACATTCGCTTGCTTCCATTTTCTCAGATTGGGGTTAAAGATGAAAATAGAGATGTGAAATATATATACATGTATATATATATATATATATATATATATATATATATAGACAATGAGATGTAATACGTTTATGAGACAATAGCAAATGTACTGTATTGTGTCTTCTTGCTTAGGTCTTTGCCCAAGCCCTACCCATCATAACATCCTGTGTAGATGGATACAATGTGTGTATCATGGCGTATGGACAGACGGGATCAGGAAAGACCTTCACTATGATGGGTCCTAAAGACAACCCTGGAGTCAACGTACGTGCTATCAAGGAACTCCTCAAGATCTGCAGTGAGAGGGATCAGGTCGATTACACTCTCAAGGTCAGTTCATGTAATCCCCCCTATAGTTTTAATGATGGGATTTTGAATAAACATTCACTGTATAGGTATGAACATAAATGGTGAAGGAAGACTTGTAATACAGTAGCAGTTTATTTAGTATATGGATGATCATTTAATACAGAATGTGTATAGTCATCAAAGTAGAAAGTAGGACAAGTACTTGTAGCTGCTATATTGAAAAGGAATCATAAAACCTTTTAGATATCTTTTTTAATTGAAACATCTTTGCCAAACAAGAAATTTTAACTCTTTCTATTATTTGCATAGCAAATTGTGTTGCTGCTTGCCTGTTTAGAGAAAAAAAAATGCTTTGAAAATACTGGGAAACTGATTCTTAGTCCCAATATCAGAGTCATATGTAGTCTGTCATTCTAAAACATGACACCATTATATCCATTTATTCCTTGTAGGTATCCATGATTGAGGTCTACAATGAGCAGGTCCAAGACCTGTTGAATACTGACCTAGAGAACAAGACCCCTCTCGATATCAAGATGCAGGGTAAGAGACTATACCTCCAGGGTTTGGTTGAGAAGATAGTTTCAAATGAAGGTGATATCACTTCCATCATGGAGATGGGTGATGCCAATCGCTCGGTAGCTGCTACCAAGATGAACTCCACCAGGTAAGCTTTTAATTCAAACGGATGGAGTACGTTAGCATTTAGATGTTGCGGAGTCCAGTTAATCCATGCTGGTGATGAATAACTGTTCTGGCACCAATCGCTCCAGGCTTTATTTCATTTAAAAAAAGCAGCTTTGGGTTGCAATTATATGGATTTGGATTAGATAAAGGGTTTGGCATAGGCCTACTATTGTGTCCATGGTTATCTAAAAGATATTTACTGTGGAGCAATTGTCACTAGAGGATGTGTTATACAGCTTCCATGCTATTTACCAATTCATACATATATTGATGTTATAAAGATAGATCATTAGGATAAACGGTGCATCACTTTGTATACATGTATGTATGCATGAGTAAAGGCATTCTTTGCTCAATGCAGATGCCAGATTAATGAAGTTTTCCAGTCATACCTTTACATTAGCGGTGGTTTGTAATCAGAGGCGGTTCTCCCGGGGGGGCAGGGGGGGCACAGTGCCCCCCCACTTTTTCAGATACCCCAAAAGTGCCCCTTTTTACATAGGAAAAGTGCCCCTTTTATTTTGTAAGAAGTGCCCCTTTTACATAGGAAAGGTGCCCCTTTTACTTTGACAAGTGCCCCTATTACTTAGTAAAAGTGCCCCTTCCCCCTTTTCACCTCTGACGAGTGCCCTTTTTATTTTTGACACGTGCCCCTTTTCCTTCGACATGTTCCCATTTTCCTTTGCAATAAGTGTCCATTTTCCATTCTCATAAATCTTGAAATTATCTTGAATAAGTGCCCTTTTTAATCTCTAGTAAGTGCCTTTTTTCAGGTACGAGAAGTGCCCTTTTTCACTTTTAATAAGTGCCCCCTTCACCTCTGATAATTGCCCTATACATAACTGAGAGGTGCTCCTTTTACTTTGACAACTTCCCCTTTTTTCCTTTGTAAGAAGTGCCCCTTCTCCTTTTAATAACTCCCCCTTTTTTAAACTCGGATGAGCACACCTTTCATTTTAACATGTGCCCCTCTTATTTTCTAATAAGTGCCCCTTTTCCTTATGATAAGTGCCCCCATTAAAAAGAGAGAGCTCCTTCCCTTTCTCATAACTACCCCTTTCCCTTTCTAATAAGTGCCCCTTTTCCTTATGATAAGTGCCCCCATTGAAAAGAAAGAGCTCCTTCCCCTTCTCATAACTGCCCCTTTTAAAAATCTGAACGGTGCCCCCTTTTTATTCAACAAATGCACATTTTCCTTTATTATAAGTGCCCCTTTTACATTTTCATAAGTGCCCCTTTTCATATCTGGTCAGTGCCCCTTTTCAACTCTGATAATTCCCCTTTTAATAATGATACGTGCCCCTTTTCCTTTCTAATAAGGGACCTATCCCCTTTTCACCTCTTATAAATGCCCCTATCAAAATCTGATGGGTGCCCCTTTTCCGTCAACAAATGCCTATTTCCCATTTTCGTAAACGCCTCTTTTTCATCACTGGTGAGTGCCTCTTTTCAGGTGAAAAAATGCCTCATTTTCACCTCTTATAATTATCCTTTGTACTTTGACACGTGCTCCTTTTCTTTTCTAATAAGTGTCTTATCCCTTTCGATAATTGTCTCCTTTTCATGTAATCATTAAACGTGCCCCTTATTTAAAGCGACTAAGAGCAATTTCCCCCAAAGTTCGCTCGCTGCGCTCGCTCGCATTTAAAGATGATAAAATTATGTTACTTATCAAAGGTCTTTTCAGTCTTCCGTTATGAGAATGTGCTTATAACCCCATCACGATTGGCTTTTTTCCTCTTTATAAGATGTAATTTTTCGCACTGCGACCTCACAGATCTTTAAAAATTTTCTCGCTCGCTCGTAAATGCATATTCAGACATCACACCCAACTGTAAAGTATGATGCTTAAGCGATATCTTGTATGATGTATGAAGAGAAACAAATATTGAAATCATCCCTGATAATGTAATCACAATGTAGGGGTATATACCAATGTCTAAAAAATTGTATATTTTCGCTTTGAGATTTCCCACTGTAGGTGCCCTTTTTTTCCAGAAAGTGCCCTTTTTTGTTGGTGCCCCCCCCACTTTGGAAGTCGCTCGGCCGCCCCTGTTTGTAATCCATTATAATTATTTCATTATAAAACCAATATATGGAATCCCAAAAATATTTGATAGTCAAGTTGACCTTATTTCATTTCCTGATTCCTCCTGGGCAGTTCTCGCTCTCATCTTCTCCTGATGCTGACTGTAGAGGGCACCGACAAGGTGTCCAATGCTACAAGCTATGGCTCGTTGATCTTGGTTGATCTGGCAGGGTCAGAGCGAATAGCCAAGACGGGGGCTACAGGTCAGACGTTGGTAGAAGCTGCTGCTATCAACAAGTCACTCACATCATTGGGTCAAGTAAGAATACTGGGGTCTTTATAAGTAAATCAATAGTGGCAATTTAGTTGGAATTGTGCAATTACAGGCTGTATCAGGCCATACCTAAGGTTAAACTACATATATATATATATATAGAGAGAGAGAGAGAGAGAGAGAGAGAGAGAGAGAGAGAGAGAGAGAGGGAGAGAGAGAATGTATTGTGTAGACCCCATACACGTACACTGGCCTTGTCAGGAATTCTGGATGGACCAGTGGGGAAAAGTTAGATAGAATTAAGACACATAAATTGGCAGTGTGAGAAAGAGAGAGTGGAGTGAGAGATACACACACTAAAAATTAAAAACAGGCAGAGACAGACATACACTGTACATACAGAAAGGAAGACACATAAGGATAGATTCTGAGAAAGACAGGCAGAGAGAAAAACATACTGCTATAATGTGTGGTAGTTAAATATTTATAACTTGTACTAGTTTTGAATGGTCATATATATTAGAAATGTAAGGCATAAAAAAATGATGGTATACCAATTATGCATCGTGTGTTGGTTATGTGGACAGTCATTTCAAACAGTAATTTGAAGAAGTTTACAAGCGGTGTTTCATGAATCTATCGAGAACCCCCCCCCCCCTATCCTACTAAGATGTTCAAGTGAAAGAACATTTTGTTCTTGAGGCAAAATAAAAAAAATATATGTTTAGAAGTAGAACCAGGGCATGTGAGTTAAATGGATACGCATCTAAGAGGGCCCTTTGAAGCAGTCCGTTGCACCGAGAGTCTTTTTTCCCCCCTATCATAATCCCCTTAATCCCCCACCCGGACCGCACAGCTCGTAAATCTCACTCCCGAAACTGAGTGACATAGGGCTCGCGAAATGCATTGTTGGAAATACACATCGGCTGCTATCGACAAAAATGGCGGCGTACAGTAGGGAAGAGTATTTGGTAGGCGACGATTTAGACTTTCTGACTGATTTTGAGGAAGATTTGATTCTTGACTTGAGCCTGGTGTATGGGAAGTTGGAGACCAATACAAGTTATGCACGTGTGAAACTCCATCAACGGAAAATCTTATTCGTTGCAGCGAACCAGAATGTACGGTTAAATGGTTTCATCGTGAATGCGTAGGCCGCTCCATGTAAATAGGCAGCATTTGAATACATGAATAGTCAATACACTCACAACATACAGTACAAATGCACATAATCATCCCGATGCGGTTGATCGGCAAGTTTGACAGTAGACTCACAATTTTAATTTTTAAATTATTCTTTCTAACATCAGAAAGTTGAACAAATTGTATTTTAATGCTCTTTAGGTGTCATCAATCGTCACTATAGTACTGCCTTTGAATGAAATCAGTTGAGTTTTGTACAGTGGTGTTTTAAATGTTGAGAATCGATAGCACAACTTTGAATACACGGCCAGGGTAGTAATGCAGCTATGTGTGTTTCCACCAACAACATCCAGCATGTAGCGAGCAGGGCGGCTTTCACGTCGCCGGCCCGTACTCGGGGTGAAAAGTGGTGATGAATTGACAACTTCTAACCCTCATTAAACCAAATGCGCAAATATATAACACAGTTTCATTTAGTTATTTTAAGAGATAAACTTATGGACTACCTTCCTAGCTATGTAAAAATTTCGGAAACTTTCGGAAAATGTCAATAATTAGAAGAGAACGTGATGATGATGAGAAACTTGCATTCACTCTAACTCACGTTTTCCTTGGTCGATTTCGCTGGTTCAGATGGCTACGTCTTCAGAAGAGTTATCCGAGCACAGCGAAAGCATTTGATAACCAATAGAAGGTTGCCTTGTGCCATAAGTTGTCGATTTTGTATTTTTGTCTGTTATAGCTATATACATCTTCAATGAGTATGACGTCATTTTCTCGGTGACTCGCATGGCTTCAAAGCCTTTTTTTTACGACCAAGTGTTTGGAGAGCTTAGGGAAGCAGGGTGCGTTGCGTAACACTTCGTAACATTTGGATCGCCAGAGGGCATCTGTGGTCTGATGAGGGCGGCTGTTGATGGATTTGATGGCTGAAGAGGGTTAAATTACTTGTTGTTAAGCCAAGTTAATCTTGAATATCTTTCCCTCGGGAAATTCTTTCGAGACGGAATCTCCATTTAAAGTCTCACCTCCCTGGTAGAACTCTATTTTACAGATTTATAGGGAGCTATATATCTTCAGCTATTAACAACAATGCCCATATCACTTTTGGTTTCATCATTGAAAACCTGAAACTAAAGTAAAAAAATCTTGATTTATATATTTATTTATTTTAATGTGCAGGTTTTTACAGGTTTGCGGTCAGGAGCTCTTCATGTGCCTTACAGGAACTCCAAATTAACCCATTTACTCCAGCCATCTCTGAGTGGAGATGCTAAGGTAACATTTAATATATATATATATGTATGTACACAAATCATTGGAAGAATCTATGAGGTATTTGATTGGTCAATTTGAATCAGGGATTGACAATTGCTCTGGTGATAATTTCTCCTGGCTTTATGTCAACAAACATACAGGGTTAGGCTAAAAATTGCAACAGTTAGGTATAGTATTGGGTTCAAGGTGGAGGTAGTAATTTTGGTTAGTGTAGGAAATGACAGTTTCCCCAGGAGCAAGTATTGTACATCCTGCGTATCACCTGACATTCATTATTTATGCCATGCACTAGCTGAATGCCTCTCCAATCATGCAATTTTGTTGAGCCAAAATGGATGATTCAACCATACGATATTCATATCTGATGTAGACTCTAGTTATAGGACAAAATCCCTTGGATTTGCCTGTATAACGTCTTTTCCAAATTACTTTAATTTGTTTGCAGGCTTGTCTCTTTGTGAATGCGAGTCCTAGTGAAAGCAATGTTACAGAAACAATCAGCGCATTACAGTTTGGATCTAATGCAAGACAGGTTGCTCTGGGTCAAGCTACTAAGAACACAGGCAAGAACAACAAGAAGTAACTTCCATGACAATAAAAGCAGGAAAGGTCAGAAAGTTTCATCGTGATTTTTTTTTTTCAGTGTTAAAAATTATTGCTACAAAGAATAAATGCAAGAACAAAAAGATATTACTCTCTACTGCTGGAGCTGGAAAGATTAGAAAATTTGATCAATAAGAAGGATATATGTATAAATAATGTAGAATCTTACTAGAGTTAAGTGCAACTATTAAAAAGAACACTGGAGAAGAACAACATGAGAACTGCATCAAATCTAGATAAATCTTGCATCCAGTGTTCTTAATATATAATTTTTTTTTCCATTTATGATAGGCACAAATTCATTTCTTAGCATCCCAAGTAAATGTAACATTAAAAATAATTTGTTTATTAAATGTATTTTATTGATAAAATTTCTTTGAAGACAGAAAAGAAATTGGTATGCTTGCATGGTGTTTTTTATTACAAGAATTTTTATTAGAAAGAAAAAAAGAAGAAAATATCTCAAACTGGGATATAGACACATGTGAGAACTTGTTTTATTAATTTGCATGTACATCTGTGTATTACAGGGTAATTTTGTTTTTAAAGAGATATGTGTGTGAATCTAGAGAACATCTAGTGTTGTCTTGCCAGAGACACTTGCAAGATTCATTGTGAAGTACACATACATGTGTATATTTGAGAGTACATTTAACACTCTACTGATGCTCAATCAACCTTAAAGGGGAATTCCGCCTTCATATTCAGTTAGTTTTAATAAAAGAAGAAAATGAGAGAAACAAATTAGTGAAAGTTTGAGTAATATCCCATTAAAACAGGAAAGTTATGAACATTAATGTTGTCAACATTGAGATACAAATTGACAACACTGTGACGTATCTTGCGAGCTCCTCTCCGATTTGCTCTGTACAGAAAATTTTATAAACTCTCATTCTCTTCTATAGTTATTGATGAACTTGAGTAATAGATTTGCTTTATACATGGGTTGTATAAAAACATATTTGCAATAATTATATCAAAGGTATGATCGAAATTTTACTTAAGGGGATATATAAATTTTGAATTTGTTTAGTACAGGGCAAATGGGAGGGGGACCTTGCAAGATACATCATAGAGTTGCCAATTTGTGTTTGATTGATCGCACCTTCAAAACTCAATAACTTTTTTTATTTTTAATCTTTGTTGCTCAAATTTCACTGACCTGTTTCTCAATCGTTAGTGCTTCTATTAAAACTAACTTAATATCAGGGTGGACTTCGACTTTAATGAGTAAACCTAATATGTTTGTGCCTGATATTGATGTTTAGTAGGTATATGCAGATGAGATTGTGTGTGACAAGAAGTTTGGCACCAAATGAATGCCTTATACTTGAAATGTAATTTGAATATCATTAATGAAAGATATTTTTGAAAATAGGTGCTTATATATTCCATGGAGTGTACATTGGACATCTAGAGATAAGCTTTATTTCATGTTTATAAAAATGTATATATAGTAGGTAGCGATAGTATGATATTTTGTGTAAATGATCTGTATATTGAAGATGTGAATGAAGTAAGAACCGTATGGCCAGCCTGAGAGTAGCCAAGTGCAAACTATGAATTAAAACACTGCTGAATATATAAAACTATAACAATTATCATCTTTGGGCCTTCAAATGTATTTTTCTTCATTGCAGAAATGTGGATTAATACACGTATACTCTCTATCTGTATTCAAAATATATATATTTATGTACTGATATGTGTGTGCTCCACTGTGTTTTCCAGCTTGCCTTTAGTACTGCACAGAAAAAATAATATACCAGTAATCATATGGCAAAACTGTCTTAAGTTTAGCAAGATTAGAGATATATACATTGCATTGGCAATCAGGGTAGATGTATTTTTGTAATTTTATATGGAGACTGATGTATGTTAATATGTTTTGTAATGTAGGGAGTACTAATAAATTGGTTGTTTAGTATGTATATTTTATGTTTTCTTCAAAAATGTGAGTGCCATTGAAATCTTCATGTCTGTTAACATACAGCAAAATGCCTTTGCATCTTCTTTGTGCCTATAATATTCTATTTCTGGGTGCTAGAAATAATGCTTATATTCTATCTCTCAAATTTTCCAGCATTCAGTGTCATTATAATTAACAATAGACTGTTAAGTTAGGATGTGTTAGCTAGAAGGAAAAAAACCCACAATGAGCTGAACAAGATGGGAACAAAATTACCAAGCCTAGAAATTGTAAATGGAAAGCAATTATGAACAACCTTTCACTTTCGTAATCCTTAAAATATTTCATGTTTTACAAATGACAATTATTCACGGAAGATCAGTGATATATAAAATGTATGTCCTTTGATTGCTAAATGTATGCACTTTTATAGCAACATGTATGTCCGTGTTTATCTAGTTCAATATGGATATTGAAATTAAAAAATAGAAAAAAGCATGGAAAGTACTTTAGGGTCATTAATGTGGCATATCCAACATACAGTGTTGAGAAAAAGAAAGATTGATATTAAGTGGGATGTGGTTGTCTAGGTGATGACATTGAACTTAAGTTTCAAGTGGCAATTACCCACCAGTGTAAAATTCATTTTCAAAGTCACAGGAAGTTGGAATGCATGCAATCATGTTCTAATGTGATTTTTTGGTTACAAATAGCCGGATAGACAAATAGAAGGATGTTTTAAAAATAAAAATAAAAATATGAATGTGTGTAATGGTAAAGGTACATGCGTTAACATGTACATGTACATGTGTACATTATAAAACCATGCAATGTCCTGACATAAATAATAATTATGAAAAAATTCAGTATTGAATGAACAGGTTGTTTCCTGTAATTATGGAATAGAAATCATGAGAAATAAGTTTTCCTAGTCAATAATAAGTTGAGTAAATTAAAACAAATTGGCCAGTTTCTATCCCCATACCATATCTCATTTCATACCCTTTTCTCTTGTTTGAAAGTTACACTTTTCATCCCACTACAAAACCTTAACCTCCAAAAATTTCAGCCGTTTAACTGCAACCTTCTTTTTTTAGCAGTTCAATTTCTCACTTTTATGGCTAAAATAAAAATGGGAAAAATGGAAAACTACTTTTGTAATAATAAAGGATATTCAAGAAGGTGGGAAAATATACATGAGTATGATATTGCATATTGCAGATGTAATTCCTTTTTATAGATTGTTGATTCAGGTATTATATCTGCTTTAGTCCCTTATATATGCTGGGCATCGTTGAAATACAACTAGCAAGAATTTGAACATTTTTTTTTTGGAACAATTGTAAAAAATCCCCTCCCTGAACCAGAAACTGAGAATGTATGGTTCCTTGCTTTATCAGATCATCAATGTTAAGGGTATCTATCTATCTTTCATAAATATTTGTGCTGTTGTCATGTTATGATGTCATTATGTTGTGTTGTATACTTCTGAAATGAATGTTATTCTTAGCCATTGTAATTATGTATCATGTCAAGCAACACAATCGTGTGGTGATTTCTTATTTTGGTGATGTCTTGTAAAATGGATGGCATGGTAGCCACCTGACATGCGCATGCATTTCAACATGTACTTGGGAGTTGGTCTTTTGTATTTACTTTGTGTACTTTTCCTTCGAGCAGCAGCTGGGCAGCTGCCCTCCCAATAACTTTTTAAACCTCTTTTGTATGCCGTGTAATTTCTCCCTCTTTCCTTTCTCACCTGCATCTATTTTATCTTCTTTGAATTCATCTCTTTCTCTCCCTTTCTCTCTCTCTCCTTTTTTGTTGTTGTTACTTTCCTTTCTTTTCCCCCTTCTTTTTTCCATTTCTCTCCCCAATCTCTCTGTACTTATTTGAAAGAGAGTGAAACCCGGGGGGGGGGGGGGGGGGGGGGGGGGTCGGTTTTTGGAGTTACTTTACCCCGGGGCTACATTCTCCTTTAATCCCCTCATTCTATATTCTTCTCTATTTGTTTCTTTTAGTCTTCTTCCCTTTATCCCTATGTTCTATGTAATTTGTATTATATGTATGTATTATTGATTTATTCATAATTTTTATGCATCTTATATTTTGATATGAATGTATTTAAATTATAAATTGTGTATAAGTTGTGTAATATGATTCACCAAGATGGAAAGTTTCTTCTTTTGTTTTGGCAGAAGACAATAAATGATATATTCTATTCTATTCTATCTATGTTTAATTGAGTCACAGTAGTCTAAATGTTCTAATGTAATCAATATTTCTATTGAACAGTGTTTGAATCTGTATTCTTGTTTTCCGTCAAAATCTGGAGGGTAATATTTTTGCACTTCTGAAGTGCATTAAAAAAATGTCCAAGTATTGATCAAATGCCGCTTATTTCTTCAGGGTAATACTAATCTGGTCAAAATGATGATTCATATTTTTTTTTTACGGTTTTGAATTTTAAGATCTAAATTATCAGAATAATCTTGTGAATATTGAAGAGAGATCTTTTCTCCTCTCAGGACTGAATATATATTTTTAATGGTAATGCGTTTTCAAACTGTGCATCTTCTCTTTACCAGATGATGCTACAATGTATTAATAAAAGGTATGCATGCCTGAAATTTATAATAGAAGCTTATTCAAGTCATTTATATATGGGTATATAGTTTTGATGCATAACAAATCTATGTTTGAGTGTAAGTTATTGTATATATTCCCTATCATAGAGAATATTATCTTTACAGTGAAATTAATGAATTTTTTTCCAGCATTAGTTGAAAGTAATAAATTTTGTCAATTGCCAATGACTAAAATTATGATCAAGCCAAATATATTGACCGTCAGGAATTATGTACCGGTATACATGTACTCAAGCATGTAAAAGTTAGATATTTTAAAATCATGAATATCATTTATTTATTTGAAGTGACATCTAAATTTTTACAGATCTGTACATTATTATATGAGTTGTAAACTAGAACATATTTTGTGCTGTGCAAATATTAAAATAAAAATATAGTATAAAAATCTATGTGTATCATGTGTGATAGTGTATGTAATGTTATACTTTGTTTAACAATTTGTATGGGTTCTAATAAAAATCTTTTTTTGTTGTTGAGAAAATAATTTCATAAATTGGGGTGAAACAAAAATATTCCAACTATATGAGCGACAGTGTATATGATTACAAATACATGTAGAAATTAGCTGTTGACATTCAAACACGATCGTCGAAGTTTACCGATAACCCCAAAG